TGCCCATTTGGAGACTGAGCATGAAATATCCCTGATTATTTCTTCATTGTTCGTGAAGATCAAATCGATAATATTTCTGTTCGTAAGTAGTTTTGATATATGCTGATTGCGGGAAAATTTGTCAGTCTAGGGAGCTCTCTGACCTGTCTGTGTTTGGCTATTTCCAGAGTGATTTGTCGGTTATGTTATTGTGTTATCCTCCATCTTTAACTGGGCAGATTAGTCTCCAAGGAAGATAATATCAGGCACCAGATTTTCTAGGCTAGTGATTCTTAAATGAGTTCAGTGTCATTCACCCTCAAACCTTTATCACAAAATTTCGCCTACGATTAAATTTCCTTATGTTTTTAGTAATTTTAGTCTTACTCTCACTTGTGTATAATCTTGTATACAATAATTGTTACATGAGGAATAACATAAATTAACCATTTTATTAAGTTTATTTTATCAACTTTTTGAACATCCTAATAGGTAAAGAAAAAGAGTGACAAACAGTTAACACAAATGATTATATTATAGTTTACATAGTTTGTAAACAGAAGAGCAATAAGAGCATAGAATTATATTAGATTTTGTATTGTGATTATATTTACCACAAATGATAAGCAGTGTAGACCTACTTCTTCACTTACATGCATTTAATTATCAAATACTAGGCAAGTACTGCATAGAACAATCTAAATATCACAGTAAATGAAGTTATTCAACCCTTTACGTTTTCATTCACCTCAAAATAATTAAATTCACCCTCGGGTGAACCAGCACCAGGTTTAGAACACTTGGGTGAACCAGCACCAGATTTAGAACTCTCGGGTGAACCAGCACCAGATTTAGAACTCTCGGGTGAACCAGCACCAGGTTTAGAACCCTCGGGTGAACCAGCACCAGATTTAGAACTCCCGGGTGAACCAGCACCAGATTTAAAAGCACTGATCTAGACTCGAGGCAGTTCTGTGCCTATGGACCACACAGGGTACAAGGTCTACGATACACACTACCACAAATAAATATTAAATCCACAACGCTCACCCTTGTAGCACACACCAGTCAGTGTAATGCCACTGAGCAAACACAAACCCGGGTTCACAATTACATGAGCGTAAGCTTCCCGGGACGCAAGTCCCACCCCCGCCGCCCACTCATTGTGCCGCCCAACAGGAGACGCCCGACCAGCAGGTGATACCTGCGGCCCAACACCACCACACACCCGCCCTTACCGACGGTATCCCAGACACCAGTCAGATGTGGCCGCATGCTACAGGTCGTGACCCCGTACAGCTTTTATCATAGGTTTTCGTTCCTCTCACCAGAACTAGCTACGTCAACCGTTTGACTCGCAGTACATCAACAACAGCAGAAGGTGGATGGGCTTACGGGCTCACTATAGCCCGTGCTACATGGACACTTCGTTCTGAGTAGCTAAATCTGAAACAACCAACGGTGGATGGGCTACGTGAACACCTGTTCCACAGACGTGTATAGTTCTTACATGAAGTTTGCACCCCAGCTGTACCTTTCTCTCATTGTAAAGATGCACAGCCTGATTTATCATACAGCATCATGGTTAAACAAGCGTTGTTTGTTGGCCAGAGGTGGTCTCTCATACCACTAGCTAGGCACAAGACTGGGTAACCGCTCGCACCTGCACTGTACCTTGCTCTTTAGAGCTGTTGCAATAAAAATAGACAGTCTTACAAGATGACAAGCTGAACGTTGGCAGCACCGGGGAGTGGTGCTGTGCCTGATCCCAGTGTGGTGTTCCTGCCGGGTCTTAACTCATCACACTGCCCACTATCTTTAACCCCCTCCTAAAAATCAACAACTTATTAAGCACTTTTACAAATATTGCACCACAAAATATGAGTGACAGTATACATACGCAAATAACCTCACAAAACTTTTAACCTGTATGTCTATGAACAAAGAGTCCCGGTTGTACAGTTGGGTTCGTTCTCAACTCACAATCGGAAATTCCGGGTTCGAATTCCAGGCGAGATCGAAATAGTTGGGCACATTTCCTATCATCTAATGCCCTGTTCACCTAGCAGTAAGTAGGTACCCAGGAATTGGTCAATGTCTTGTGAGGTTGCATCCCGGGGAGTCAGTAATTCAACCTTGGGGAGGACATCGATATAAACCTAACATAATAATAATATATTGTGTGGGGGCAGCCAGTTTATATACAGTCACGTCCACCACACCCCGGGTCGAATTACTGACCCTTCCCACGATGTAACCCCACAAGACGCTGACTAACTCCAGGGCACCTACTTACTGCTATGTGCAATTAGGCACTGATAGAACAGGTTGTGCATGTGCAGTATATAAAGGGAATGAAATGATCATGTCAAGTACACAGAGATTGAACAACTAGGCAAGCACGACACAGACTGAGCTATTGGGTATTTATCTAGCTAGGTCAGTACCTTAAGCTCAATGGTAGTGGAATGATATTCTGTGACTCTAAAAGTGCTCTGCAGTCCTTAAATAACCCATCACAATTTATGTCTGAAGTAGCCTGTAATATTAAATGGAATTAAATTTTAACCAATGATAATAACTATTGTATAAAATTTGTGTGGATCCTACCCCATGTTGGAGTTGGAAAACTTTGACTTTGTAGATCGATTGGCCAATGTCAGCACTGTGGAGAAATGCCCGACAGACCACTGGAACATTATCTAACACAGTGCAGAGTTACAAACCCATTAAGATTTAGACTTAGATTCAACAGAGCAGAAGTTGTTAAACACGTGGAACAAAATCTTACTGAAGCGACCATATGAGTCGGAAATACTCATAGTCCACCCAAGTAAAACAGAAACAAGTAACACTTAGTGGGCCAGCCAAAGGCTTAGGGCCTGTGCAGGAATATCCCTAGAAAAAAAAAATTGGCTAATGAGGCTTGCAGGAAAGAAAACACTGATTATAACTTTGGACTATCTAATGCAATTATTAAAAACATACAAATTAAAGAAATTAATTCAGATTTGGAAGAACTAAGAAATGCCCAGATACCTGAAAGCTGCAGTATTAAAAGCTATGACAACTTTTGTAATAATGGGTATTTGTATGGTCAGCACAATAACCGGACCAGGCAATGTGATGTAGTCATTGCGTGAATGTGAATTCGCCTTGGATATAGGCACATCTGGTAGGTTAGTGAGGCTGAGCCACTACCAGAATACAGTATTCAGATTGCAAAGTCTGTGACAAACCTTTAATGCATTCACTAGAACACTATATTGTTGAATGTGAAATCGTAAAAGATTTTAGACGTCCTGGCCTATTGTACCACCAACTGTGTAACTATTTCATTGAATCTGGTGTACTGGACGACAGCCTAACAATTTATCCAAATTTTGCTTGTCTATTGTAAAGAATGAACAATTTTATTTATATATTTTTTAAGTTGCATCTCTTATGAACCACTCCCAGCCCTTGTGTGGCAGTGCACAATAGAAAGTTAATTTTACATATTCATACATTAAAACATTGATTTTAACCATGATCTATATGTGTTTCAGCCTACAGTTTAGACCTATTGTCTTGTGTATGACCCTGTCCTGTATGACAGTGAATTATCATCACTTTAATAAGACTTAATTGAAATCATCAGATTAGGCAAAATTGTAATTAAATTTTGTCAATAAAGATGTTAATAATAAATCCTGAACAGAAACATTAGGTGACAGGAAACGTGCTCAACCATTTATGTCCCGCTTGAGATTCGAACCTGGAATTCTCAATCGCTGTGAATATATACCTGTACAATGGTTGGCTGTCCTTTTAACACAATGAATTAAAGCTGTATTTACACAGGGTATAACAATGTGCTTATAACTATAAGTAGTTCCACAATTGCTTTAAGTAAGTTGTATACAGTATTACCTTACATATATATAAACAGTATTGTGGTGTCTGTACATCGTTATGTACTGTTATGTTCTGCTCAGTCTGATGTATTGTATATAGTAGAAATTTAATGGCATCCATGGTCTATTAAAGAAACATAATAATGATGTAATATATAATGAGAGCAGGGACAAAAATGGTTAGTCAGATGCTGTGCCAACCTGGATGGGATTCAGGAAGTTCTTCTACTCACTAAGCCCGGGAGTGGCCTGCAGGCCCACATATCCATCACAGTCCGGTTGGTCTGGCACTTCTCAAAGAAAACTATCCAGTTTTCTCTTGAAGACGTTCACTTTTGTTCCGGCAATATTTCTTATACTCGCTGGGAGGATGTTAACAACCGTGGACCTCTGTTTATACAGTGTTCTCTGATTGTGCCTATGGTACCTCTGCTTTTCACTGGTTCTATTCTGCATTTCCTTCCTTAATGTTCACTCCAGTATTTTGTTATTTTACTGTATAGATTTGGGTCCTGGCCCTGCAGTGTTTTCCATGTGTATGTTATTTGAGCTCTCTCGTCTCCTTTCTAGAGTAAATTTGGAAAGCTCGAGAAGATACCAATCATTTAGATACTTTTATTGTGTCTATATATGCCGTATATAAGGTTAGGTCGTCAGACATCATTATTCCCAGATCCTTTACATGCTCTTTTCTACTATGGGCAGATTTGATTGTGTTTTGTACCCTGTATTATGTTTAAGGACCTCATTTTTTATTGTACCAGAGTACATACCTAAAATTTATCTCTGTTAAACATAACGTTATTATCTGCTGCCTAATCGAAAACTTATTATTATTTTCAATGACTTCAACAGAAGTAATTTTCATGTTGATTTCTGTGTCATCTACAAAAGATGATATGAAGCTGTGACTTGGTATTTTTGTCTACATCTGATATGAGAATAGGGAAAAGCAGTGGTGCAAGGACTGTACCCTGCAGGTCATTATGGTGTACAGATAGTGTATTGACTGAGTAGAAAATACAACGGCATTCAAATGATGATTCAACGAATAAAATTACAGAATTGTAGATACTGTAATACAAAATACTATTTTTACAAAACATTATGTGAATAATTTTCAGATAAAGTTATATATATTTTATTAGAGCAGAATTCTGCACACCACCCCAATCCAGTGGGCAGCAGTGGAAAGGTTACACTCACCTACATTCACTTCCTAGTTAGCAAATGGGATATTTGGCTAAGAATTCTGGTGGATAATTTTGAATGGGATATTTACACATTTCTTGAACATTTGTTTTAGAGTTGTCTCTGAATTCACATACTTTTTTGCATTCCATCACAGTGATGGAGGGTGTGCAAATAATTTTGTTGACACAGTTTACATTTGATCAAGTCTACATCAGACCAAATGCAAACTGCATCAACAAAATTATTTACACACCTGGGCCTTTTGTGATATTATTTAACTCCTCACTGCAAATGGGACAACTACCAGATGCTAGGAAAATGGCAAGTGGTGTTTATATTTAAGGAAGGAGGAAGATAAGAACCACTGAACTATAGACCAATTTCAAAGACAAACGATTACAAAAAGAGAGTAATAATGGATGAGTTACCACTGGCAGCATATTGGATGGGTTACCACTGGCAGGTTAATGAATGGGTTACCACTGGCAGCAAATTGGATGGGTTACCACTGGCAGCATATTGGATGGGTTACCACTGGTAGGTTAATGAATGGGTTACCACTGGCAGTATAATGGATGGGTTATCACTGGCAGCATATTGGATGGGTTACCACTGGCAGCATATTGGATGGGTTACCACTGGCAGCATATTGGATAGGTTACCACTGGCAGCATATTGGATGGGTTACCACTGGCAGGTTAAAGAATGGGTTGCTACCGGCAGCATTTTGGATGGGTTACTACTGGCAGCACAATGAATGGGTTACCACTAGCAACATAATGAATGGGTTACCATTGGCATCATAATCCAAGAGTAACAGTTGCACCACCTCTACACTGATAACCTTGTTGCTGTCATGGGCACCATTGTGCAAGGTAACAATAGCACTATAATGCATGTTCAACTTTTGCTGTATTACTGCTTGGATAACTCTGCAACACAATAAGCAAGTGACCACTTTAGAACCCTGCCTGAGTTACAGGTGTCATAGTGAATCACTAACTATGGAGATATGCATAAACAATGTCAGAGGCATTATACATGGGTAATGTTTGAAACATTATAAGGTAACACAATTGAGAACCTTTTGTATGCAGATAATATAGTCAATATATTATATGGATGACATTGACAGTACTGTATAATCATAACTTCAAGTTCTGATTTTGGTCCCAAAATATTATTGTAGTTTCCTAAACATCCACCTCTTATTCATTTGTTAATTAAAAGGTTTTATGTAGATTAAACTTATGTTTGTTACCCACTTCACAGTTGGCCTACTTCAATTTTACATTTACTTCAATTAGCATATTGCAGAACATAGGAAAATTTAAACATACAAATTGGGCAACAACTTGAGAATTGCTTGATTGCAGTATTCCTTTGCCTGCATGAGCAATGGTTAGATTCAAATCCTGGTTATGCACCAGGAAAATTTTCACTATAATGTATTGAAAACAATGGTGTTAGTGGGGCATCAGTATTAGAGCCAAAACTGCATACAACCACACAGGTTTAATTTTGTTATAAGGGTCAAGGAAAGTAATTATAATAACTGTGATGAACTAATCACTTGTAAGCGCATTTAAGCCTCAGCAAAGTTATCTCTTCACCATCGAAATCATGCTGTTATATAAATGAGTATTATTTTGTAAATTATGACAATAATTGCTAGGGGTATTAACAACTCGTCACAGCTTTAAAGTTTTCCATACCCATTTGGGAGGAAATAGTAACGGAGACATGTAGTGCTCCTTCATGGTCATTACAAAGGATCAGGATGTGATTATGATGATTTATTATATCCATATACAGTACAGTATAATTTAATTTAAGTATGTGTAGCACTGGAGCTTACTGGTATTGTAAAATTTAAGGCTAAAAGGAGACATCTTTTGTGGGCTCTTACTTTGCACTTTTCTTGCACCATATAAAAGCCACTTTTAACTATTTGCAGTATCTATCTGCCTTCATCTTTGCACGTCGATCAAGAAGAGCTTCATGTAAGCAGCCATCACTTCTTGCAGACTTCAGCTCAGCCACACCATCTTCATTAATACGTAGACGCTTATCTTGGAACTTCTGAAATTTCTTGACGTAATTTCGTTCCACATCTTGCAGCTTTCCACGCTCCTCTTCAGGTATTTCTTTAGGTTTGTCACATTCCCTATGAGCATAAACAATAATAAACATACTTTATTAAGAATAAAGGTACAGTACTTAAATTACTTGACTTAAGAGTAACCTTGCACAATTTCTTCTTAAAGCTATATGTATTTACCTCTCCATCACTTGCCTGCATCTTATATATCCTAGGCATAAACACCAACCTAAATTAATAATTAACTGTGAAACAAAAGTGCTATTTTATGTGGTACTGTACCTTTTAGCTTTCCGTTATTCTACTTAAAATATTTTCTCCATTGTCTGCTAAATTTAACCACTTAACTCCAAGCCACCACTAAAAATTATATAAATAATATACCTGTACAACAATGTTTTATACTTTATTAGTTGAACATTAAATTTGTTTAGCTCTTAGTTATCACGGCTCCTTTCTGGTAGGGCCCACTCAATAGCTCCCCAATGTTACATCCTGGAAACACACCAAGTGCCCAACAACCCATGAGTGTCTACTCAGAAGCAGGGGCTAGTGGGCCACCCCCAGCAACAGCTTTCTAGATCAATTAATCACAAGACAAGCCTAGCCCCAGGCCAGGCATGGGAGTAGAAGACTTCCCAGAACCTACTCCAAGTATACCAGAATATGGCTCTTTAAAAGAGGCTTAGGGAAGCCTGAATATCAGAGATCACCAATGTCCTCCTCCCTTCCTCACTGTCTTTCATATGCCAACAAGAGTCCTCAATAAAGATAAGGTACCTAAGAGTATTATTCTGTATAAAATGTATTTTTTAAGTAAATATATATGGGGGAGTGGAATGGATTAATTAAATTTACATTATTTCTTATGGGAAAATTTGTTTCGGTTTTCATACCATCTCTGGGAATGGATTAAATTTGAAAACTGAGGCGCCACTGTAGATTCGAAAAGAGACCATACAATTTTAATATATAAAGATTATATAAAACAAACCTTGTAGGCATTTATAGCAATACAGACTCAAATTAAATACAACATAGTGATTCAAATATTAATGTCACTTACCTGAGAGTATTAGAACGAATGGTTATCATCTGATCAGGTCCTGCTTTGGAACACATTGCCACTACATTATCATCTTCGTCCAAACCAAGAAAGCACTCATTTGCTCCTAACAATGCTGTTTTTCCCTCCTGAAAGATCAAGAAGACACTTAGTGGCATTACTATTTAAAGATACAAGACTTGTTGCATACATGAATATTAATGTTAACATGCAATGTACAATTCACAAAAACATAAATGATAGCTCTTGACAGAACAAAAATAACTGTTTCAATATTTTGCTCTCCTGCTCCTGCCCATATATAAGGATGCGACTTGTAGTTTTGCCTAGTCAACCAGTACAGTACTTACCGTTTTTACTTATATCACACCTATTTGTAAAGCAAACCAAGAGCACCACTATCTTTTTACATCTCAGTTGTAATGCCATGATTTCTTGGAGCATTTTCTGCTTTTGTTATAATTATAGCTATACAGTACTGTACTTCCTCTATATTTTGATAGTAATTGTTTTGTCTGTGAACAATTGTCTGGTAAGATTTTGCTGTCAGAAAACTACATTCATTCAAAAACATATCTTGGAAAGGTTACATTTTAATTTACCTGAAAGACGGGTTGCCACATTTCTCTAGGGCCAATTGCATCTGCACGACCCACAACTCGGCCAGTTCCATCAACACCCAAATATTTATTGTAACCAGATTTTAATGCAATTCGATCATCACCAGCTGGTACTGCCGTTAATACTTCCTCTGGAGATGGCCCGTCACCTGACAAGGGGGTAAAGGAAAAAAATGGCAAAACTAAAGACTTTTTTTGTTAAAAATAATTTCTGATACACAAAGCATTTAGAGATGCAAACACACACTCAAAATAAAGTGCACTGGGCACATTATTGTTATTATTTTTATTACACTTTTCACATATTATTATTATTAATAAAATAATTTTGTTTAGTGATAATATAATTATGAAGAGAACATGCAAAGTCAGCATGACTATACAGCACCTGGAAGAGAAATGAGGACAAGGAGCTGGGATATTGAGGATAGGGGTGAAGGAACATTGCCCAACCACTTGGACCATCGAGTATTAAATGCCAAACTGCAAGAAGTCGGGACGTCACTGTACTGACCAATCCAGATGGATTAATGTCTTTAGAGTTAATAACATTTTAAATGACACACACCAGAAGTTCTTGACACCAAGTCTTGTATAATACAAGTGGTGGGGACACGGGCTGCAGATGGTCTGGCAGATTATGGTGGTACCGAGGCTACATGATGCTATGCAGTGTGGATAATTGAGGGAATGGAAGGGGTTATTTCATTCAATGATAAAGGTTGTGATTCTAAAAATACCATTGCAGACAGTGTTAATGGAATAGGCCATACACGAAATTAATGAATAAATGTTAAGACAAAGGAGAGAAGATAGCCAAAAGTACTATTCCTCCTTCATTAAAAATTTAAAGCAGCACTGTATTGTTACCTTGATCATGAGGTGCACCAGCAGTAAACAATCCATTGTCAAGTGCTCGCACGTATACGGGTGATGTGCCTAACTGTATTGCCAATGCGCCAGTCATCTATCAGTAAAAAAAAAAAATGAAAAATACAGTATATACAAATACATATAGAGTAGGTAAGAGTAGGTATGAGGGGGTGGTTAAAAAGATGCTATAGTAGCAATATAGTCTAACTGAAACATAAAATAACTGATACTGTACATAAAAATCAACATGTTTTGCAAATGTAAATGAAAAGACAATTGTTCTCCACATGTTAACTGTCCATTATATAGGTACCTGTTTACCCTTGCTTACCCATTATATAGGTACCTGTTTATCCTTGCTTACCCATTATATAGGTACCTGTTTATCCTTGCTTACCCATTATAAAGGTACCTGCTGACTTGCTTGCACATTAAAAAAGGTACATACCTCCTGACCCTTGCCTACTAACCACAAATTTGCTAGTTCGACCATCCTACTTAACAAGAGGAGCAAAAAACAAACCCTCTCTGAAAGCATGCAAGAAAGAATACACCAAGATCAAACAAAGGGGAGAGTATTAGATACTAAGTGATGATCCAGGAAGAGCTGTATAGGAAAGAAAATAACATACTGAAACTGAAAAGACTTAACAAAAGAAAAGAAATACAGTAGGTAGAAAGCACGTCAAGTAACCTTGTATGGTCGCCTCATTGTCTAATGTAAATGTGACACCAGGAAGCATTCTACTCGCCTCCTGTAAAAGTTGTAGTACAAGACATAAAACTTCATATGCAAAGATTGGCAAAGTCTCAAACACTTCAGTTCTGACCTCTGAATCCTCAGGAAAAAATAGTCTTGGGATGGAAACAGGTAGATGTTTCCAAAGTGTGAAGGGATGAACATGGAAACTAGTAGAATGATGTTACCCACAAAGGTAAGATAATTGGACAACACAAGGAGATTCTAGAATAAAACTAAAAAGATACAGAATGTCCCACTGATTCCAATGCAGATCACCAAAACTCATTCACTGTGATGTGCATTCACTGAAGCTAAATGACCACAATCCATGACCAATGTGGTGAATGCTGGAGACAAAACCCAAGCTGACATTTGTATAGATGGAGTGGTAGAGGAAAAAAAAAAGGAGTGCCACAAAACTAAACCACACAATCAAAGTGAAGCCAGATACCTAGTCCATGTGGAAGACATGCATCAAGATTATCACTGAGGCCACTAGATACTCACCTAGTTGTGCTTGCTGGGGTTGAGCTTCAGCTCTCTGATCCTGCCTCTTAGCCATCACTCAACAGGTGCACAGGTTCCTGAGCCTATTGGGTTCTATCATATCTACACTTGAAACTCTGTATGGAGTCAGCCTCCACCATATCACTTCCTAATGCATTCCATTTATTAACTACTCTGACACTAAACAAATTCTTTCTAATGTCTTTATGGCTCATTTGGGCACTCAATTTCCATGTGTGTTCCTTAGTGCATGCACCCCGGTCGGCCGAGCGGACAGCACACTGGGCTTGTGATCCTGTGGTCCCGGGTTCGATCCCGGGTGCCGGCGAGAAACAATGGGCAGAGTTTCTTTCACCCTATGCCCCTATTACCTAGCAGTAAAATAGGTACCTGGGTGTTAGTCAGCTGTCACGGGCTGCTTCCTGGGGGTGGAGGCCTGGTCGAGGACCGAGCCGTGGGGACACTAAAGCCCCAAAACCATCTCAAGATAACCCCTTGTGTTAAATAAACTGTCTTTGTCTACCCTATCAATTCCTATGAGAAACTTGTATGTGGTAATCATGTCCCCCCAACTCTCCTGTCTTCCAGTGTTGTGAGGTTTAATTCCCACAGTCTCTCCTCATAGTTCATGCCTCTCAGTTTGGGCACTAGTCTGGTGGCAAACCTCTGAACCTTCTCCAATTTAGTTTTATGCTTGATGAGATATTGACTCCATGCTGGAGCTGCATACTGTAGGATTGGTCTGACATACTTGGTATACAAGGTTCTGAATGATTCCTTACACAAGTTTCTAAAGGCTGTTCTTATGTTAGTCAACCTGGCATATGCCCCTCATTTTATTCTCTTTATGTGGGCTTTGGGGGACAGGTCTGGCATGGTATCAAGCCCCAGGTCTTTCTCTCTCTCTCATTATAGAAAAATTTCATCTCCCAAATGATACCTTGTATCTGGCCTCCTGCACCCTACACCTATCTTCATTACATTACATTTGCTCGGGATAAACTCTAATAACCATTTGTTGGAACAATCTTTCAGTTTGTCCAGGTTTTCTTGAAGCCTCATACTGTCCTCCTCTGTCTTAATCTAGGTTTAGTGGCTTAGTGGCCCTCAGGTAAATCAGGTAAAATCAAAGTGACATCGAAATTGCTACTAACTCTCAGGCTGTAATGTGAGTGCTCTGCAAATTTGGAGACCAATGCCTCTGTCTGGCTTGGCAATAATTGGTTACAAATCCCCAACCCTGTACTGATGTATTCCTGCAACCTAGGTTATTCTTTCCTGGCATTTCAGTCAAACTCTTTTATTTTTTAAAATTCTCTAGTTTTTAACAGTCTCCAACTCCAGGTTACAGTCCCCAGTTTGCCTCGTCCAATTGAACCTACATCATAGTGTGTACCACAAAGCTGCTTAACCCACCTTTCTCACCTAACTTTGATGTCTTCAGTACCTGTACAGTTTGGCTGAATATTCTATCACTTGTTAGTTATCTGTAAACCATAAAGTGCTAGAACTTTATCCATTACCCTAATATGATTGTTGATCTATCATATATTGGCTGTAGCAGCTTACCACTTGCCCAATAATTCCCAGTGCACAATCACAGCACTTCTATTAAATTTAGAAACTTACCATGTTTACTTAAGTACAGTACTGTATATACTTTTCAAGCTCAATTTTAAAACTGATTAAAGGTGTCCATTTCATCTCATTTTTTATGGCTTCAAACAAAATAAAACTTGCATAACTCCAGTGTGAAAATCCAGAAAATAACAATTTGCATTTAAAACAACTGTATATGAACATTATCAGGGCAAAGTAATGCACTGGGGGGTCCCTACCCAGATGATGGACCCCACCTGTCTGCTCAAGTTCAGGATTAATGTCAAGATAGTTATGCACAAATTATTTAAATTATAAATATAATTTTAAATGGGATTTGAACCCCAGGCCTTTCTAGTGAGAGGTTGGGTGCAAAGAGATCTCTCATGAACAATATGGCAGCATAGGGCCCCCTAGAATAGTGGGGCCCCTCGGTAGATGCCCAGTGTGCCCATGCATTAAGACAGCACCTCTGTATATGACTGTAGTATTAATATTTATAGTATTGCATATGTTAATACCATGCAATAATTATGTTGTTTTCAACTTCAACAAATGTAAATTCTATCTCATTACAAATATTATAACTACTGGTATTTAATTTTGTTATGGGAAAGATTTCATTTAAATTGTTTATAAACATCTAAATATTCTAACACTGAACATGAAATATTTCATTTGACTAAACTGGGTTTTACCTGGTGAAGGGCAGTGCAGTGCCACCACCCACCATGATCAGCAGTGTCTGAGGCCTTACTAGCTCCGCTGGTCAAGCTGCTATCTTCTTCCTCTGATTTTCTCTTCTTGGATTTATGTTTTTTGTGCGTTCTGTTTAGAAAAACAATATATAAATGAACTGTAATCAATTAAAGCTGTTAAATAAAATTATTTAAACACTTACATCTGACATTGCTACAAGTGTACATTATTATTATGTATTGTAGGGCAAATATACAAACTAGCAATAATAGCAGAACACTGAAACAACTAAACTAAGATGATGATTTGTTAAAATATTTTTTTTAGATAAAGGTGTACTTGAAGTAATTTAACATTAAGCGCTGAGAATAGCACTGCCTAAGGAAATTAACCTAATAAAATCTAACCTAAGAAAGTAAAAACCTGTAAACTTAAATGTGTACTGTATATATATCTATCAAAATCAAAATGTGGTATTTTCTGCTAATCACTCATCATTAAATATATAGTAAAGTTCATGAATGTAGCACTCATGAAGTTTTGAGTGTAGCCCCAGCCTAATGAAACACCTATCAACAGCCAAGCCACAACACAACTTCAGGTCACGTCAATCCTTTTCCAGCTCCTTTCAAACGAAAATTACAACGATCTATATAAATAAAAATGTAAATGTTCGTTTGTTCAAAATCGCTAATCTCCGTAAGTTCTTCACCAATTACTTTGAAATTTTCACACAATGTTCCATTCGCATCCGAGCGGGTTTTTATATAAATACTATATAGATGTCACGTCTGTGACGGGAAAAAACATGCTTTCTACAGTTTTTCGTGTGAGGGAAATCTTCAAAACCTCTTTACCGATTACCTTGAAATTTTGACACAACGTTCTATTCGAATAGGTGCATGTTTTTATATACCTACTATATAGATGCCACACCTGTGAAAGGTAAAAACATGTTTTTATTTTTAAACAGCGCCATCTGTTGCACATAATAGCAACACACGCTATACTAAATATGTTACGATTCCATTTCAATGCTTCTGATTACATTGATAAATTGAATTTTCATAGATTTCAATTTATTTTCATTTTGATTTAATTATTTTGTGTGACAATGCATTGGAATCGAGCTGTGTTGTTTACCATACCGTTCATTTCGTGAGTATAAGTATAGATGCCACACCTGTGATAGGTAAAAACATGCTTTTTTTGAAAAAAAGCGCTATCTGTTGCATGTAAGAGCAACACACGCTATACTAAATATGTTACGATTCCATTTCAGTGGTGTCCGATTTCACTGATAAATTGAATTTTCATAAATTTCAATCTATTTTTTATTTGATTTAATTATTTTGATTAACAATCAGTTGGAATTGAGCTGTGTTGTTTACTATACCGTTCATTTCGTGGATATAGTTTATATTTTTTTTTAATTGTTTTTCATTGCTTTTTTCTTCTTTTTTACTTTTTCTTATATTTCAGTGATGGGAACATCAGATCATTTGATGTCCCCAATTTTCTGATAGGAACATCAGATCATTTGGAAATGCATCGGAGGAGGGAGTGAGGAATGGCGGGGAGGACAAGGTGACATAAGTGGAGAATGGTGGGGAGGATGCGGGAACCGGGGGGGGGGGGGGGGGGGGGGGGGGGCGGGGAGGATGGGGGACTTGGGGATGGTGGGGATGGTGGGGATGAGGGGACAGGGGAATGGAGAATGGTGGGGAGGACAGGGGAATGGAGGATGGTGGGGAGGACAAGGGGACAGGGGGAGGGGGGAATGATAGAGAGGACGGGGGAGTGGGCAATGGTGGGGAGGACAAGGGAACGGTGGAGTGGGGAATGGTTAGGAGGAGGAAGGGACGCTGAAGTGGGGGGATGGTGGGGAGGATAAAGGGATGGGGGAGAATGGTTGGGAGGATGAGGGGACAGGGGAGTGAGGAATGGCTGGGAGGACGAGTGGACGAGGGAGGGGGGTAATGGTGGGGAGGATTGGGAGACAGGGGAAGGTTGCTATGGCCGGGTACAGTTAGTAATAATATAAAATGAAACGAGCCTAGTCTATCATATACAGTACATAAAATCCAGAAACCATTGCTATCGAGCAACTTGATCCAGAAACATGCAAAATCTGTCTAGAATTAAAACTACAGTAGAATGTTACAATATATATATAACACAAAATTTTGTTATTTCCACTAGGTCGAGTTGGGTTTGTTTAAAACTAGCAATGACAGATGGCAGTTCTAGGCCCCCCAACTCACTTAACCAAAAACCCTAAAATATAATAATAATAACAATTTATTTAGGAACAGTACATACATAGTTGCAGCATTACAGTACAAATATTCTGTTAGATTTAAAGATAGAGGTAGTACATACAATACCTAAAGCCACTATAGTACACATAGCGTTTCGGGCAAGGAGAGGTGGGGAAAAAAATACTTAGACTAAAACTTAATAGTAATTGAGCTTAAGGTATAAATTGTGTTGAACGAAAAAAAATAATAAAAGATAAAAAAAAAGGGGGGAACATGGTAGAAAATAGCCAATATACAAGTTGGTCAACAAACAGCATTTTTTTTTTTTAAATACAAATACAAATATTTATTCAGGTAAAGTACATACTGTACATACAAGGTATGATACAGAAGTTGATGGATTTATAGATAGAGCTAGTACACACAATGCCTAAAGCCACTATTACGCAAAGCTTTTCGGGCAGGAAAAACACTTAAGACTAAAACTTAATACTAATTGAGATTAAAGTATAAATTGTGTTGAGAAAAAATAAAAAAAATGGAAAAAAAGGGAGGCGGGGAACATGGCAGAAAAAAAACAAAAATACAATTTGGTCAACAAACAGCATTGTTTAAAATATAAAACATGGGTTGACATTTTGGGGGTGAGGTAGGTTACATTGAGTTAATTAGGTAGTACTTAGTTTTTATCTTAAACTGGTTGGGAGAGGTACAGTCTTTAACATAATTGAGAAGGTTTAGACAAGAACTATTTATTTATTTATGCATATACAAGAATGTACATAAGGAATGTGAGGATACAAATATGGTAATTACAGTCTTGTAAAGCCACTAGCACGCGCAGCGTTTCGGGCAGAAAAGGGAGGGCAGAAAACTATTTACAGCATGCAAGAGCATATTACAAGTAATTATACGGTACCTTTTTTCTCCTTTCAATTTTAACTTCCCAACTTTAACTTTGCTGTATTCAGACATTTATATGGATATCTTAAAGTTATTCCTTAAGTATTCTTGCTACAGGGATTACTGACGTGGTGGCTCCTGCACTCTACACAGATTACGTGATGTAGATTATTGCCCCGGGTGTTGCTTGTGGGAGGTGGTCATAACAGTTGTAATGTGCTTGTTCTTTGTAAGTCGTGGAGTTTGCAAGAGGTGTGGTTTCTGAGACTCCCTCCGTGGAAACAAGACACTCATAATCCAGACTTGGTAAGAACGCCGCCCGCCAGCGTAAACACAACGGGGACTGGTCAAGTCGTATACTGCAATTTCGGATACCGGGCTAGAAACAACTTCGTTCACTGAGAAGTTTGTACATACAAACCATTCCGTTCGTATATGCGCTGGTTTGTGTTCGCTGTTGTTCTCGTCTGAATAAATACATGGCACTTGTTCATATAATTAGCGCTTTCATTATTAGAATTATTTATCCATTATTAGAATAACAAGGTGCAAACCACACCCCCTTACAGTTGAAATCTATTTATTTATATACAAGAAGGTACATTGGGTTGCGAGAGTACATAACATATATTAAGAGGTACATTGTAGCAAGATTTGAGATTAAAGGATTTAAGACTAACACGTTTATTTTTTTTTTTTTTTTTTTTTTTTTTGAGATATATACAAGAGTTGTTACATTCATGTACAGCCACTAGTACGCGTAGCGTTTCGGGCAAGTCCTTAATCCTATGGTCCCTGGAATACGATCCCCGCCGCGAAGAATCGTTTTTTCATCCAAGTACACATTTTACTGTTGCGTTAAACAGAGGCTACAGTTAAGGAATTGCGCCCAGTAAATCCTCCCCGGCCCGGATACGAACCCATGACATAGCGCTCGCGGAACGCCAGGCGAGTGTCTTACCACTACACCACGGAGACTGTGTTTAGTAACAAGGCGCCCCCGAAGGAGGCTATTATTTGTTATGCGTCCCATACTCAACCAGTAAGTAGTGGAGCAAAACATAGATTACATGGTCATAAAGTCTTAATCAGACCAATTCAATTCTATTTCTTTCTTTATTATGCACCCCATACCTATCCCGTGGGCGGTGGTGTAAAGGATTACAGAGGCACATAATCGGTTCAGGAACTGAACCCTCTAGTTCGTTTAGCTAAGCAAATAACAATTTGTGACGCTAGTTACAAAATTATTAATATTATATATACATGTACACACTCTCATACATGTACATATATATATACGTATACATATATACATACACATACATATCTAACCACCTACACAAATACACACATCAATAATCTTTGTGTCACAAGTGATCAACAAGAGGCTCACAACAGTCACTATACAAGGCACTTTACATCTATGGTGAGTCACACAATTACTAGTCTTGCTGCACACCCACCCAACTGGGCGGCAGCTTTACAGTCATGTGCTCCACACCCACCCAACTGGGCGGCAGCTTTACAGTCATGTACTCCACACCCACCCAACTGGGCGGCAGCTTTACAGTGCAGCATTACCTACAGTAAGCAAATTTTGGATACTTCGCTAAGATTTCGAGCAGCACATCATTATGAATGAAGTACTTACACATTTCTTGGACACTATTGATGGTGTTATCTCTAAATTCCGCGATTTTTTCACATTCCATTATATAATGACGCAAAGTAAGCGAATAGTTCTGCTGATAGAGTTTACATTTAGTCAAATCTACATCAGCAGATGTTACAAACTCCCAGAGGTACTTGTAGCCGAGCCTAAGCCTAGCAGTGGTAACATCTAGAAGTCTGCTAACATTATTGGATGACCCATAGACGTGCGGTTCTTCCTGCATAATAGAATGATGATAGATGGAGTAACTGGTGTGAATTTCACTTTGCTTCAAGTCTCCGAAATTTAGTTGATGTTCCTGGGATATTGCTGCCCTCAGGCTGCTCAAAGGCAGTTCAAGTTTGTAATCAATTCCCTCTTTACGAGCAAAAGTCTTGGGCAACTCATCAGTTCTCAGTGGCTATTTTTACATTATCATTTACAACTAACTTAAGTTAAATAACAACCAGTAAACAGACTGCTGTTTTCTAATTCTAGTTCAGGAACTTCCTGGGATAAAACGCGAACATTCATTGAGGAACTGTGAGGTGCTTATCTGGTTTTCCTCGTAACGGCCCCAAAGCTTCCACAAATGTTCCTGTTTCTCTTCATTGCCCTTGCGGCGACTGGACTTTAGCTTTTGATCAGAAACCAGTTGGTATTGCAAGATTACCAGGGACGCCTCACGGTACAGTAAGGGGATTAAAATATATAAAGCTAAGTTGTCCCTCACTGCCCTTTGATTCAGACGCTGGTGCCATCCTTCTACGTCATTGTTGGTCCTCACCAGTCGTCTAAATGCACACCAGTTCCCCAATTCCCACACACTGTTGCACAGCCACGTATTTTTTTATGTAATGAGTTAATTGTGTCGTTAAGGGTGGACTGCTAGCCGACTTTTCTAATTCAGCAAACGCCTTACAATTATGTAGTACATACGTACCACATAAGTACGTGTGTGTTATACACGTACACACACACACACACACCTTGTCAAGCACAGGACGAAGCTTGAAAAAGTTTAATGGTATGCCAATAGGCTAGTCCCAGGACTAAGAGGCATGAGTTACGAGGACAGGCTGCGAGAAATGCACCTCATGACACTGGAAGACAGAAGAGTAAGGGGAGACATGATCACTACCTACAAAATTCTCAGAGCAATAAGGTACATAAAGATAAACTGTTTAACACGGGTGGTAGGCGAACAAGGGGACACAGGTGGAAACTTAGTACCCAAATGAGCCACTGGGATGTTAGAAAGAACTTTTTCAGTGTCAGAGTAGTTAATAGATGGAATGCATTAGGCAGTGATGTGGTGGAGGCTAACTCCATACACAGTTTCAAATGCAGATATGATAGAGCCCAATAGGCTCAGAAATCTGTACACCAGTTGATTGACAGTTGAGAGGGGGACCAAAGAGCCAGAGCTCAACCCCCGCAAGCGGATGCTGCCGCCAAGGAAGCTGTCCGCTCTTGTCCCATCTCTCGTAAAGGCATTCCGTATTCCGACTTTTACCCGGTTATCCATTCCTCAGTCCTTACCCGTTGGCAGGCTTCTTGGTTGTCTGTTACTGGTAACAAGCTACGTACTCTTAAATGTTGTGTTTCCTCGTGGCCGTCCTCCTTCCACCGTAACCGGAGGTGGGAAACAGCTCTGGCGAGGTTGCGTATTGGCCATACTTGCTTAACCCATGGTCACTTGATGGAGCGCCGCCCTGCTCCTTATTGTCCTAGTTGCATTGTCCCTCTTACGGTCGTGCATGTCCTTCTTGAATGTCCTGACTTCCAGGACGAGCGTGTGCCTTGCTTTCCGACCGCCCCTCGCGGTCACCTGTCCCTCGATAGAATTCTTGGTGACTCGGATACTTTTGATATCGTTCGCCTTATGCGTTTTTGTTCTCGTATTGGCATCCTTGGTGATATTTAGCGCCCTCTGATTATTTTGCGTATTTGATGGTGCTACATAGCCTTCCCGGTTTGGTGCCTTCTTTTGATAATTACTTACTTACTTACAAGAAACTTGACCAAGGATGATTGCTTTTGCCTGCGCTTTAAAATGTTTCTAAAGCGAGATAGCATTGTCATTCAACAGGTTTATAACGCTGTCAGTTTTGCCAGTGATATTTTTTGCCAGATATTTTTGCCAGTGATACTACACATGCACAGGTTGTGCATGTGTAATATATAAAGGCAATGAAATGATCATGTCTAGTACACAGAGATTGAACAACTGGGCAAGCACGACAGACTGAGCTATTGGGTATTTATCTAGTCACCGAGTACCTTAAGGTCAATGGTGGTGGAGTGATATTCTGTGTCTAAAAGTGCTCTACAGTCCATAAATAACCCATCACAATGTATGTCTGAAGTAGCCTGTAATATTAAATGGAATGTAATGTTTGCCAATGATAATAACTATTGTATAAAATTTGTGTGGATCCCATCCCATGTTGGAGTTGGAAAACATGACGTTGTAGATCGATTGACCAATGAGGCTTGCAGGAAAGAAAACATTGATTATGACTGAACTATCTAATGCAATTATTAGAAACATACAAATTAAAGAAATTAATTCAGATTAGAAGAATTAAGAAATGCCCAGAGACCTGAAAGCTGCAGTATTAAAAGCTATGACAACTTTTGAAATAATAGGTATTTTGTATGGTCAGCACAGTAACCGGACCAGGCAATGTGATGTAGTCATTACGCGAATTCGCCTTGGCTATAGACACATCTGGCAGGTTAGTGAGGCTGAGCCACTACCAGAATATTCAGATTGTAAACTCTGTGATAAACCTTTATTGCATTCACTAGAACACTATATTGTTGAATGTGAAACCGTAAATTTTTTTAGACATCCTTGCCTATTGTACCACCAACTGTGTAAGTATTTCATTGAATCTGGTGTACTGGACGACATCCTAACAATTTATCCAAAAATTTGCTTGTCCATTTTAAAGAATGAAAAACAATTTAATATTATTTTTAAGCTGCATCTCTTATGAACCCATCCCTGCCCTTGTGTCGCAGTACACAATAGAAAGTTGATTTTACATATTCATACATTAAAACATTGATTGTAACCATGATACATACAGTATGTGCTTCAGCCTACAGTTTAGACCTATTGTTTTGTACGTGACCCTCTGTCCTGCGTGACAGTGAATACCAACATTATCCTCACTTTAATAAGACTTAATTGAAATCCTCAGATTAGGCAAAATTGTAATTAAATTTTGTCAATAAAGATGTGGCTAATAATAATAAGTCGGTAATATGTAGACGCCACCGAGGAAGGCGTCTAGCCGAGTCAGTGGCATGTGGGAGGTTGTCTGATGCTGACCTGTATCATGAGTTAAGTCAAAAGTGCCTGTTTAGTTCAGTTTAAATAGCTACTTGCCTGGCAAGACCATTATTTGCATACCCATCTATTCATGTAAGATTGAATCAAGTGATAAGTGCTCATAGGAGCACTTATATGTGCTATAATATAATATACCTCATTATATGTTTGTTATAATAATTCTGGTGATTCCTAGCTACCTGTGTTTCATTTAATTGTTTGTATTTTCCTTTGTTACCCTTACTTAAAGTATATTGCTTTGCTTGTTAAGCGGTTGTCTCATTTTTACCCTAGACGATTGTAGTTGGCAAGGCCGCATTTATATCTATTTAACAACTGCAAAAGCAGAGGAACCATACCCAGAAGTCAGGGGTCATAACACATCCCATATCAAATGTGCAAATGACACTAAGATCTGTGTTCTTCTGTGTTTGTCATAATTTAAGTGATCCCTGATGGACTGATAACTTTTCCAGAGGATGCGCGTAGTTGTTAAAGAAATACAGGGTTAGATCATGTGTGTGTGCCGAGATATCTGGTATAACGGGAACCAGATATCGACTATGTCTGTCTTAGCCGATATCTGGTAAATCGGCTAAGAAAGTGGAAAAGAGAGTTAAACTTAGAATGTAGTCTTGTGGTGAAGATAAAAAATAACCCACACGGAACAGGAACTTTATTGTAGCTAATTATGCTAATAAAAGCTTCTTGAAACATAACCAGATTATAAATTCAGACTCGTAACTGCTCAATAATTAGTACACCAAGAATCACACTTCTTTTAAGGTTTTAACATAACCATAAAAATACCATACGAGAAAATAGCCTTTATAAAAATTTAGTCTGAGAAATCTTGATGGGAAGACAATCTGGACTTGGTTATGATGAAGTGTGAGCTGCATCAATAATGGCTTCAATGCGGAGGCACGGATCATGGTTGGAAGAGTCGCCGGTGACCAGCCTGCACACAGTTGCCTTGAGGCAGTCCTTGTCACAGCTCCAGTCATCTGGTATCTCTGCCCAAGTATTGTGTGTATTCCTGGAAGTTTTCATTTGATTTATAACAAAGACTTTAAATAAATAATTGAAAGTATAATAACATGGTTAGCATTATTGTGATTTCGCTTGCATGTGAAGGTGCTGATGCCAATTCAACGCATTCGGGTCACAACTTAGAGGTCCCGGGTTTGATATCCTCGGCAGGACAGAGATGCTTGGACACGGTTTCTTTTATTTGATGCCTCTCTACCTAGCAGTAAATTTGTATCCATGAGTCTATCAAAATCTTTGGACCCCCGACACCTGTCAGCCAAGCCGCTGCCAGACCCCCCCCTCGCCTCTCAACTCAAGATCTAACTAGAAAACACAGCTTTTGTTTTAAATTTTTCGTGACCCTAAGGTTTTTCGTGATATTCGCTCGGCTACGCATCAATCATGACAAGGAAATTACCAGCACATGGAGTAAGTGGTAAAGTACTGGAATAGATTAAACATTTGTTAAAGCAATTGTGAAGGTGCTGATGCCAATTCAACGCATTCGGGTCACAACTTCAGAGGTCCCGGGTTTGATATCCTCGGCAGGACAAAGATGCTTGGACACGGTATCTTTCACTTGATGCCTCTCCACCTAGCAGTAAATTTGAAAATATTCGATTTTCTGGGTGTTGAGGAAAGACGGCGTACCGCAGTACCGAGATGTAACATACTGGCAGATGAGGAGCCTGCTGGAAGGTAGATATTTCCTGCAGCTAATTCTTCCTGTAATATGAGTCTGCTGCCTAACAGATGGCGGTAGTGGCCATTTAAATAACGTGTTAAGAGTAACCCAGCGATTTTTGGCATACATTTTGACTTCAAGAACCGATGTTTGAGAGTAGACGAACGTGCTTTTGATGGTCATTAAAGGGTAGATTGAAAATTCTCCAGCGTTTGCCGTCTTCCTATTATGGTCTAACGTGAGAATTTTGGAAAGTTCCTGGACGTGTCGGGAGCTGGAATGTATCGCTGGCCGAGGCTGGAGTTGGCAGTCTCCGGTGGAGGGTATTGCCTCAGACACCGACCCGGCCGGTGACCTTTGCTCAGAAAAAGTCATTATTTTCTGTCCAAATATTAAGAAATGATTCTAATTGAGATAAAATGAGAAGTATTTCGGGTAAGATAGAGGCAGTACAGCACATCACACAAGATTCACTATAATTTACTATAATACAAATGATAAATATGAAAATATATTATATCTTACCATTCATATTTTTGGAAAAGTGTTTCATCAGTAGCTAAGTCTAGCACAAGCTGGTCAAGGCTCGCTGGAGTCAGGGAAGTAACACCATAGGAGTCTTGAGCTGAGTATCTGTCAAGAGAGTTTCACAAACACATAAGTATCACTCGGTGTCGAAAATATAACTTGTAATGCCTTACACTGACTGGGGATACAACAAAACAGTTCAACACACGATACAGTTAACGGGGATACACGGTACACTGACACACTGATTCTACACACGGGACACACGGTACACTAACTGGGGATACAACAAAACAGTTCAACACACGGTACAGTTAACGGGGCAGTGAACTGACAACATATCACACCCACGCATGCTAAGAGCTCTAACAGGGAGGGAGGAATATAGAGTAGGCTACTCTATCCCTTTGAGATGTATTATATTGTTTCAATAAACGTACTTGAACTTGAAGAGCTATAACAAACCTCAGTTGGAAATCTGGAGCACCGCCCTCCTCATTAGCCTCCGTCATGTTCATGCTGTACGTCTCCACGTCCACAACGCTCTGGAACATCACGCCAACATTTGGATCATGTGTTATTATTTTAATAATTTGTTGGAAAAATCCATTGTTGTTGTTCTTTCTGAGTAATTCAGGCATGATATTTTTCCTGCCAGCCGACTAAATCAAAATATGTTACTACAGTAGTGACAAAATGGGTTAGTCCAGTGTGTGAGAAAATTTTGTTTCATCTGCGCTCATAATGCCCCTGGAGGGAGCACTTCTCTCACCTCTGGGTTACCACTGTGCGCAATTCTTAAAATATTCGATTTTAAGTTTCTTCCCTGCAAATTAAAGTATAATATATATATATATATATATATATATATATATATATATATATATATATATATATATATATATATATATATATATATATATATGTCGTACCTAGTAGCCAGAACTCACTTCTCAGCCTACTATTCAAGGCCCGATTTGCCTAATAAGCCAAGTTTTCCTGAATTAATATGTTTACTATAATTTTTTTCTTCTGAAATGATAAAGCAACCCTTTTCTCTATGTATGAGTTCAATTTTTTTTATTGGAGTTAAAATTAGCGTAGATATATGACAGAACCTAACCAACCCTACCTAACCTAACCTAACCTATATTTACAGGTAAGGTTAGGTTAGGTAGCCAAAAAAAGCTAGGTTAGGTTAGGTTAGGTAGGTTAGGTAGACGAAAAAACATTAATTCATGAAAACTTGGCTTATTAGGCAAATCGGGCCTTGAATAGTAGGCTGAGAAGTGCGTTCTGGCTATTAGGTACGACATATATATATATATATATATATATATATATATATATATATATATATATATATATATATATATATATATATATGACCGAAAAAGTAAGATTAATAATTCTAACACGAATTTTCTCGATCTTTCTTACGTTTCTTTTCACTGTTGATGGTAATTCAAAGATCAATTCTCCAAAATTCATTTTTATTTCTAGTCTGACGCGACACTTGAATTTACCTACTTAAAATTATCTGTTAGATTAAGGACCTGCCCGAAACGCTGCGTGTACTAGTGGCTTTACAAGATTGTAAATACCATGCTATGTATTCTCACAAACCCAATGTACCTTCTTGTATATAAATAAATAAATAAATAAATAAATAAAAACTCACAACTGATGACGTCTGAGCACTTCCGGAATATATAATATATATTCAATATGCACAATATGCTAATATATAATAATATTAACTTATATTTGAGAAAATTCCTATTTTGAATGAACAGCATTTTATAATTGATGAATGCGTCTTTGGGGTCGACTGCTGGTTGGAGTGGACCTGGTCTGAGGACACGTTGCTCTGCTGTACCTCTTTGACCACTTTCAAGACGTGTGAGAGAAGACTCGTTGGGGACACATTTTTTTTAATTCAATGTTTATCCAAAAGAATGTGTGTGTACAAAGAACATAATAGTAATGTACAATTGTAGGGACAGGAGTTACACAATCTATGAAGCCACTCTTACGCAAAACGTTTCGGGCAAAAACATAAAATAAATAGACAACAAATTTAACTAAAGGTGTGAGGGGATAAAGCACTTAATACTAAAGGAGAAGTAAGTTAACAAAATGAGAACGTTTATGGAAAATAACAAATGAATGAAAAAAAAGGTGATACTTAAGGATGACAGGCATAGACTATTACAATATGGAGTCAATAGTTCTAGCAACAGTACAGTAGTTTATTTACATTATTAATAATAGAATGGAAATACAAGGTGTAGTTTAGAAGAACAACTGGACTCTTTCACATAACGTTTTCTCTGGAACGTAACAGAACATAGAGTAATATAGTAATTTAAGGTTATTGGGTCAACACTAAACATTAACCAGGAACATAAAGGGTATGAGTAAAAACATTAACAAAGAAATGCAAGAAATTAGATGACAATAAATGTAGAAAGTACATAATACTTACAGTACATAATACATACATAATAGTACATAATACGATACGATAGATAGTACATAATACGTCGACCAGGCCAGGAGGCCTGGTCGACGACCGGGCCGCGGGGACACTAAGCCCCGGAAGCACCTCAAGGTAAGGTACTTAGAAAATACAAAATTATGATAAGAGTATCACAAACTAACTTATTACAAGGGAAAATGTGAGTGAAATTAGTTACATGGTATTGATTATAAGATAATAATTACGTGATATTAAGTAAGTATTTCTTAGTCTCTCTTTTAAACTGGTTGGGAGATGTTCAGCTTTTAATTACATTTGGGAGGTCATTAAAAAATTTGGGACTCATGATTTGGATTGCACTTCTGCTGTGGTTGAGTCTCACTCTAGGGATATCAAAGAGGTATTTGTTTCTTGTGTGGTGAGTGTTAGTTCTATTACAGCCTTCTAGGAAACGCTTAAGGTCAGGATTGACATTGCAATTCAGAGTTTTGTAGATATGATTGTTGTTGCTGTTTTAGATTCAGATACTCGGAACAATAAGTTGCAAGTAGCACGGGCTATGGTGAGCCCGTAGTGGACTTATAGATATGGAATTACGTCAGAGCTAACTCCATATCTGCACATACATACTCTCAAGTGTTCTTTATAGATGTGGAGAACACTTGAGAGTATGTGTGTGCAGAGACTTGATATTTAACATCTTCAAGGATTTCAGTTCAGTTCAACAAAATACTTAACTGTACGCCTCTATTCAGCAAAATAGAGGCGTACAGTTAAGGACTGGCGCCCAGTCAAGCCTTCCCCGGCCAGGATACGAACCCAGGCCAAATCGCTCGCGATGGGCGGGGCAAGTGTCTGACCACTGCGCCACGGGGACTGCTATAGTATTCACAAAATATACACAAAATATAGTATTCACAGAGTATTCATATAGTATTCTAAGCTAAATATCTCAGAAATCCTTAATTATTATATAATAAGTTTAAAGATCAACACAGATGAAAGATCAGTTTTCTCTACTCAAAATAGACAGAGGCTATATAATAAATGGTGACGAAACTAAACTGACTTGTGGTGAGGCGGCGTCTGTACGTACCCAAGTGGCGTCGTTGTGACCGGCGTCCACCATGAAGACCTTGTACGACGGGTTACTACTACCGCCCGTGGCTCCTGCAAACAATGTTATTTGCCACCATATTGATTATAGTATATAAAGGCAGAGTAAGTCATTGCAGTTGACGCTTGCAGTAAACAATAAATAGCTGGTATTAGCTAGCAAAACAATACATAATACTACACGTTCCATCTGTGGGATCTCATTTTGACAAAATTATTTCCACGTCTTTCCCTGATGAGCGGGCGAGGGAGGGGAGGGGAGGGGGGAAGAATTTTGGAGAGTTTTTAGTGAAGATAATGAAGAGGTACAGGAAAAGGAAAAGTTGTTGAAATGTGGAATGAAGTGTGAGATGGTAGGAGGCGGGCTGTCCTACTTGTTGGTACGGTGTGTGGCAGTTAAACTAAGCTTGCTCTCTTTTGCCAGAAAGTTGGGAGTGTTTGTTAAGGTTTCTCACATATATTTCAACATGTATAGATGTTCATAGATGAATGGTGTGTAGCATTCATTTATACACATTCTAATGTTTGTGTACATGTTTTGCTATTCTGTTTGCAGGGTCATCTTCTGTTTTTTGTCTTTGGGGTTTTGTGATCCGCGTTTCCTCTTGGGATTATGTATTGAGGGAGGTTGGCTGTTTCGAGGGCCAGTTGGTGGCCACAGTTGGGCCACCAACTGTGGGAATGGGGCGTCTTTTCTTGGAGTAACCTTCCTAGTAATGGGTCTTTTAACATTTTGATCGTGTTCCACACCCTGGTGGCTTGCTGTTGTAGTCTGATTTTCAGTGGTTGTATGTTCAGGGATTCACGGGAGCTCTGGCCCCTGGCCCCTGGATTGTCTGATCATAATAGTGGACAGTGTTTTGCACCTTCTTAACGTCTTGCTTTGCACTGCCTGTAGATTGTGCATATTAGTTTTCTTTAGGGTATGTAGGCATATGCTTGAGGATATTCTAGATGCGTCTATTGTAGAGCCTTGTGCAAAATATTCGGAATTTTCACAGTTTGTCTAAAGCTGCGTTTGCTCTGTTTATCATCTATTTATGTGAATTTTTATTCCTGTTCTATTAATCTTAAGTTTCAGTATTCTGCCTACATTCGTTTGTTGGATTGGCCTGTTGTCACGAATAATGGGCTCGATTTATTTTAACAGTATGTGTATTATATTGATTTTTTGTTTGTTGGAACTTATTTTCCAATGCTTCTCAAAGCTGTTTATAAATTCTGTTACTGCCTTGTATGTGACTGTCCTGTATGGCAGGTAAATTGAGTAACGTCATCCGCATATGTGATGTATCCTCCATGTTGGGGGAGCGTGTAAGTCTTTGTGTTGAAAAGAGTGCGGGATAGACAGGGCTTTGCTATAACTTTTCCTTTACTTGGGAATCTCCATATCTTTACTCCCATAAAAAAAAACCTAAGTCGGCGAAAGATTGGTAAATTTACTGACTCATTTATTCTGTCTTAAAAATATATTGTTCTGGATAAATTTAGAACTGAAATTGAGATCATTATAATTGTTGTGTACCTGCGGGAGTGACGAATGCTGCAATTGCCGGGCGGGTGTCGTCATCTGGGTCATAATATACCTGCAACATATCGTTGTGCGTGTGTCCAAGGAACATTGCTCGAATTGTTGACTCGTACCTGTCAATATTGCTTTACATTTATGTTTCAAATTATAGTATGCACAGTATGTCTCATATTATAGTATGCACAGTATGTTTCATATTATAGTATGCACAGTATGTTTCATATTATAGTATGCACAGTATGTTTCATATTATAGTATGCACAGTATGTTTCATATTATAGTATGCACAGTATGTTTCATATTATAGTATGCACAGTATGTCTCATATTATAGTATGCACAGTATGTTTCATATTATAGTATGCACAGTATGTTTCATATTATAGTATGCACAGTATGTTTCATATTATAGTATGCACAGTATGTTTCATATTATAGTATGCACAGTATGTTTCATATTATAGTATGCACAGTATGTTTCATATTATAGTATGCACAGTATGTTTTAAATTATAGTATGCACAGTATGTTTCATATTATAGTATGCACAGTATGTCTCATATTATAGTATGCACAGTATGTTTCATATTATAGTATGCACAGTATGTCTCATATTATAGTATGCACAGTATGTTTCATATTATAGTATGCACAGTATGTTTCATATTATAGTATGCACAGTATGTTTTAAATTATAGTATGCACAGTATGTTTCATATTATAGTATGCACAGTATGTCTCATATTATAGTATGCACAGTATGTTTCATATTATAGTATGCACAGTATGTCTCATATTATAGTATGCACAGTATGTTTCATATTATAGTATGCACAGTATGTTTCATATTATAGTATGCACAGTATGTTTCATATTATAGTATGCACAGTATGTTTTAAATTATAGTATGCACAGTATGTTTCATATTATAGTATGCACAGTATGTCTCATATTATAGTATGCACAGTATGTTTCATATTATAGTATGCACAGTATGTTTCATATTATAGTATGCACAGTATGTTTCATATTATAGTATGCACAGTATGTTTTAAATTATAGTATGCACAGTATGTTTCATATTATAGTATGCACAGTATGTTTCATATTATAGTATGCACAGTATGTTTTAAATTATAGTATGCACAGTATGTTTCAAATAGCAAGATAGAAGAAAGCGAACTACTCGAATACTCTTGACTGTATCAATGTCACCAGAAGACACAGAAGACATAACAAAGGGGACAGTCAGACCTTTTGTTACATCTGAATAAGATGTATTAAGTTCAACAGTGTTGTTCATCTTCACGTATAAAATGTGCAGAAATCCAACTCTTGTTTTCTAGAACAATTGCTACAAATTATCAGTAAAGAGAAAGAACTTTTTAAATGAGAATATAGGAACAATTTAATATTGTATTTTGGTTTAAATATACAAGTTTCATGTATAAATCTGTTTGCCAGTTAGCATTATAGTATCCTATTGTTTGTTATTTAATTGAAAAGTGTCTAGGTAATTAATGTATTTTTCTGTTTTTAATGAAATAAACTTTTAGAGTGTGAGACGCAAGAGGCGAGGACAGCTGAGCATCTCCTCCCGATGAGATCACACACTTGAAAATAGTTTAGAGCATGTTAATGTGCGAGTACTTACAAAAGTCTGCAGTCATTATTTTGCTTTTAGCAAGATTTGGCATTTTTTTAAGAAATTGCAAAACAACAATTAAATATCTGCCTTTATAATACTTTATAGAAACTACAACTAATTTATTCCCTCTCTCCTCAAATTAAATTCCTAGATGTGTCATTGTTCAGAATATATATCTAATAAACTCACCTAGTTGAGCTTACGGGGGTTGAGTGTTGGCTCTATGGTCGCGCCTCTCAGTTGGCAATCAATTGGTGTACAGTCTATTGGGCTCTTACATATCTACATTTGAAACTATGGAGTCAGCCTCCACCACATCACTGGCTAATGCATTCCATTTGTTAACTACCCTGACACTAAAAAAGTTATTTTAAATGTCTCTGTGGCTTATTTGGGTACCAAGTTTCCACCTGTGTCCCCATGTTCGTGTTCCACCCATGCTAAATAGTTTGTCTTTGTCTACCCTGTCTCTCAGAATTTTGTAGGTGGTAATCATGTCTCCCGTAACTGTTCTGTCTTCCAGGGACGTGAGGTTTAGTTCCCGTAGCCTAAGTAATATGAAATTTCCATGATGATAATGTATTTAAAAATCACAAGTAATACAGCAGAGGAAGGCTATACAGCACAGAAGTGAGCATTACTGAAGTAATAAGACTACAGTACCTGTAGTGTTTAATTACCTGACAATAATTTGATTGAAGACGTGACTCCATGTATGATCGCAGTCACTATTCCCAGGTGGGATGTGACCAAGGAGATGAACCACCTCCCCAGACGCTTCTGCTGCAGCCAGGGTCTCCAGGAGCCACTGGAGCTCCTGCACCGGGTCTTCGTTGTCCAGCAGCAGCCACCTGAGGAGCAGAGTTGTCACCAGTGTCGGCCTCACGCTCTATACATATTGTCCCAGGCCGTGATGTTCGCTCCTTGTACACCTCTTACTCTCTGTACCAAGCTCTCACTCGAAACGGATTATACACACGCACACACACACACACACACACACACACACACACACACACACACACACACACACACACACACACACACACACACACACACACACACTATGGAAGCCCTGTTTAGAAATAGTTTTTTATTTGTATTAAGCTTACAAAACTAACCAATTTAATGTATTGCAGAAGTTCATATTGATGGATACAACACGAAGACCAGGCAGCGGGGAGTAGGAGAAGAATCCTCCTCGTCGTACGTCAGCCAAGACCTCCTCTGGCAGCCAGTGTGCCCACATGTCGGCCACACCGTCGTACAACCAACTCATGCTCCAACCATCACTGTACGCTGCTGGTATTACGAAGCTGCCAGTGTACGCAAGGTAATACTCGATAAAACAATCTTTCTGTACTTGTAGCAAAAATCACACTGTTTAATAATATATAAATTAATAACATTAGTTTAGATGGAACAAATGCAATGATTCCGAAGACTAGCAATGACATTGGATTTTATTCATCTCTTATACCTTTTTATAAACCAGGACAATTCAATATGACGTCCACGTTCATTATGACAATATCATGTTCAATATTACAATATCATGTTCAATATGACAATTCAATATGGCGTCCTACAATTCAATATGATATTCCTGCCACGTCCATGGGTACTTAACTAAGTAATGTTTGGTAACAATTGTTGTGAAAAAAATGTTCGTGTTAGGTCATAATCACAGAAAAATGCAATAGGAATTCGTTTCTAAAGTTTCATATATCCACAGTGCTCATTCACTCTTAAATATTTAAAGAGACTTTAAACTCAAGTCTTCTTCCTCACCTGTTAACAGGTGCTGACGCATGGTTGCCAAGAGCACTGATGACAGGTGTGTCGGGAAAATATTGCTTGAGAATGTTGTTGGTGGTATTTATGGCAGCCAAGTTACTGGCATGGTCCTGGGCCCACACATCATGGGCTGGGAGGTCGCCAGTTACATATCTAAATGATGGATGTTGTGTTAGTAAGTTGAACACAAGGAATATGGGTTAACGGTAAGCAAGCTGGGGGTCAAGTTACTTAAAAATTCATAAAAATAACATTTAATGATTTTGAGATTTCATCCAGTTGAGGAATAGGCTTCAGTAGCCAGAGTAACATTGGATAATCAGTGTGAACTAATGAAATACCACCGGCCCAAGATGGCAACTTTGAAGCCTTCGTACATGGTTACATGACATGGTTTATATGGTTCTGGTAAGCTAGGTGTATAGGTTATTTCGAAGTCGTAATATTGTTCCCGCAATGATTTCAGCAGCAATATCTTGAATCTAGCCAGTTGTTATATAACTTGTTAATGGCAGTGAATGGAAGAAGCCTCACTAAACCAGATATATAGGTTATTGAAGGTATTTAAGTGTCCTGTCCACAAGTAGCAGAATATTAAAATAAAAAATGTGAAGAGATGCCGCTACCACTGAAGACCGGTATAATTTTTGTAATAAGGTCTTACTAGTTGAGTGTCTCACTCTGCTAGCCAGAGAGAGAGACAGTAGGGTGCACTCTTTGCAGTTTATAAACAGTATGTGATATTCCTATGCTGCAACAGGGATGTGTACATACCGAAAACTGTACCCCATTTCTCGGTGTATATACACTGAAAGTATGCTTTAGTCCTGAACATAGTTCTAAGTATTCCTACTGATATTTCCGTAAGCAATTGTGGTGTAGGCAATTCTGAGTAGCTGGTTACCGTTTACAAAAATGTGAGCAAGTTTGAAAGGCAGGATCTATATTTAACAACCCCATGTTGTGTAGTATATACAAGATTGTTCACTGAAAGATGAATGATTCCCTCCCTTAGGATTCTCTCCGTGAGGTTGCAGATGTGTGATGTCAAGCTGATCTGACGGTAGTTTTCTGCTGAGCTCTTTCTGCCTTTTTTGGAAAGTGACATTTGTATATTTCCAATCTAGAGGGACTACCCCTTGGTCCAGAGATTTTGTGAAAAGTAATTTCAGCGGTAGGCATAGTTCTTCTGCCAGTTCCTTGAAGACTTTGGATTGAATGTCCTCCACAGCTGGGGCTTTTGAGTCTTAGTTTGTCAATGCCCTTCCTAATTACTTCGCATGTTATGGGTATATCCCTAAATTCATTATTCTCCCCTCCTTCAGATGAATGTGTGTGTGTACTCACCTATTTGTGCTTGCGGGGGTTGAGCTTTGGCTCTTTGGTCCCGCCTCTCAACTGTCAATCAACTGGTGTACAGATTCCTGAGCCTACTGGGCTCCATCATATCTACATTTAAAACTGTGTATGGAGTCAGCCTCCACCACATCACTGCCTAATGCATTCCATCCGTTAACTACTCTTGACACTGAAAAAGTTCCTTCTAACGTCTCTGTGGCTCATGTGGGTACTCAGTTTCCACCTGTGTCCCCTTGTTCGCGTCCCACCAGTGTTGAATAGTTTATCCTTGTTTACCCGGTCGATTCCTCTGAGGATTTTGTAGGTTGTGATCATGTCTCCCTTCACTCTTCTGTCTTCCAGTGTCGTAAGGTGCATTTCCCGTAGCCTTTTCTCGTAACTCATGCCTCTTAGTTCTGGGACTAGTCTAGTGGCATACCTTTGGACTTTTTCCAGCTTCGTCTTGTGCTTGACAAGGTACGGGCTCCATGCTGGGGCCGCATACTCCAGGATTGGTCTTACATATGTGGTGTACAAGATTCTGAATGATTCCTTACACAGGTTCCTGAACGCTGTTCTGATGTTAGCCAGCCTCGCATATGCCGCAGACGTTATTCTTTTTATGTGGGCTTCAGGAGACAGGTTTGGTGTGATATCAACTCCTAGATCTTTCTCTCTGTTCGTTTCATTAAGTACTTCATCTCCTATTCTGTATCCTGTGTTTGGCCTCCTATTTCCACTGCCTAGTTTCATTACTTTGCATTTACTCGGGTTGAACTTCAACAGCCATTTGTTGGACCATTCACTCAGTCTGTCTAGGTCATCTTGTAGCCTCCTACTATCGTCCTCAGTTTCAATCCTCCTCATAATTTTTGCATCATCGGCAAACATTGAGAGAAACGATTCTATACCCTCTGGAAGATCATTTACATATATCAGAAACAGTATAGGTCCAAGGACTGACCCCTGCGGTACTCCACTCGTAACGTCTCGCCAATCTGAGACCTCACCCCTCACACTGACTCGTTGTCTCCTGTTACTTAGGTACTCCTGTATCCAACGGAGTACCTTCCCTTTCACTCCAGCCTGCATCTCCATTTTTTTCACTAGCCTCTTGTGTGGCACTGTATCAAAGGCTTTCTGACAATCCAAAAATATGCAGTCTGCCCACCCTTCTCTTTCTTGCCTTATTTTTGTTTTTGTTGTGTGTGTGTGTGTGTGTGTGTGTGTGTGTGTGTGTGTGTGTGTGTGTGTGTGTGTGTGTGTGTGTGTGTGTGTGTGTGTGTGTGTGTGCACTCACCTAGTTGTACTCACTTAGTTGTGCTTGCGGGGGGTTGAGCTTTGGCTCTTTGGTCCCGCCTCTCAGTTGTCAATCAAGTGTTGTACTTTACTTCTAGCCTACTGGGTTCAATCATATCTACATTTCAATCTATAAGCATGCTATAAAGTGAATGCTGTTTTTGCACATGCATATGTCTGTTGTGCATTTCTGGATCTGTATTCACCTAGTTGTGTTTGCGGTGGTTGAGCTCTGCTCTTTTGGCCCACCTCTCAACTGTCAATCAATCAACTGTTACTAACTACTAATTTTTTTTTCACACACACACGCACCCTGGAAGCAGCCCGTAACAGCTAGCTGTCTAATTCCAAGGTACCTATTTACTGCTAGGTAACAGAGACATAAGTGTGAAAGAAACTATGTCCATTTTTGTTTCTCGCCGGCGCCGGGAATCGAACTCGGGGCACAGGATTACGTGTCCAGCGTGTTGTCCACACAACCACCGGTTCCCCAGATGTGTGTGCGCGCGCGCGCGTGTGTGTACTCACCTAGTTGTGCTTGCGGGGGTTGAGCTTTGGCTCTTTGGTCCCGCCTCTCAACCGTCAATCAACTGGTGTACAGATTCCTGAGCCTACTGGGCTCTATCATATCTACATTTGAAACTGTGTATGGAGTCAGCCTCCACCACATCACTTCCTAATGCATTCCATTTGTTAACTACTCTGACACTGAAACGTTCTTTCTAATGTGACGCATTTGGGTACTCAGTTTCCACCTGTCTACTTGTTCGTGTTCCACCCGTGCTAAATAGTTTGTCTTTGTCCATCCTGTCAATTCCTCGCAAAATTGTTTATGTGGTTATCATGCCTCCCCTAAGTCTTCAGTCTTCCAGTGACATGAGGTTTAATTCTCGTAGCCTTTCCTCGTAACTCATACCTCTCAGTTCTGTGACTTGTCTGGTGGCATACCTCTGAATCTCCTCTAACTTTGTCTTGTATTTAACAAGGTATGGACTCCAGGCTGGAGCTGCATACTCCGGGATTGGTCTGACATAAGTGGTATACAAAGTCCTGAACGATTCTTTACAAAAGTTTCTAAAGGCAGTTCTTAAGTTGGTCAATCTAGCATATACCACAGATGATATCCTTCTGATGTGGGCTCCTGGGGACAGGTTCGTGTATGTTTGTACGTACCTCGCTCCTCAGTGTGTATGCTGTAAGTGGATACGTTATCTCGGGACAATGTGTAGGGTTAAATAATTCTTGCTGGTTGGTCAAGCAAGCACTTGTGAGGCCCTAATAACTCTCCTGAAGTTGATAGGCTTAAAACCCATTACCAAATCTCTGGTAAGTAAAAGTAATTTGATAAAGAGCTTCTATAAAATTACAAAACCAGAATTCAAAGATTTGTTTTAGCAGTCATACAGATGAAGTAATGAAAGTGATCGGCAGCAGTGTTAGCTCCTCGTAGGGAAGGACTTACGAGTGGGGACCAGTATGACAAAAAGTCTTAAAATAGCAGAATTCTTGTAAACAAATTATACTACTAACGATAGATTAAATAAATATAAATCTACAGCTTAACACAACAAGTAGATCTGAGGCACAGTGTGCAGTTGCTACCTAAAGCAAGAGACCCCACTGGCTCATAAATCAATGTCAACCCAGAATGACATTCAGAAGGTTGATTCTAAAAACAATTCAAAACATGTCCACATGTTACTTGGTACGGTACAGGACCGCTATTTAACGCTCTAGATAAACTACCAAACGACCGCCACCAGGTGGCAGCACCAACACACTAAACCTATATAGCTTCATTTTTATAAATACATTGAGTGAAGCTGCCAACCAGAACTCTGAGTTGATGCTATAAAATGAATTCTGTTTTTGTACCTGCACATAAGTTTGTTGTGCGTTTCTGGATCTGGACCAACCGTTCTACCCTGATGGGTCTAACTTATGACGGGGAAATCGTCTCGATAGGGAGGAGACTTATATGGCTGGAGGTCTGTTCAGAACTAACTTTCAGGTTTAATAGTCAAAAGGCTTAGAATTCTAAGCTATCTTGGCATGGCTATCCAGTTCATCCAGGTATATTCAGTCTGATTTTACAAGGCGTCCAAATTAACTCTTGGCTTCACTAATGCCCCATGCCTCTGTTCACGTAACAAGCGGGAGTCAGGCAACTGTTGTGGGTTGCTTTCTGGAGAGGGTCAGTAGTTGACCCAGGGGGGGGGGGACTGCGGTAAGCCTAACAAGACTCCTGTTCCTGACTATGGGAACCGATCCGTTAATTATAGCTATAACCATAACATTTGTAAACAGTTAAATTGTTACACAAGATCTGGGTTGGTGAGAGCAGCTTGAGCAATCATGTCTTCCAGCGTGCGTAGCGGAATATCACAGTTGGCCAGTGTGCCCCAGTGTCCGGCCGCAGCCTCGCCTGGACCAGGGTCGCCAAACGCGTGCCGACAACACAGTGGATGGTCACAGTATGCAGCGCTGCCTTCATCATACAGGAGGTCGACGTGGGTGTCAGTCAGATGCAGGATCCTCAGTACATTAGGAGTGGGCTGAAAAGGGCAGACAAGGACATGAATTTAGTATATTGGAATGAATTTGATGGTACGGCCACGTATGACCCAATAGGCTTTCTGCAGTTTCCTTGATTCTTGTATGATATTTGATGTGGTTGAATTTGCAGGTTTTCATGTCAATCACTTTTTAATTACTTTCTCTTTCAAACTACAAGCTTATTCAACTAACAATACTGTATATCAATATTTTTACAACCGGTTACAAGAAAATCAATTACAGGCATATGTCATATCTGGATAAATAGCTATAAAGCATAACCAATCGTGTAGCAACATTTCATCAGTCAAAAGGTGACTCGGAATATCATTTAAGAGGAAGTAACAATTAAGGGATAAAATATATGTACAGTATGTGAAGCAGGATGTTATGATTCACTAACAGTTATGACCTAGTTATATATAGCTAGTTCCTAACACAGGAGCAAAAAAAAAAAAAGAATGTTTCAGAACTCGCTCCTTACACTTGGTGAGGCTACAGCACTGACCTGCTCAGGTTCTGGGTGATATGGCTCAGGCTTCCCTCCAGGTATCTCTATAGTCCAGGGCTCAAGCTCTGTGTTCTTGCAGTGGCCACCAAGCAGCCAGCCACATACGGTGTCGTAGTTGTACTCAGTATTGTTGAGCACGTAGAGCACTTCTGCCTGCACGTGCATGAAAACTCTTAATTATAATGGGGTTATTGTATTGGGATTTGCACTTTGTACCAAAGGCTGAGTAGTGTGATATTAAAAATAATAATTATAATATTTAAAATTGTAATAATTGCTCAACATTTATTTTTTCTCTTTGTTACAAACTAAATTCATAAATCTCATCTTCCTAACATATGACAGCTGACAGCTATTCAGCTTGTGCTCAAAATATCCCTCCGTTATCATTTCTAATCACCACTTTTCCCTAGTTCTTATAAATTATCAAATTTGAACAGCAGTACATACTTACATATTACCTACAATATTTCCACATGAACAAATCCACATGGGCCAGTTGAGGGTTCGAACCTACGTCCGGGATGATCCCAGGCGTGGATTTGTTCACTCGATATATCACGCTATTGTGATTTCTGTGTGTATCTCCACATGTTTTAAAAACCTCGTTAAATTTTACAATTTTTTGTAAGTTTCTAAATCGCTAAACAATCTTTACGGATACCTCGATTTTTAAGCTATAAGAAGTGCCCCTAAATGCTATGCATGATATTGGATTTTGTACAATGTACCATTTACATTGTACCTGCAGCCTATTTTTAGAGGATGTTCACTTTAACATTTTGTATTTAAGAAAACACATAATTAATGATTGTCTGTTATTACATTAGCTGGATATTAGTGTTATTCTTCTGGCGGGAGTGAAGAGTGTGCACATGACCCGGCTGGTGCTGCCCGAAGCTACCAGTGGACACAACTAAGTATTAACTTGAATATAATTTTTTTTTAGAGTACCTAACATTAACAGGCTCATGACAAAATACTCAACAAAACTGAGCATTTCTTTCGATGCTGGACGTTGATTAATGTGATCTGAGTGATTCTGTAAAGGACTCTGCACCATCTGATTTTTCTCAGCTGTGGCAGAGGCAGATCAATAATAAATGGTAATCTGGTAAGTCACACTAATAGAGGACAAGGGATAATAGCAAGATACAGAAGATCTGTCAGGCGCATGATTTTCTGTAGGTTACGCATGATAAAATATTGGAACCATAATTTCACGAGATTGAACTATACATTTCAGTCCAGATTCTCTCGTTTTGAGTTGTAGTTAAAAAGTTTCATCCAGTGTAAATATGAAATTTTTAATCTATAAATGACTACAGGGTGAGTGAAATCTAACTGTTTCGTCCAATAATTTTTATCTGGCACGATTTTGATATTAGAGCTCTTATAACCAAATGGTTTAGTAAGTCAAGGGTAAGAAGGTAGGGGATGGGAATGGGTATATTGTGCTAGTGTTACTGTTGTGTGAACGAGGTGTTCAGTCGGTTCCATAGTGTCTCGTGGCCAGGACGCGTGTGACTGCTCGTGTATTGGCTGAGATAACTCTTGCTGTGGGTAATTTAATGTTTTATGATGGGTGGGGGGGGGGTGAAGGACATTTTCAAGTGTACTTCCTTCAGAGGTTTTGGGCCTGCCTGAGTATCTTGTTTGTGAGCGGGTATCTCATTAAATTAAATGTCAATACGCAGTGCCAAGGGTTTTATTATGCGTAAAAGGAGCTACTGTGAAGGTTGATTTGTAAAGAATCGATACGGTTTATTCATTGAGTCCAGTGTGGAGGAGGCTGACATCATACTCTGAACAGGTTAATTTGTGGAATTACTTTCCCTGTGGGCCTGACCTTGACCCGCCCCGCCTGGAGGGTCCTAGCTGTGTGGTATGTTTGTAAGTTATGAGGCCGCCCTAGAGTAGAGCATCGTGGTAGGTTTGTAATAAACCTGTCCTCTTACAAATTACGTCTGAATTTGGCCGTTTGTCCGTATGGCTGAAAACTGACGTAATTTGAAAATGAAAACAATGAAAAATTAATTTCGGATTTTTTTTTTCCAAAACAGGAAGTTAAGGGTCCTCTGGTAGGTTAGGTGGGCAGGAAATTCTCATAAAGTTTCAAAACGTCATGAAAAACGTTAATTGAAAGTTTCCTCTCCTAACCTAACAGACTAAGCTGGAGGACCCAAACAGAAAACGGGACAGCACATCACTTTCGTGAGCCGATTTCATTTCAAATTACGTCAGTTTTTGGCCGTAGCGCGAATACGAGCGAAAACCGAAATTATTTTGAAAGGACGTGTTGCCTAATTATCGCCCCACCACTCGTAGCATACACGTCCGTAATGTGTTCCCTCATTATGCCTGCCTTACCCCCTTACCTCCCTTGCCCCGTTAAGAGTGCATCTGTCACAGCCTAAACTTACCCCACACAACTTGACCATGCTAGAGCAAACATCACTTGGAAACATGTTGAAGTTAATGCATTCAGTAATGGCCAGATTTTCGAGCTCTTCTACAGTTCCTCCTTCAGCCATCAAAGTGTCCAAAGCTGCAGCAGCTGATTTGCATTCTAAACAAGTCATATCCCTGCGTGAAGAGAAGGATAAAGCAATACCATATTGCTTCGGAAAAGTCAAATTATGATAATGATATTTGTTAACAATTTAAGAATTAGTTTTTTTGTACAATATTTCTCCACAGGAGAAAATGGGAATGTCTGTGAAGCTTGAGATGCAAGGCGGAACTTGGCTATTGTTATGTAGGGTGCTGATTATTAAATAATTCATTGTCATCATTTAGCATTGCTCCAGTTATTTTCTTAAGCAAAAGAGAAAATTAAAAAAAAATTTAAGCTGTAAATCTTACTTGAATTCTTGAAAGGGGTGGAAGGCGGCGTGTGTGAGGAAGTGTACAGGTGGCAGCGGCGGGTCCCCGTCGACACGGTGGTCGCTACACCCAGTACCCGCCACGGCGGAGGCCGCCACCATCATGCCACACGCACCTGCGCACACGTAGAATAAACGGTAAAAATACCATAATGAGAAACATTATGAAAAGATGAAGAAAAAAAAGAAAGAAACATTAAAAAAAACAAAGCAAAGGGACGTCCTAAATGGAAGGTAACCTGACAAGAAAAATGTTGAGCGCAATAGCTCTAGGTTACATTTTAGAGCCAACCACTTGTTGTAATTTACATCTATGATATAATTGCAAAATCACAAACTACGTAATTGGATTTTCAGATAACAAGACGTATGGTAAAGTGGGAAACGAAAGCGATATTGAGGTTTTACACAACAATCTACATGAACTCTGCAAATGGTCAGTAAGACTGGAACATGCTCTTCAGTATTGAGGAAATGCAAGACTTTTCATGTAGGGCATATCACGAACATGCTGCACGTTAAAAAGGAAATGACCTCACAGTACACGAGGGGTACCCTTAGGACACTCTACCCTTAGGATTCTTTCCACTGTCCACCCTTAGGATTCTTTCCATAAGTTTGCATTTATCCGAGATCAAACTAATCGGACGGTAGTTTTCTGCCGAGATTTTTCTGCTTTTTTTTTTAATATGTGTAATTTTGCCTATTTCCAGTCTAGCGGAACCATCACATGGTCCAGAGATTTTCTCTGGATTAGCGTATGCTTGCTGGTTGGTCAATAAACTGTTGTTGCCCCTAATAATCCTCCAGACGTAGAGAAGGGTAAGCCCAAAATCACCATCATTCAAACCGTCAGTCAGTTCTGGAGTTTGGTAGTTGTCTGGTCATTGTGGACGACGTAATGAATTTGTTGGAACTGTTGGGCCTCGTTTTAGGAGTTTAGTTTAGTTCAATTATTATGCACCCCATACCCATCTTATGGGCGGCAGTGGAAAGGGTTACAGAGGCACAAAATGGGCTCAGGGACTGAACCCCACAATTCATTTAGCTAAGCAAGTTGAGCTCGATGAGCTCAATTTGCTCATGAGCTCTCGATGAGCTAGTTACAAAATTCAGTATAAGTCGTCACATCAACAATGGGCTCGAGATCGAACAACAAGTACAGTTTCTAATTTAATTAAGCAACTGACATATGTGGAGAGCTAGTGTCACAATTGATATGTTTGTCCTGCACACCGCCCCCCATCCAGTGGGCAGCGGTGGATAGGTTACAGTCACTTAGTTACTACCTACAGTTAGCAAACTGGGGATATTTGGCTAAGATTTCTGGTAGCAGATCATTTTGAACGAAATATTTACACATCTCATGAACATTGGTTATAGAATTGTCTCTGAATTCACGTATCTTTTCGCACTCCATCACATAGTGACGGAGGGTGTGCGAATAATTTTGTTGACACAGTTTACATTTGGTCAGGTCTACATCAGCAGATAATGAGAATTCCCAGAGATACTTGTAACCGAGTCTAAGCCGAGCAGTAGTAACATCTAGAAGTCTGCTGATTTTATTGGATGATCCATAGATGTGTACTCACCTAGTTGTGCTTGCAGGGGTTGAGCTTTGGCTTTTGGTCCCGCCTCTCAACTGCCTCTCAACTGGTGTACAGGTTCCTGAGCATACTGGGCTCTATCATATCTACATTTGAAACTGTATATGGAGTCAAATGTAGTGATCTCACTGATGTTAACAACTACAGACCTATATCAATTCTGCCAAACTTGTCAAAAATATTTGAAAAACTATTCTACAAGCAGCTTTACTCTTATATAGCCAAACACAATATATTTAGTTCTTGCCAATATGGCTTCAGACTCAAAAAAAGCACTAACGATGCACTTATTAGTATGATTAATTTGATACATGCAGCTCTCGATAAAAATGATTCCCTGTTGGGTTATTTGTAGACCTGCGTAAGGCTTTTGACACTATCAACCACCAAAACCTTCTTCTTAAATTACATCATTATGGAGTCAGAGGTCACTCCCTGCAATACCTTAAGTCTTACCTTACTGACAGGCTCCAGTATGTTTCTGTGAATAATTCAATTTCTCCCACCCTACCCATCAACATTGGTGTTCCTCAGGGCAGCATACTTGGCCCTCTCCTCTCTCTCATCTACATTAATGACCTTCCAAATGCCTCCCAACACCTCAAACCAATTCTATTTGCTGACGAAACGACCTTCATTTACTCCGGTCCTGACCCCCTTGCTCTAAATGTCACAGTGAATACTGAGCTAAATAAAGTCCATCTCTGGGTAACTGCCAACAAACTCACCCTCAACATTGACAAAACTTTCTATATTTTGTTTGGCAATAAATCCTCAAATCAAATAAATCTCGGGATAAACAATACCCACTTTTGTAACAAAGTAGATGGCAAATTCCTTGGCGTTCTCATTGACCACAAGCTGAATTTCCAGGGACACATTTTAAATATATCAAAAAAGTTTAAAAAACTGTTGGCATACTTTCTAAGATCAGATACCGCACCGCACCACTGCGCAGACAGCGGTGCGGTGACGTGTGACATCATACTAGTTTGCTTGTTTTCTGTTGGAGAGTTCTATCCACTAGTTCGGCTTTTGGTAGCAATTTTAACCAGAATAGGGGTTTGTTTTGGAATGCTTACCTTTCTGGATGCTTGACCCGGTCGATAGCAGACATAGAATGCTTCCAACCACACGGGGGTTTCTATAGGCCATTGCTCCCCTTGCCTCTCTGAGGGGGCCAGGTTCTGGCCGTGATCCCCGGTAGGCCCTAGAACTCCATACACATGACTGATACCAAAGTCTGACATTAGCATATCAGCCTGGTAAAGCTCCGAGGAGCCGACGGGGCTCCCCCCAGAAAAGATCTTAGTCTGGACTAAGCCCTCTCATACCAGGCAAGGTCGAGGGCCACAGGATTAAAAACACTATAAACCAGACATGACAAGGTTGATATAGATACCTTTAATTAAAGTACTGAACTAATTAAAATTAATTAATCTAGATCACTTCTTTGAAAGGTTCAGTTTAACACAATGAGCAAGAGCTTCAAGCTCACCAAGCCACAATATAGGACAGACAACAAGATATGCTTTTTCATTCATAGAGTAATAAACCCATGGAATCTCCTCTTTGTCAAAACAGTATTTCAGTTGAAAATCCAACAGACAATAGGTCGTGTTGAAGCCACTAGAGATTGTGATCCTCGGGTAAATATTGATTATTTATGGTAATAAACAGACAAACATAATGGTCCTCTTGACAACTGCAATTGTCCTTACTCCCTTGCCTCAACACTATTTTTTGCTCAAAGGAAGAATATTTGTTATACCACAAAAGTATAAGATTTATAAGATTTTTATAAATCCATTAAGATTTATAATACAAAAAATTGTAGAAAGTTGCACTCATTACTCACCTAAAATAGCTGTAACAAAGTAATACATTTTTCAATCAGTGTATATCGTCCTGTTAATCAGACTTGTCCACAGTAAGTCATGGGAGATGCTTACTATGTACAACACTACCACTGGTACTATTGTATTTGCTGACATGTAATTAAGTACCTGCTAAGGCTCTACAAGCATTACATGTGGGAAATGACACCTGCTACCAGCTGGTTAGTTCCCACACAAACAATACTTCTTATCTTTATATAACTGAAATATTGCCATTATAAACCTGCTTACAATTACAATACACATTTTCATTAGGCATTAAACTCAGTAATTAGGTACATTTTGTCCGAATATTAAAGAAATTATTTGTTAATAGCCATAAAAGCAATAGAAAACAATTATAAACACAGTACTATATTTTAAGGCATTAGGGAAAGATAAAGGCAATGTGTGTTTTGATTGACCTTCAGCCAAAAGGGTCCATCAGACAAGAGTAGAAACTTACACTATTGCAAGGGATTGCTGAAAACATTAATTTTTTTTTTTCTTGTGCATCATAAACCATAATACTGTAAATAGCAGTATCTTATCGTGTACAGTGCTCAAGCACTAGGCTATCTATTTAATACTGTTGCTTAGGTCAGTTTTTTATGTTTTTTTGAGCAATTTAGTAAGTTCTGCTGATTCTTGAGTGTTCAAATTTTGCAACTGGTTTACTATGATTGTAGGGTTTTGAGGCTTAATATGGAGGGGTTTTCTATGCTTGGATGGTTTACTGTTTGAATGGGTTAATGTGCTTGGAAAAAAAAATGCACAACTCTCAAAACAACATTTGTTTGGCGCAGTGCAGTGGTTAATAGCGTGGAAGATTTATTATGTTTTGAAGGTTGTCTGTTGAACAAAGAGTAGGTTGAAGATTGTACCATTGCAGGCGATGAGTCACAATAACGTGGCTGAAGTATGTTGACCAGACCACACACTAGAAGGTGAAGGGACGACGACATTTCGGTCCATCCTGGACCATTCTCAAGTCACAATCGACTTGAGAATGGTCCAGGATGGACCGAAACGTCGTCGTCCTTTCACCTTCTAGTGTGTGGTTTAGTCAACATTGTACCATTGAAAAAGAAGATAAGTCAGGTAATTGACAATGACCAAAAAATGGGTGGCATTTTAAATACAGTACTGTAATTACTTTCTGTATTTATTGCAAGTCAACAAATCAATACTGGTGGTGAGCAGAACAAACTGACTAGTTTGGGGCTTATCAGAAATGAAGCTATTAAACAAATATAACAATTTAAGCCCAACAAGTCCTGCAGCAAAGTATTTCCCAGGGTTCTTAAAGAATGTAGAGCTTATTTCAGCACATGTCTTATATATTTAATATATTAGAGTTGAGCAGAATACCAAAATCATGTAGAAGAGAAAAATCACACATGCTAAACTAATATCCAATTACTGTAGTTTAACATTAACTGTAAGAAAATTGCTTTAATCCATAATTGCAAAAGCCAGTCATTTAAGTCTAGAAAAACAGATTCACAATAATATAAGGGATTCACACAATTTTACAAAGGGCTCTCATGCATAACATTTAATCTTATTTTCTTCCAGTATATTGCAAGCAATTGAGAGCTAGTGGAAATAATTGTAACATTCTATATCTTGACTTTAGCAGAGCCCTTGATATTGTGCCTCACAAGAATGACTAGAAAGTTGAAAGAAGATGAATGTTAAGAGAAGGGGGGCCTATCCTAGGTTGGATTGTGGCTTGGTTATATCAAAGAAATTGGCATGTTTGAATAAATAGAATTATCTGAGTAAATAGAACTTTTAAGTGGAAGTGCTGTTCTGGAACCGCTGTGGTTTACCATATAACCATTTTAGAAACAGGATTGAACAATGCTTGTAAATTTGTAGACAGTGTAGTACTTAGCAAAAATTCTGGGTTCCTTCCTGGCTGTGGAGGATTGACTTGGCGCCAATCCTTGTCTGTATGCTTCTGTTTACCCAGCAGTGAATGGGTACCTGGTTGTTAAACGATTTGGCGGGTTGTATTCTGGGGAAAATTAAGATTAACAACCTGCCCGAAATGCTATGCATGCATAGTGGCCTTACAAGAATATAAAAACTCTTGTATATATATAACAAAAAATCATAATTCGTAAACATGAAAATGGTATGTGCGTAGTTGATCTGGCTAGGAAAATGCATGCTGTATGGGAAGAACTGCAGTTTTGCTAAAAAAAACTTGCCCAAATAAAGCTGTAGCAAGCCATTGTGTTAATCGTTTTAATGACTGTGATATCTTGCTGTGGACAATTGTTAAAAGTACGTAAAAACAAGTATCTTTAAGATAGGAAGACCAAATATCACACCAGAAGATGAAGAGACGACGTTTCAGCCCATCCTGGACCATTATCAAGTTGATTGTGATAATGGTCCAGGATTGACCAAAACGTTGCTGCCTCGATCTTCTGGTGTGTGGTATGGTCATCGTATCTTCAACTACTTTACTGTGACTCATCAGCATAGATTAAGGCAGCGTCTGGGATGCTCTCGGACGCAGGTTCGAATCCTCGTCACGGCCTTTGTGAATTTATTCATCAGCATAGCTTTTGATAGATTCTTATCGAGGTACAACCAATGAACCGGTTCTATTGGTATGCCTACAAAATGTAGGAGAGGGAGTACACCAGAAATGTCATCACTGCCTGATGTTAGTGTTTGGAAGGGGAGTCTCCTTCCAAACACTAACACCTCACCGTCTTCCATATGCCAACAAGTCCTCGATAAAGGTAAAGTGCCGTGAAAAATACGAGTAGTATTCTGTATAAAATGTATTTTAATGTTAATATTTTTGGATGTGTGGAATGGATTTTTTTTTTATTTATGGGAAAATTTGTGTGCCAATATTTGGATTAGGATGCATGTCTTGAAACAAATTAAATTTGTACACCAAGGTTCCAGTGTATATATTAGACAAGTTTAACTTTTGGAAAAATCTGGGTAAATACTGGTTTCAAAATCAGGTTATAGCTTTTGGGAACAAATTTCCAGGTAAAATAAAATTATATGTATAAAACAGCCAACATTAGGCATTTGGAAACCTAAATAAGGAATGATTACACACTGCATATGTAAACAGTCATGGAAAATGCAGCACATACCAAAAAGTAGGTTAATATGCATTATTCAGTTTCACAAATGTCCACGTGGTGTTAGTCGTCACTGAACGACCTTCATTAATAAGGTAGATATTAATAATCAAATTATTGAAGTATTTTATTATAAACACATTAAAAATATCTTAACATAAAAAATAGCTCAAGACTCCACAAACAGTACAGTATTCCGATACATATGTTTACCACCCGAGGTTGTCTCTTGGTCATAAAACATTATCGAATTTTGCAATACTGGTACAAGCTACTTTGAGAGATATTTAGCAAATTTATGAACTGCGGTAAGTTAAATATGATGAGTATTAATATACCTGAAGAAGACATATTACTCAGGGAGTTGGCAGAAATGGCAAAGTATTAGTGAAGGTTATCCAGACATGATATACAATGATAAAAAACAAGATCTTTTAATGTATTTTGCTCAATTTCACCCAAAGTAAAGCTATGTTCAGAATAGTTAAAAGTTTCTAACTTTGTACTTGCAGTGTGTTCCATTTAAAAAATTCTTAACTTTTTTTTTTACAATCTGTATATAAGCAAGAAAATAATTTTTCAATGATTATGAACTATGAAACTATATTCAAAACTTCAATACAGTTCAAGAAGCAAATAGAAATGTTACCTCATAACATTGAATTTTGTAAAAATAATAAGATAAGGGAAGAAATCCTACTGAAGTGGGTAACCTAAAGCATCACAGTTGCGATCTAAGAGTTCCCTCGAAGTTTCCTGAAGTTTCATTAAAAATCGCTGCAACTCACAACTGCCAAAGGCCTGAAAAACAAGGACATTCAAAATTAACCAATAATAATTGTAAAGTGCAATCCACTCTAGAGTAGGCAGAGATGTAATCTTTTACAAATGCATCTTGGGAACAAAATACTCATATGCAATGTAAATCAATTATAATATTTAATGGAAGGTTTTTACCGATAAAATTTGTGGGTGGCTTTTTTCCAGTAAAGGCAAACATGCACAAATTGAAATTTAAAAGTAGCTCTGTTACTGAAGCAGTATCATGTGTGTTCAGAGTTTATGTACAATGCTTGATTTTTTATTAATGTGACCTTCTTTGGTGGGCCCCTGAGTTGCTCCCTGTAGTCTTAAGTGCACCAGACCTGTACAAGGTCCATAATTTATGTATGTACAAGGTCCTTAATTTCTACGGTATTGCAGTACACGGATAACCACTTTCTAGAAAAGTTTTGAAATATGTGGATGAATTTTGGAGCTACTCATGTTGAGAATGGATATTGTGCACTATTCCTTGGGTCTACTGCATTTTTATCAGGAAATCAGGCTCCCAGTGACACAACATTATTACATTTTCTAAACTATTTGGTTATATTTTTGCACCACTACACATCCTAAGCATACTGGATTTCATTGTGCTGAACTTGTGGCTGGAAATCTAAATGATAATAGATGTTAAAATTGATTTTTTTGTTTACTCTAGTGGGAAAAATGAACTTAAGAGGACTACGGAACACTGCCCTATTTTTTTCAACATAATAGTTTGTTGAAAAAACCATCGTTGAATGTAATGAATCGCCATTTTCTGGGTGAGACTCGATGGCTTCTCGGAGCTTATCCTGGCTGATATGGATATATTAGACTTTGGCATAAGTCAGTGTGAATGGAGCTCTTAGGCCTACCGGGGACCATGAGCCAGAACCTGGCCCCCTCAGAGAGGCACAAGAAGCAATGGCCTATTGAAATGCAAATGTGATTTGGAGCATTCTATGTCTGCCATTAACCGAACCAGGCACCCAGAAAGGTAAGCATCCCAAAACAAACCCCTATTCTGGTTGAAACTACTATGAAAATTCAAATGAGTGGACAGAACTCCCCAAAGAAAAACAAGTAAACGAGCATGACATCACCACATTTCCGCACCATCGTCTGAGCAGCTCCCCCTTCCCCGGGAGGGAAAAGGGGGAGCCCCAGACCCCTCGTGCTGGCTACCCACACCCCAGTTCAGAGGCTGCGCAGACGGCGGCGCGGAAACATGGTGACGTCATGCTCGTTTACTTGCTTTTCTTTGGAGAGTTCTGTCCACTCATTTGAATTTTCATAGTAGTTTCAACCAGAATAGGGGTTTGTTTTGGGATGCTTACCTTTCTGGGTGCCTGACCCTGTCAGTGGCAGACACAGAATGCTCCAAATCCCATGTGCATTTCTATAGGCCATTGCTCCTTGTGCCTCTTTGAGGGGGCCAGGTTCTGGCTTGTGGTCCCAGGTAAGCCAAGAACTCCATTCACTCTGACTGATGCCAAAGTCTAATATATTCATATCAGCCTGGATAAGCTCCAAGAAACTGAAGGGGTTTCCCCGAGAAAATACTAATTTTGAGTCATTTTGATTTAAACCACTTTTGAAAAAATTTACCCAACTCCTGCACAAATCAAAGGTCACCTACATATCAGAATACTAAAAACAGAAAACACATGAATGGTCTCAATTTTTAAAGTATCAAGTATAATGGCAAATTATTAGGCTTTAAATTTTAAAAATAGTTTTCTTCCAGTTTATGTAATTTGAAAAATAAGCTGTACTACATGCAAGGTATTTTGGGTGTGTATGGCCAACAAATTTACCGAAGACCTCTTACCTTGTAAAGCTGGTGCTGCTCTGAAGCAATTATATCAGCTAACTGAAGACTTTCTTTGTAGTTTTGTGTAGAATGAAGGATGTTCTGTAGTAATGAAGTTACCTGCAATTATTAACCAGTTAAAATTTAAATTGTACCAAGATTAATGAGGGTTTTCAAGGTTTTTTTTAGAGAAGAGGCCTGGAATATTGTAGTAAATCCTCACACACATTCTCACTTTCTAAAGGCGGGAACTGAAAGTGGAGATGATCTTGCAATACAATGAATGTGCAATATTTAAGACATGGAAAAAATGCAGTTGGCTGCACACTATAGTAAAAGTTTATCGTCACCATACATAAGTAAAAGTACTGTGTTGATATATTCAATACCTTATTAATATCCACTTTATTATGCCCATTCATCCACTTGAACACTTCCATCATGTCTCCCTAACATTTTGCTTTTGGCTTAATATTTATACTGACAATATTGTTCCAGATAACTGAGGAGTAAAAGAAGAAATGAGTGCCTAATAACAGCTTAACATTAGAAAGGGCTTCAAAATGTTGGCCATCAACATCAACTGCAGGTGTCATGAAGCCATTACATCCTTCTTTAAAACCCCGGTAAACCTAACCCATATTTTATCATCAGTATTTGATCCATTTGAAGAATCTGGGAAGTAGTACAGGGCTTCCAATTCCAACATCGACAACAGTAGATGCCTAAACCAATAGAAACTGAGCATTTTCTTGGCGGAAATAGTACCCATTCATTAAGGTACTCTTGATTTCAAGGCCGTTTCATCCAGCTGTAAGAATCTCATAAAGGCCTTTACCCATGGCATACATCTCTGGAATTATCACACATTAAACATTCTAGGACAAAGCCTATGAATGACTGTACAATGCTTAACTAATCACTAATTTACAGGATCCACTGCATGCACCAGACTTCAGTAACAGTCATATGATAAATTATTATGCCAAACCTACCACTTTCCAAGTCTCTCCCCTAAAGGTAAGCTCGAGGAAGAAGAGCCCAAAAACAGATTATACAACCCATCATCAGACCAAGTCCATTCCATCCAGCAGTCGACCCCAAAGACGCATTCATCAATTTTAACATGCTGTTTATTTAAAATAAGAATTTTATCAAATATAAATTAATAGTCATGTACAGTATCAGCATACTGTGCATATTTAGGCATCAGGTGCATGGAATGGACTTTGGCTTTTATTTACGAGGATGGGCTGGATTATAGTGTTTAGTCATTGTGCTTAGTAACTGACACAACCTTGGGTTTGAGTTGATCATCAAGATGTACAACAAGGCTTCATACCCGAACTGGTGTGGCTCAGGCACCAATGACAGTGTTTACAGATACTGCACTGTCTAACCCCACAAAATTTCATACCAAGGTTGTGATGGTATCATGCCAATGCACTTGAAAAATTGTAATAGAAGTTAAATAGATATAGTTCCACAACAGTAGTTTCACACATCACTTTCACCTAGTAGACTTTTTTCAAGAATGGCATTGTCTTCATGTATTTAAATTTACTTAGCAATCATATATAGTGCTGTACTGTACTGTAAGGTACTGTAAAGTATAAGTATAACAAGAAATTTAAAGTTTTTAGTTGTTTGAAAACATATTCCTACCTGTGGAATATAAATTGATCTCAGGACTGACAGATGATGGGCACGGTTAGGTTCAGGGGTGTCAACTCTGACTTCAACACTCTCTTCAGCCCCACTAACTCCTGTTATTTCTTGTTCTTGGTCTTCTAAAGCTGAATCAACTAACCAACCACCCTCAGGAAACAGCAAGACATTATACAGATGGTCACAGGCAGTCTGTAGGGCACCAACAACAAATTAAAGATTTTTTTTTAAAGTACAGGGTAACCAATTTTCAGGCATAAAATAACATAATGAAGTACACTATTAGTCTAGCAATGAATGTTGTAAAATGGCTGGCGAGCCACTTCGCAGCTCCCGATGTTACAACCTGGAATCAACCAGGCCTTTGAGAACATACACGGACTCCATGATGCATGAGGGCCTACCAGGGACCAGAATCTGCCTTAGAATCAAAGATCACCACAGTACCAAGAATATCCCACCAAAAAGCAAATAAATAAAATAAATAAAAATAAATATACACACACACACACTTGGAAATATTTGTAACTCTGGCAATAACAATGCAAACAATCATCCAAGCAGCAAAAATATCCACCTAGAAACACACTTGCCACCAGATGGCAGCCAAACAATCAGAGGTCCCAGGAAATGAGCAAATTCATTCACGAGCTTGGTGCAACTGAGGACACTTAGCTCTACTGGGCGCTCGGTCACCCTTTGTCTTGTTTGAGGGATGGCTAACACCACTTAAAAGATAATTCTGCCATTAATTATTTGTTCCTTATTTAGCGCCACATGTGCCCTGTGTTCAAAGTTTGCTCCAGCTGTTGTACGCAGGGTTACCTGCCCTGGTAACCAGCTAGCATTACTCCTGCCCCTCCAGGGTTGGCTTCCTTGTGAGGACGGGCTCCCTCTTCTTGATGCAGCTCTCTTCTGGGAAGTGCACGGGCTTTGGTCCTTCTGCAAGGCACACTGACGAAGGTTGCTAGTGTGCCTTTGTGCCACATTTGCTTTTTGGAGTTATCTTCATGATGCATTAGCAGTGTACATATGGGTAGCACGAGTGTTACATATCCCAAGTAACTTCCACCTACCTTCGCTAAATGGCTACAAGGGTGGAAGCTGGTGTCTGCATCGCAGACTATCTGCTGGCCTGTGGACAGTTAAATGCTGGTTACATTTGTAAGTCCCATTCCAGGTAGGAGGACATGGCTTTGCCTGTCTTGAGGCCTGCCTTTAGGCTTGGAATCATTTTGTGCACTTCTCAAGAGTGTCAGATTATAGACCTCAGACTGGCTCTCGTGCTAAGACGTATGCAACACTGGTGCAGTTGGACTTCTATTTTTGTAGTCACCCCCTTTTATTGGCCTACCAGGCGATGGCTGCACTGCAGAACCAGGAATCATGGTTTCACTTTCAAGAATTCATTTATTACTTAACTTGCAAGAAACTAGGCAGGTGGTTTGGTTAATTTGTGCCCAGTTCACTTCCCTTTCTTTTGCATCAATATCTACTATTTGGAGACTGGTTCATCCAGATTTTGTTCACTGCTTCTGCCTCCCACAATGGGTTGGACCCTAAAGCAGCTTCGAGCTGGGAGGTCAGCTGGCTCTGGCAGACTGATGGCGAGGTGTTCATGTGGTGCCTTTTTGGGGGTTGCTCCATCTGGCTCGTATCTGTATTGATGAATACACTGGGACTGTGTCCTATTTAGCCTTATGTGTTTAGCTCGGGGGATGGAGCTCCAGTTTCCTGGTTCTTCATAGCCTCATCTTTTGGAGGGAAGGTGACTATTCTGTTTTCCTTCGCGCCACTTTGAGTGTTATCTTGGCTCGCTGATTTCATGTCATTGCATAACATGCCTCTGTGGTGGTTTCTCCTTTTTCTATCTTCTGGTCAGCTATTCTTGCTTCTATTGAGCTGTGCTCGAGGGGTTTTTGTTGGCTCTGTTTGGCTGCATTACTTTTAATTTTCTCACCTATCTTCTATCTTGAGATTATCTTGAGATGATTTCGGGGCTTTAGTGTCCCCGCGGCCCGGTCCTCGACCAGGCCTCCACCCCCAGGAAGCAGCCCGTGACAGCTGACTAACACCCAGGTACCTATTTTACTGCTAGGTAACAGGGTCATAGGGTGAAAGAAACTCTGCCCATTGTTTCTCGCCGGCGCCCGGGATCGAACCCGGGACCACAGGATCACAAGTCCAGTGTGCTGTCCGCTCGGCCGACCGGCTCCATCCCCCTTCCTAGATTCGCTGAAGCCTTTGTGTGGGTGATGTTCAGGGAGTGAACAGAGGTATTATCTGGGGCTCTGTTGCTTTTAGTCTTCTATTTCAGTGCATGTGCTGGTGTGTTGCACAGACCTGTCCATGCTACAGTTACTCAACGTCAGGTTTCTGGTCGACTTTGCTTGGCGGGTGTTCTTTTAGTTCTGCTGGGCCCATGTGTTGTATGCCTAGTTCATCCGGGAGGTCCATGTTTTTTCATTTGCCAATCTTGGCTTTTTGGGTTTCAGTTGTGTGATGGCTCTGTCTGTGGTAGGAATATATTGCAGTAATTTGTAGCTGCTTGGATGGTGCTTCAGTACATCAGTTTCCAGTGGGTTATGTCAGGTAAATCTAACCTCTAAAAGTAGTCTAGTGTAATCTATAGAAAGGAGGATTTAGCTGTTGTCTAATACAGTACACTGGGAATGGCAGTGCAAATTATACATGTGTTAGCCATCACTGCTACATGTGCTCACCCTATGTTGTATCCCTAACAACAAGGTAACACCATGTCTTTGTTGCATACAGCTAAACTTATATTAATAATTTCAAATTCCTCATCAGTTTCTAGATATTTAAATTCTATATTCATGATCTGAAAGTTATTCTGAAATATAATTATGAATTATTACTTTGCTCTAATTATGTCCAATACTGTATTCAAATACTGAATTTTGAGTAAGATCATGCATGTTCAAAAGAAAATATTTTTTTACGGTTGAAACTTGCAAGACTGAAAAGTTTATATACTCACTTTTGTAATGAGCTTTAAAGTATGCTGCCATCGTTCCATCTCGCCCTTGTGCTGCTGTTCAGCCTGTTCATAAGCTACTTGCTGAGAAAACCCAGAACCTTGTGCAGGCTTCTGAGGAGCAGTGGGCCTCTTCTGATGGTAGTGATCAAACCAATCGGTAAACGAGTCCTGAGCATCCTGGAAAGAATATTTAATGAAAATATTTAAAGAAAAATAAAGTACTGAGGGAAATTAAATTCCCAAAGTTAAAATCTTAAACAATAGTGACAACTTAATTTTTTATTTCTCTCTGCTGCGCAAGTAGGTTTACGGTCTGATTTGTTATGACCCAGAGACATGTATATTACACCTATTAGCAGTTTTTTTTGTTCCCCTCATTCTCTTCTACCCATACAGTTTATGGATGAATTTCTGATTTATTGCTTCTATTGTTGCACTTCAGATCCTCTCTTGCATAGAAAAGGAGGTGGAGTTGCTATCAGTTCTCTCATCATGAATATTTATTCCTTTATTTTGGAATAAAATTGTTGGTTATTCTTTTATGATCTAAGTTTTCCCATTTTGAGTTTTCTCCCAGTATTTACACCACTATGTCCTGGGTGGCCCCAGGTGAGCAACTGAAAGGACCATGGCTATAATTGTTAAACAAAGCAATCTAAAAAGTCTATCAAATGCAATATGGACATAAATGAATGTATTTCATAATGAGTCAATATTAAATAGATGCATCTAGAATTGTTATGTGAAAGGAAAGACAGACAATTGAGTACATACATATGTAAGGATGGGGACTACTAGATCTAAAGAGGAATAGAAGCAAAGCCTGGAACATAGCAAGCAAATAGTTCTCATTTTGCCAGTACTAGCACAGTATTGAAGTTACTTACCAAGAAGGTTCGAATGCAGAAGTATTCTCTCACAATATTTTCTGCATGTGAAGGAAGGTCAGATGATCCTGTCTCGGCTTCATGCTCCCTCATTATTACATTCACCGAATCACTGGGTATCTATTAATGCATAATTGATTAATGTTTCAAAGAAATTAAAACACACAAGTGGCTTAAAGTACAACATACAGGCAATTCAAGGAACCTATAAATTATTTACACAAGGGTGTAGGAGCACAACTGACATTAAAAGAAAACCTCACATCCCCATATTGAGTGTACAAATATGTGTACAGCTGTTACATATAAACCAAAATACATATAAATCCAGTGACTGGAGGCATTCACATATAAACCAAAATATATACTATAGTTATTCCATCAAAATTCACCTTGGCAAACAAAACTCGAGTGGCTCCAATTTTCCGAGAAACAAGAAAAGAGCGCATGAGAGCATTGGCTTGTCTGAGTGCTTCTACTCGCTGCTGAGGGTCATACAACAACCAGTCAATAGCACTGATTTTAACTCTATCCTCTGTTGTAGTTTCTGACACTACTTCTCCCTCAGGGTCCCGAGTGTTGGACGACAGTCTGAAATACAAAATTTCAATTTCTTCTTAAAATTTAGTGTTTATTATGTTTATAAATGATAGCATGTGCAGTGCTATATTCTTTCACTCTTTGCAGTATCTCCAACAATAAAAGATAAGCTAATCCAAGATTTTAGCATGATGAGGAGCAACTGACACCATGCAATAAACAAGAAGTTTATGCACCTGCTCTGAGATGGAACAGAATCTATAGGCGTCTACGAAAGGCAATTAGAAAATGCAGCAAATTGAAACAGGCTTTGTTATGTACACCTTGATCTAGCAGTAAATTCTTTCTGACATACCATGGATTCTGTTATATTGTGATTCACTAAATGATGGCTCCAGTGCAATTGGTTTTTAAGAAAAATAATATAGTATAGCCACAAAGTAAAGATGAAACTGTCTTATTTTTTTGGATTTAAGCAGTTTTACCTGATATTAGTGACAACAGCTGAAGTGATGGCATGTGTATCAAGTCCTACAGTGGCAGCAAGCTGTAGAGCATGACGGCGTGATTGGTCATCTGTTATGTTGTGGAGAAAACGTGCATACCATTCCACCTGAAGCCATGTGGGCAACACAGAAGTATACCATGCCACTTGTTCCACATCCCCACGCTCTATAGCTTCCTATATTTATTATTAAAAAGAAATGCATAAATAAAGATTATGATCTGTGATTTTGTTTTTAATTTTATATAATGCCATTTCATCATAAGCTTGAAGTAATTCTGAAAACTCTTGAAATAACAAAACTTAGGGGATTATGGGGGTGGTATGTGGGTGAAGGGGAGGCGAGGAGTATTTTATGATTACTGTATACTATTTTATGCAGAAACCAGAGGTGGTTTAATGCCAAGAAGTAAATAACTTAAATGTACTGAACTGTGTGAAGGTGAATGATAAATTATTAGTATACTTAGAATATATGAAGAATGCAGAACAATTCTACACAAACCTTGACACAAGCCTCAAGTATATCAGTACAAAGAGGTTCAAGTTGCTGCGAGATACGACCAATCCTCCGCAAAAACAACACCAGGTGGGTGAGACATCGTAAAACATGGGGCGCTAGCCCATCATTAAGCCACACATGAGCCTCCTGTAATAGGGTTTCTACATCATCCAGAATCAGATATTTCTGCAAGAGGTGATAAGGGTTTTTGTTCCGCTGCTTCTGGGCCTCTGGATGACGTTCCACTGCCTCAAACATACCCTTCATAGAAAATCTGAAACAAAAACAAAGTGCAAGTTTACTAACCCTTGCACTGCTATTGTCATCCATAAAACAAAGTGTGCCACTTCTCAAGTTTTCTGCAGGCAATTTAAACCAGCCCAAGTTGTATACAAGTCAAGGTGGGTGCATGGTTACATATTCCATTTACCCAGAATATCCTGGTGATCATCAAGCAAAATCCAAAGTGCTCTAGTTTCCTTCATTGGTAAATAAAGTGCCCAAGTGTCTAGTGTACCTCCTTCCAGCTCAGGGGGTGAATACAGCACCCGTTTCAAAACAACTGGCACCACACAAAATTGCAAAAGACTTCAAAACAACTGGAACATCTTAGCAAAGAACAGTAACATATTACATGTACAAATCTTAATATTTTAAGTATCCATATTCTAAATACAAAAATTAAAACAACATTTTTTGAAAGAATAACTTACTTTTCTTCTGGGAAATCTTTGGGGAGAGGATGTAGTGGACGAAGGTGAGTGTTTGCACATCTTAGTTGTTCCTCCACCCACTGATCCACCATGGTGCGAGTATATGCCCACAGTATATCATTCCACTCATGACATACTGAAAGCATTGACTGTATATGACCACAAAGAGCGCCATATACAGCACGTTCATATGCTGGCAGACGCTCGTCACTGGCAACTCTCCATGCCACAGCTTTCCAAACATCTCTGAGAAAGAAACCAATTGTTATAACAAGTTGTGTTTGGTTACGTATCTTAATATTAATATGATCTCAGTGTGCAAAGAGGAAGGTAAGAACTCATCACAATTACTGAAACAATGTTGTTTAACCATATGCATCTATAGTCACATTTTGCTGGTCTGAACATATTGAGCGGATGACTAATGGTAAGCTTGAACGGAAAATATACAGGAAAGTAGTTATGGGCTTTAAAACACTGGGTAGATAACCTTAAGTACTTTAGAAAACAAGAAAGAAGATGATTACATACAGGACAGATGATGGTATACAGGGAGTATAACAAGCATGATAATTGTGCTTAATTAAGGCAATCTTTCAACTATTGCTCAAACATCTCATTTTCCACCAGAAACATTTATATACATAAAATTTTACCTACAGTACTCCATTTAGTAGCGTGTGTGTGGGTTTACCTACTGTTTCAAAAATCGCATCTGTGTGTGTGTGAATTGTGTGCGTCCTGCCATACACACACACACACACCATTTTCCTAGTACTGTACTTTAACCTTGACCTCTTTCATATCTCATTTCATTTATACACTGAACAACCATGGGGGCAGGGGGGGGAGGACATCACAACAGCCTGGTATACAGTATTTCTACATTAATCAAGCCAGTCACTCATTATCCCATTGTTACAAAAGATCTACTTACTGCATAGAAAACTCTTCATGGCATTTAATAACATTTCATCATCATACATGCTCATTACTCTCCAGACACACTCAATTCACTTCCTCATATGCTGTATCTAAGCAGAATGACAAACTTGTTAAATTGTAAACACTGATATAGCAGACTGAATTTCAGTAAATAAAATAAACTGGTAACTATTATTATTATTATTATTACCACCTCATTTTTGAGTATGGAGGCATTGGCCCAGAGGAAAATGTAGAGTAATATAGCAAAAATGAAGACATAGATATTAACAAATAATACTTGCCCATTTATTATACTGTATATCCACACTATAATACTGAAGGGTAAGGCTGCCAGGTCTTGGCCACTTGTGACAACAAAAATAAGGCATTGAGAGGAATGAAACTTGACTTTTGAGCAGTTGCTCTATTGCTTCCTTATTGTGTCTGGCTCCACCCACAACACTGCTTAGATAATGAGCAGTTATGATGATTTATGTATGTAAATACTGTGCATAGTTACAAAAATAACTGTACAAATAATTCTGGTCATATTTTGGACCTAAAATACACTAAGTACAATACTGATTATCTGTATTTATTTTTTGTATACAGTATATGATACTCTGCCTTGGGAACACTTTTGATTTTGTATCGAGTTATGTGGGGAAAAAATTCTAGCACAGTACTATATATAAAAGGAGGAAAAATTCTGCAGTTTCTTAATTTTTTCAAAACATTTTTATTTTAATGGTAAATATGGAAAAGAGCACTGGTTTTCTTATTAGAAATGCAATACAAAACAAGGATTTTTTCTGGGGGAGCCCCTTCGGCTCCCTGGAGCTATCCAGGCTGATAAGCTAATGTCAGACTTTGGCATCAGTCATGTGTATGAAGTTGTGGGCCTACCGGGGACCATGAGCCAGAACCTGGCCCCCTCAGAGAGGCATGGGAAGCAATGGCCTATAGAAACCCCCGTGTGGTTGGCAGCATTCTATGTCTGCCATCGACCGGGTCAGGAACCCAAAAAGGTTAGCGTCCCAAAACAAACCCCTATTCTCATGAAAATTGCTACAAAAGGCCAAACAAGTCGATAAAACTCCCCAAAAGAAATGAGCAAATGAGCATGACGTCACACGTCGCCGTGCCGCTGTCTGCACAACTGACAGCTCCCCCACGCCGGCCATCCACCCTTCAGTTCTGAGGCTGGACATCAAAACACCCGAAAAACCGCCGACCGGGAGGAGGGAGGGATGCCGGGGAGCCTCCGGGTCTCACCCAGAAAATGGAGTTTCATTACATTCAATGCTGGTTTTCTGAGGGAAGCCCCTTCTGCTCCCCGGAGCTAACTACCCACAGAGGAAAATTAAAGGGACTTACCCGAAAGGCGGTCGCTGCTCACTCCTCAACCCGAAGTCGAGACAACCGGCTGCAACTGTCGACCCAAAGCGACACAGGCTCGACTAGGCCCAGGAACGTTCACGAGTTAGCGCACAGCCAAGACCCCAAGACCCTGTTTGATCACCAAAAACCCCAAGCCTAAATGTCAGCCCAGGACATATTGCCAAAGATGGCAGCAAGAGCCGCGAACTTACGAACATCATGGGCACGGGGATAGACCGCAGGCTGGCTAGCTTTAACCTTGTGGACGACCTGGGAGACCTGCACCCACGAACAGGGAAGGAGGGAAACCGGATCAACCCAAAGCGCGTTCCCGGACACAGAAGCCATGGTGCGCAAATAACGACGAAGGGCTACAACTGGACACAAAGGATGATGCACCCCCGACCTGACCAACCAAGCATCAACAACCCATGGACCCGTCCGGAAAGCAGCCATCTCATTCTTCACCAGAAAAGAAGGACACGGCTGCAGGCGAACAAACCAATTGCCACAACCGAAAGGGCAGAAACCCCCATGCAGGAGGAGAGCATGAAGCTCCCTGACTCGACCCCCAGAGGCCAATGCCAACAGGAAAAGAGCCTTCAAGAAACAATCCTGAACCGAAGGGGCCACAACAAACTGAGGAGAAGAAAGAAAGGAGAGCACTCTGCGTGGATGAGCAGCGTGGCAGTAGAGTGTGAAGTTTGCTGATTTCCATGGGATTGTAGGGAGTTCTACCTCTCTGTTTGGTATTTTGTTTTAGTTTCTTACCATGTATCTGCTTGATGGGAGTTCTGGGAGTTGTTCTACTCCCCAAGCCTGGCCCAAGGCCAAGCTTGACTTGTGAGTTTGGTCCACAAGGCTGTTGCTTGGAGCAGCCCACAGGCCCACATACCCACCACAGCCTGGTTGGTGTGGCACTCCTTGGAGAAAACTATCTAGTTTTCTCTTGAAGACGTCCACGGTTGTCCCGGCAATATTTCTTATGCTCGCTGGGAGGATGTTGAACAACTGCGGACCTCTGATGTTTATACAGTTCTCTGATTGTGCCTATGGCACCCCTGCTCATCACTGGTTCTATTCTGCGTTTTCTTCCATACCGTTCACTCCAGTATGTTGTTATTTTACTGTGTAGATTTGGGACCTGGCCTTCCAGTATATTCCATGTGTATATTATTTGATATCTCTCTCATCGTCTTTCTAGTGAGTACACTTAGAGGGCTTTGAGATGATCCCAGTAATTTAGGTGCTTTATCGCGTCTATGTATGCCGTATATGTTCTCTGTACTCCTCCTATTTCTGCAATCTCCCCTGCTCTGAAGGGGGAAGTGAGTACTGAGCAGCACTCAAGATGGGACAGCACAAGTGATTTGAAGAGCACAACCACTGTGATGGGATCTCTGGATTTGAAAATTCTCATAATCCATTCTATCATTTTTCTGGTCGACACAATATTTGCTTGGTTATGCTCCCTAAACGTTAGGTCGTCAAACATCATTACTCCCAAATTCTTTACATGCTGTTTTCGTTCTATGGACAGATTGGATTGTGTTTTGTACCCTGTATTATGTTTAAGGTTCTCATTTTTACAGTATCTGAGTACCTGGAATTTATCGGTGTTAAACATCATGTTCTTTTCTGCTGCCCAGTCAAAAACTTTATTAATATCTGCTTGTAGTTTTTCAATGTCTTCAGCAGAAGTAATTTTCACTCTGATTTTTGTGTCATCTGCAAAGGATGATACAAAGCTGTGACTTGTATTTGAGTCTATATCTGATATAGAATAAGGAAAAGCAGTGGTGCAAAGACTGTACCTTGAGGTACAGAGCTTTTAACTGCACTTGGACTTGATTTTATATGGTGTGCTGTTACTCTTTGTGTTCTGTTCGACAAAAAACGGAGTATCCAGCGTCCTACTTTACCAGTTATTCCCAGTGACCTCATTTTGTGTGCTATCACTCCATGGTCACATTTATCAAATGCCTTTGCAAAATCCGTGTATACCACATCTGCATTTTGTTTTTCTTCTATTACCCCAGTGATTTTGTTGTAATGGTCAAGTAGCTGTGAGAGGCATGATCTTCCCGCTCTAAATCCATGTTGGCCTAATTTGTGGAGGTCAGTGGTTTCCATGAAACTAGTAAATTGACTCCTGATCACACACTCAAATAATTTTATTATGTGGGACGTTAGTGCAACTGGTCTATAATGCTTTGCCAATGCTTTGCTCCCTCCCTTGTGTAGAGGGGCTATGTCTGCTGCTTTATGCACATCTGGTATCTTCCGTGTCCAAGCTCTTCCTCCACACTATACTGAGTGCCTGTGCTACTGGCACTTTGCTTTTCTTTATAAATATTGAATTCCATGAGTCTGGACCTGGGGCCGAGTGCATAGGCATATTGTCAATTTCTCTCTCAAAATCTGTCACGCTCGTGTTGATATCAGTTACATTTACAGGGGTTTGGACATCACGCATAAAGAAGTTGTCCGGATCTTCCACTGTCATGCTGTGTACCAGAGTGCTAAACATGTCCTCATACTGCTTTTTTAGGATTTCACTAATTTCTTTGTCATCCTCAGTGTATGAACATTCACTAAGACGAATAGGTCCAATACTAGCAGTGGTTTTTGCTTTTGATTTAGCAAGAAGAAATATTTTGTTTTTCTTTATTTCTTGAATTGCTTTCTGTTCTAGTTGTCTTTCTTCAATCTGATATGAATGCTTCAGTCTCTGTTCGATTTCTTCAATCTCCCTGTTTAAATTATTCCTTCTTTGTATGGAAAGTCGTGTCTGCTTAAGCATTTTCATTAATTTTTTCCTTCTTTTGTAGTGTCGTCTGCATTCTCTGTCTACATGTGGGGTTTGTTTTGTTATTCCTAACCCTGGTTGATGGCAGATAAGGAAAACCCCAACCACAGGGAAGTTTTCCAGGGCTATTGCTCCCTGAAACCTCTCTGAAGGGGCCAGGTTCCAGCTCATGGTCCCTGGTAGGTCTGAACTCCATAGCTAATGTCCCAGTTTAATATGAAACACATTAGCCCGATAAGCTCCAGGGAGCTGTAGAGGCTCCCCACAGAAAAGTGCAATAATAGCCATTGGCAGCGTGAGCAGCCAGGAGGTGGGTGTCTGGAGTTACATCACACCCCCTGTAGACAACAACAACGTTGACACACAACTAGGTAACCACTCAACAACCAAATTATAGGAAGAAAGTACAAAAAGAACATGTTACAGCTCCATCAGTTCTATGTAACGAACTGTAAATAGCTCCAGATTGTAGGAGATGGATTGTAACTAATTGCAAATATTGCAATTAATTAGTCACATAACCAAAGCTTATTAACAAAAAATTTATCAATTTTGAATATGTGCACCTGATAATTTTTAAGTCAAATTTCTAAATTCAAGTCAATGACAAAAATTAATGGCACAGTACTTCACAAACATTTCATTCTGGTCAACATGTGTAAAACTACCAAGAAATGTGTGTACCTATAGGGATTGCCAATAATAGGTTGACGTTGAGATGGATCTGCTGGGTTTGGGTCATGATGCAACTTCCAGCCTTCCAGTGTTGCTGCTCGCCAATGATGACCAGACTTCACACACAAATCTTCTGCGGCCGCTACTTGTCCTGATCGCACATGAGCAAAGACACACCGCAGCAAACGCATTTCATCCTCCTGAAATATGATGCACCATAAAATCCCTAAAGTTCTTATCTGATACCAAATGCTTAATGCATGATACTGCTTTGCCCTTACTGTACCAATTTCTGGGCATTTTAGCAAAGGAAGGTGCAAGACAAATTATTTCTTAATATCATTTTTCCACATTATTCAAAGTTCCATCAAACTATGACATCATGGTTACTGGACATGCCTTCAACATCACAGTGGGGGCAGCAAAACCTGACAGTCCTAACATATCACATTTAGTACCCAAGGAAAATATAGAACTAAAGTAGATTCAGTTGAATTTAAAATTCATTTTTATTAGCATTTATATTGCCCAATTTCTTGACATTTTCACATAGCTGTATTTCAAACTTATACCTCATTTACATCTCGCCTGAATGTACCTGGTCTAAGTCATGCAAAGGTCGCCCTTGGCGCAAGGTGGAGTCGGGATCCAGTGAAGTTACTAATGGCCGAGCTCCTTTCAGAGGCTGCACAATGCCACTGCTCTCATTCTGGAAAATTTAAAGTAGAAATCTTTTTAACATGATCTGGTCCATCTGACCTTCATCTCTAAAAATAAACAGATGCAAAGTGAAAAACTAACACACATAATAAGACCACAGGTAAAATAATACTGATGGTACATAATAATTAAGAATGACGGGCAGCCAGCATCTTGCAACAATGACTTAATTTGCCAGGTCTCTAATTAATAATTTTTACTTCTGAATTAAAGCCTAGTTTACACAAATAAGCCAGTGCTCTTAGGGAAGGCTGATCTTTGCCCAGCTTTCATAAATTGACAGTTATACAAACAGCATTAAGACTTTCCTATAAACATATTGTGGCAAGAATAATTCCATATATATACTGTAGCTTTACATTTACCCTCTTTGCTCAAATACTGTGGGTTTTCAAGAAACATTTTTAAGACTGGTATATGTATCTTACCTTTCGAGTTTTAAGGGTATTTTCCCATGCTATGTGAGTATCTCCAAAGTATTCCACACGATCATAATATTTGCTTTCAAAGTCATCCGCTGCATTTTTCTCTAGCCAGTCTATTACAATCTGGGCCTAAGATAAAAAGGACAATATTTTTTATTTATTGTAATTCTTTTGGAAAGCTATTTAACCCTTAAACTGCGCATAACATACATACATATATTATATATATACACACACACACACAATGACAGGAGAATGTGTATGAGCATGGCATACATATATGACAGTGTACCGGCCACGATTCAAACGGCCCGTGGCTACACAGGGTTCGCATCAGCTTCCTCAGGGTTCTTGTAAACAGATGCCATGTTTAAAAAAATCGTGGGCAACATTCTCCGGTGTGAGAGCCACAATACTGTGAGAGCAACCATGGCTGGTGCACACAGCATGAGCTAACAGCACTGCTGTTCAGCTTGTGACCACAGCATCACCAAAAAAGTCCAAATAAATATGTAACTGTTATTATTTAGCGATGACAGTATTACAAAAGCAACCAATCCTCCGAATTGACAGTACGATTTAATACTAAGTGTAATAAGTACACTTTCTTACTGTCATAAACAGTGCATAATTGCACTTAGGGGGCTGTTACATTTACCAAACTCCCTCCCCCGATTTAATTCTCCTCGGTTTCTGTTAAGACACTCAGAATTTTAGGACGAAGATTTCATCTTCAATTGGCTATACACAAGTTTTAAATATCAGGAATTTCTTTTTCAGGTTTATTAAACAACATAGATTTTATGCAAAATTTTAAAATATCCTGAGTTAATTTACAATTTATTGATATATTTTAGTTTTGTTTTATTAGTTTTATAAAACTGTAATATCAATATAGCTATAAGTTAAGTACTAATTGTAATTAGGAAGCAATAAAATTATTATCTTCAAAAACTAAGACGGTTAGGTGAGGTTGTGGTTTTCTATTCAGTTTTTCAGGTAAACTCAAATATTCACAATATATTTGACAGTACGATTTAATACTAAGTGAAAATAAGTACAATTCCTAACTGATATGAATAGTACATAATTGCACTTAAGTGTCTTCTTACATTTACCACCCCATTTTTGGAGGACGGGCTGACAAAAGACCCTGACTGTGATAAAAATGACCAGGATTGTGATAATAGCAGGAGTGTTGTGATAATTAACGCTGTGCTGTATAGTGGGAGGAGTGATCTGTATAGTGGGAGGGGTAATGCTGAGTGAGAGTGAGGGAGATACATGTAGTGTCGTCATCCGATTCTGTGTGGCCACGTGCTACTGTCTGCATTCACCATACCAGCTCAGTGGTTCTATGGTGAACACAAATGTAGATACTTATATATATAACATGTGTATTAGTGTAATAACAGCAAAGGGATTATGTTGGGAGAAGCCATTTGGGTGACGGAGGTGGCGTCGTCTACATGACTCGTCTAGCTGTGGAGAAGGTGGCCACTATGTTCTTTGGGCACCATTCCAGCTTAGTTGTACAGTTATGGTGAATAAAACATGTAGATACCTATATATAATGTGTGTGTATATAGTGTAATGACACCACAAACAGTATTGTTGAAGGAAAAATGTTAGGGTGTGTGGCCTTGAACCAGTGAGGGAGGCAGCTGCCAGCTGACTGTGTGTAGCTATGTCTCTCATTGCCTGAACTCACCATATCAGCTTAGTTGTACAGTTATGTTGAGCAAACCATGTAGATACCTATTTATAACATCTGTATATAGTGAATAAAAGCAAAAACAGAATGATGGGAGGAGGAATATGTTGGCGAGTGAGGTGTTGAGGGAGGGAAGGAGATAACGTTTGCTGGCTGGGTGTGGCAGTCCACTCAGTGGTGTTTTGACTCGCCATACCATCTTAGTGGTTTGTTATGGTGAACAAAACATGCAGATACTTGTATATAACCTGTGTAAATAGTGTAATAATAGCCAATTATTTGTTTATTATTTTATGAACATAATAAATGAATCATTAATATGCACACCATACTTTTGAGTATAGCGATGATTCGCCCCTTTTATTATAAAAATATATCACACTACACACTATTGAATAATATTACTGCATAAAAACTAAGAAAAAATCAGACACATTGAAATAATTAGGTAATATCATCTTTGTGGCAACTCCTGCCTAACAGCTCGGGTGGAGCTGACCGCTTCCGAAGCTTGCTGTGTCAAAGCTTACATTTTGACAGTCTTCCTCGGCCTATTGCGGCCAAAATATATCGTCTACAATTCCCCCTCCCCCTCCCAGTGTTTAGGGAACACAAATGAACATTTTTAGAAGATGAAAAAAATTTATATTTTTTTTTCTTGCACATGGGGGTGTTAAAGCCTTAAGGAGCAGCTTAAGGGTTAAAGGACATAGGACGTTTCACCCGTTGGTGGTGCCAAGACGTTGGCATTAGTCGATGTGGGTGGAGCTTTAAGCCTACCGGGGACCACGGCCAGAACCTGGCCCCCTCAGAGAGGCCTGAGGAGCAATGGTTTATAGAAATGCACCTGTAATTTTGGAGCATTCTATATCTGCCATCATCCGGGACAGGCACCCAGAAAGGTAAGTGCCTTAAAACAAACCCCTATTCTGGTGAAACAAACGAAAATAACAAAACAAGTGGACAGAACTCCCCCAAGGGAACATGAGCAAACAAGGATGACGTCACACAAGCTGCGCCGCATGTCTGTGCAGCTTCCTCCTCCACGGGAGGGAAAAGGGGGAGCCCCAGACCCCCGCGCCGGTGATCGACACCTCCAGTTCCGAGGCTTGATATCAAAATTCGCGAAAACCGCCGACCAGAGGGAGGGAGGGTTGCCGGGGAACCTCCGGGACTCACCCAGAAAATGACGTTTCATTACATTCAACGTTGGTTTTCTGGGAGGGAGCCCCTACGGCTCCCCGGAGCTACTTCACCAAAGTAGCTCCGGCCAATAGAGCTCCGCGACTGGTAGGCCAATAGAGCTCCGCGACTGATGACACATAGTATGGCACTTAATCAGTATGATTGCTTCATGGAGCCTCTGGGGCCCCCATCACATACAAAAAAAGGTTGTAGATGAAAAGCTAGTCCTGAGCAACACGTTCTATTATTCCAGATGGAGTGAGGATCTTTTCGGATTGCCCTCACCAGAACAGCACGAGGAAATGGAGGCACTGGAAAATTCTCAGTTGAAGCCAGCATTCTCAGTATACACTGTATGTAACCATTCAATTGCTTTGTTAGGTTCAGCATGCGAGATACTTTTTATAATATATCAAGAGAAAAATACATTAATGTTGATAAATAGAGAACCAGATAAATATGACTGGATACACAGGGACATGAATAAATAATGTTATCAAACATTAAGCGAGAAAAAAATTACCTCTCTGACTGTGCAGTTAGTATCATAAAGACGAGTAACAACTGTGAAGTCTGTGGTAGGTTCCTCATCCATCATTGGCGAGTCTTTACTCTCGGCATCTTCACCTAGACGCTCGCTATACAGTGACCCCAGCAGCCTCCAGGTGTTGCGTTCACTTAGTAGTTGCTGGTAAACCTGAATGAATATAAAAATGACATAACATTCACCAAATGTTCATGAACACATTACAATGTTTAGTTCTTACACCTATTACGTCCAATTTATTTTCTTTTTAAACAGACTTCTCTATACATCTTCATGTTGCTACTGATCAAGTAAGAATGACCTCATGCCACTTATAATAAACCATAATCTTACAAACAGTAACAATGTCAATATTGATATAAAGTAAATATTAAATAAAAATATTTGTAGTTGTAAATAACTGGAAATTAACTATGCTTTAATTTACAAGTTCTTAATTTAAAAAAGTAAAATGTAACTGAATTTAAATTAATATACTTTTTAAAATAGAGCTTACAAAACACCAGCGTTGAATGTAATGAAATGCCATTTTCTGGATGAGACCTGGAGGCTCCCCGGACCTATACCAGACTGATGTGTATATATTAGACCGTGGCAACAGTCAATCAAAGGAGTTCTAAGCCTACCGGGGACCAGAGCCAGAACCTGGCCATCTCAAGAGAGGCACGAGGAGCAATGGCCTAAAGACACCCCCGTGTAACTGGAAGCAGTCTTTGTCTGCCATCTACCAGGTCAGGCACCTAGAGGTAGGAATCTCAAAACAAACTACTGCTGGTCAAAAATTTGCAAACCCGAAAGCTGAACTACCAAACAGAGGTCCCCAATTAAAAACAAGGAAGCAAACATGATGTCATCACAACTGTTGCATATCCGTCTGAGAAACCCCTGCCCTTCCCAGGAGCGGGACGGGGGGGGGGGGGGTTAGGTGCTTAGGCTACATGTGCTTAGGTGACCCTAAGCACATGTAGCCCGAGTACCTGAGAATAATACTCCCAGCTCGCATGACCACCGTAAGAGCAGCACTGAAAACCATGAACAGCACAGAGAGAAGACTGGAGCTGGAGCCACACGACTGTGCACGATCCCATCAGCCGAGGAACTGGGGTGGGGACCGCCGGCACGAGGGTCTGGGGCTCCCCCTTCCCCCTCCTGGGGAGGGGGGAGCTGCGCAGACATGCGGCGCTGCTCGTGTGACGTCATGCTTGTTTGCTCGTTTTTCTTTTTGGGGAGTTCTGTCCACTCGTTTGACGATTTTCGTTGTTAACCAGAATAGGGGTTTGTTTTGTGGCGCTTACCTTTCTGAGTGCCTGTCCCAGTCGATGGCAGATATAGAATGCTCCAAATCACATGTGCATTTCTATGGACCATTGCTCCTCGTGCCTCGTGAGGGGGGCCAGATTCTGGCTCGTGGTCCCCGGTAGCCTAGAACTCCACCCACATCGACTGATGCAAAATAGTTAGGGTATCCATATCAGCTATGGATAGCTCCGGGAAGCCGTATGGGCTTCCCCCAGAAAATATAATTTCAAATGTTTAAAAAAATGGATGACATTAACCTTTTGAGTGTTTGTAAAGTTGGCATGATGAATTGGAGCCTTACGAATGAGCTTGGCCAGGGAATCCACTTGAAGGCAGCATGCTTGCTCGTAATCTTCTAGCTCTTTCCACACCTGTGCTTCTGATGGATGTGCCACCATGATGTTAACGAATTCAGAGAACAGCACCTAATAAGCATGAGGGACACATTAACAATATTTACCAGACTGTCACAAATAAAATGATATTATTTGTATATTAATCATTAATAAAAATAATGTACTGTATTATGTTTTTTTTTATTTAGCAAAACAGTGAGTGGAATATGTAAAAATAATTCAAACATGAGGCTGTGCTGGAAGCATTAAGAACATAAGAATGAAGATAACGGCAGAAGGCCTATTGGCCTATATGAGGCAGCTCCTATTTACCACCACCCAATCCCTCTCGACTGGGACCAACCCATATGTCCAACCCATGCTTGAAACTATCAAGGGACCCCACCTCCACCATGTTACACGGTAATTGGTTCCACAAATCAACAACTCTGTTACAGAACCAGTACTTACCCAGGTCTTTCCTAAATCTAAACTTATCTAATTTATACCCATTGTTTCGTGTTCTGTCTTGTGTTGATACTTTTAATGCCCTATTAATATCCCTTCGGGTATTAATATTAATACCCTATTAATATGTCCATTCATCCACTTGTACACCTACCTCTATCATGTCACTCCTAATTCTTCGCCTTTCTAAAGAATGTAATTTGAGCTTTGTCAATATTTCTTCATATGACAAGTTTCTAATTTAGGGGATTAACTTTGTCATCCTACGCCGGACACATTCTAGTGAATTTATGTCCATTCTATAGTATGGCAACCAAAACTGAACTGTATAATCTAAATGGGGCCTAACCAGAGCAAGATATAGCTGAAGAGCAACACCAGGTGTCTAATTACTAATGCTTCGATTAATAAATCCCAGTGTCGTATTTACCTTATTACGAACATTTATGTATTGACTTTTTGGTTTTAAATTCTTACTAATCATAACTCCCAGATCCCTTTCGCAATCCGACTTCGCAAACTCAACACCACCTAGCTCGTATCTTGTAACTATCATCATTACCTAGCCTCGAAACCTTACAGTTGTCAGCATTAAACTGTATTTGCCAACCTTTTGACCATTTCAAAACTCTATTTATATTGTCTTGAAGTGATAGTTTTAATAGATGACAGAACTCCTGATAATTTTATTTAACACTTTCGCGCTTTGGGCAAGAGAGCGCCGCGCCACCCCAAGGTGCGCCTGGCATTCCATTAAAGAGCGCAGTAATACTGAAAAGGGTATACTCTTTTCAACTTTGTCATCTCAATTCTCGTCCTAGGTTTTTCAATTTGGTATCAATGTGTTCACAATAGAATTCTCTACAGGACTAAAGGTATATAAAGTCGAAAAGCCCGGTGTACCATCCGCAACAAGCAGAGAAATTGAGAGAGTGGTAGCCGAGGGCACGTAAGGGCAATAAAATGTGTACACTCTTTTCAGTTTGGTCACCTCAATTCTCGTCCTAGTTCTTTCATTTTGGTATCATTGTGTTTGCAATAGAATTCCCTACAGGAGTATATGCATATAATGTCCAAAACCGAGGTATACCCCTCCTGCAGCCAAGCCGAAAGCAGGCCAAATTTGATAAATTTTGACGCCATACTGCGTCGTTACCAAACATTTGTCTACTAAATTTTTGACGCTATACTGCATCATTACCGAACATTTGTCTACTAAATTTTTGACGCTGTACTGCGTCGTTAACGAGCGAAAGTGCTTAGTTGCTGGCCTTGTCAATGCAGCATAAGTTGGGACAAGGAGGGAGTTGCAGTTTTAGTAAGCCTATATATGCCCAACTTGTTGATGTTGCATTCCCTGATCATCAGTAAATTATGTTGCTTAAACTTTGCATAAATTCCAGAACTTTCCTACTGCTGTGTGCTACTGCTTCCACAAGTTCCTAATGAACAATCTAGGCTCCCTATTAACATAATATAATTCTCAATTATTAAAAATGAGATATTGGTTCATGATAATTAGCACAAGGGAAGAAATCCCTGAAACTAAGCTGAAGATGATAGCTAAAATCAGCCACATGAAATGGCAGAACCATTCTGTGAAGTGAACACTGAAGTATGAACTCCCCCACCCACCCCTGCTGAGACAAGGTTTCCAAGAATAACTAGCAAAGCCGAGAACATTGTGGGTGGACACGGTGCATGAAGTGTTGCTTCCACCCCTGACCATATTGTATCAGCTTGAGCCGACATCTAGTGGCAGTCATTATCATGCAGTTAACAAATACCTATAGTACAATTTTATAGCAATAATTGGTTATCCTTACAGTCCAAAAGATCCAATTTTTAAAATGATCGTTTAAACTATAGCCTAGTATAGTTTAAACGGGTACCATTTGAAAAGTTAATTGTGCTGATGGAGCACTCAAAGTTGACTAGAGCCTGGCTTGCTAGCAGTGACCTGGGTGGTCTTGGGGCTCAGGCAAGGAAAGTACCAAAGAAAGCTCAGAAAGTTTTATAATTACTCTGTCACAATGTGCTGAGTATACATGTATGCATTGAGACTTTATGCCCACATATTGTAAATTAAAATCAGAATCAGATACTAAATAAATGTTAAATCCTAGCACATTAATAATACAAATACAGCACACAATTACCTGTGTTGCTCGAACTCCTGGGTCATCATCGGCAAGGAGAGCAGCACTAGTAGCATCCATAGTTGTATCTCCAAACATAGTGGCATGAATGGGAGCAGTTACATCTTCTATAATCATGCTGGGGCTGTCTATTATGCTTAGTCCTGAAATACATACATCTGTGAGGGTACTGTTTTGATACTTCTTGCATCAACCTACAATTGCAAGCAACAGCACCAACACCGGTGGTGGTCATTCTGCAAGAGGTCAATCATTCTGCAAGAGTTTGGTCCACTCCAAGCCTAGTGGACCAAACTCTCACAAGTCAAGCCTGGCCTCGGGCCGGGCTTGGGGAGTAGAAGAACTCCCAGAACCCCATCAACCAGGTAATCAACCAGGTATTCTCGTACACTGATGGTTGCAATCTTCACTGATAACACCAGCAGTCTAGTTGCTTCTGCTTGGTTGATCACATGACAACAGCTTGATAATACCCTTAAGTCTACTCATTAAGCACCGTTAATTTTACAAAAACACAACCAGATTCTGCGGGCAATCAAGTAAAATGCAATTAATCAGGTGACGGTTATTTCTCATCTTGGAGTCTGTCAGCAATGAAATCTTGCTAGTGGGTGATTAGAGCAATTGACATGCGACCTCCTGATGTAAACTCCGGTGTCAGAATGACTTTGGCGGGCACTGCTGGGGCTCCAGCGGCTCCTCAAAGGTATGCATGGACCAGTATACAATTGAACCAATCGGACAAGACATGGTGTCTGCACCAATGGCATCAGTCTATTTCAACCGGCTGAGGCTATGACATCATAGAAACATCATGACTGAGGGCTATTCCACTGGAATCCCTTTGCAATGGTTAGGCTTCCCCTTCTGATCACAGGTTGGTGAAACTCTCCTCACACTCCATGTCTCTTACTTGCTTCTTGGAAGATGACTTGCGAGACACATACCTTCTCCTCACTCAATTAACGACACGGTATCAAAGGTAGTGCAAGGGCCTTTGCATCTTCTGTTAACATGGGCTTTCTGTAGATATCCAACATGCTTGATACCTGCTTCATGGGGTTCTGGGAGTTCTAGTCCCCAAGGCCAGGCTTGACTTGTGAGAGCCTGGTCCAACAGGCTATTGCTTGGAGGGAAGACTTAGTCCTGAATTAACAAAAACTTGACCTTAGTGCACTCACTCCGTGCACTCGGGAGTTTTCTTGCGAATCCAACTGTCGTCGTGCACTCACGTTGTATAACATAAGACAACTGTCATAATCCATTCCCTCACAACATCCATACAAATGCCACAAGGTATATTAATTAAAAATATAATACATAAAATAAAATATAATAAGCTTAGAAATGATTAAAGTTACCAATATTCACAGCAATGAGGCAATACAAAATGCTACAGATATTTTAATTATGACAATGTAATTCACATAACCCATTTATTTTCAGAAAAATTATGCAAACTAGTTTACCTACAACAATATTAAGAGGTTATCACCTTTTTGCATTTAGAACTGAAAACAAAAGAAAATTTGAAAATTGCCTATGTGACAGCAGCATTAGGTATGAAGAAAAGGAAAATATGCAAAGAAAAAATGTAAAAGATAAAGAGGGGAAATTAAACTTTTAAAAATTAAGAGTTTGAAAACATTTCAAAGACAATAGCCAAGCTATATAAAATAAAATTCAATGTTTTATTTTTTTACAGTGACTCTTCCAACTCTACTGTACAAAGCTTGATATCAACTGTGGTACTATACAGTACTGTACTATGAAACAGAACCGAAACTAACCAATGTGTGAAGTACGAGGAACTGCTGGTGAAAATGATGTGGGTTGACCATCCATAGTTCCTTCTACAATGGATGATATATCTCCATCTGTTTCAAATGTTAAATTATGAAAAACCAGTTATGTAAGCAAGTGGTAAAATATTAATATTATCTGTGACAGAATAAATTTAAATTTAACCTACTTCACAAGTAATTATCAAAAGAAGGCACCAATCTGGGAAGATTATGTAGCACTTACTTCACAAGTCACAAGCATAGTCCACAAAGTGGCAAAATTATTTGAAAAATATCATAAATGATGCCATCCAATTAAAAATATAAGTACAGTACTGTAACTTTTGTTTCTTACTTTGCATTTCAACAACTCATACAAAGTACTGCCAATTTTATTATAATTTTCAAAATATATAATTTATTTATACACTAGAACTGTCGAGATAATTCCATTTACTGAACAGAAATATACCATTTTAGACTTTTATTTAAATACAGTACAGATATGAGTGCTGCAGTGCTAGACAATACATGGTCCAATCACCCAACAGACTAAAATGACAAAACTAAACAGAATTGATACATCAAAACAATCTTACCTCTCGACGTGAACATTCGTCTGCCAGTGCGTGGTGTTCGCATAACACCCCCACCCGGGGAACCCAAAGCAGCATCCAGCCGAGCCAGAGAATCCTCCAGCAAGGATTTTTTTCTCCCCACCATGACTGAAACTTGTTTCACTACCACAACTGAAAACTAACAATTATTATTTTGTATTAATCAAATAAACATAACTATCACTGCAATTTTTAACAAAAACAATCTCTGTGCTTAAAAACAAGTGAATCTTCATATCATGTGGCAGCATCCGAGAAGTGTACGATTTAAAATAAACAACATTATAAAGATAATCTCACCAGCTCATAAAATATTATCAGAGTAACCTCTGTGTATATGCTTTAAAAGTAGGCCATAGTAAGTCATGATCATGGGAGCAAGTCCATGATTGTCTTGACCAATAACAAATGCAAATACATGTCTCAACATGCAATAACAAAAAGTGTGAACACTGATTATCCCAGTCTTATCTTAAATAATACAGTACAGAGGTTCCTCGGTTTAAGAATTTAATCCGTTCCTGAAGACGGTTTATAACCCGAAAATTCGTAAACCGAAGCGAATTTCCCCATAAGAAATAATGGTAAATGAATTAATCCGTTCCTGACTCCCCAAAAACTTCACTTTAAAGTAAATTTTATACCTAAGTCACCCAAATCTTCACTACAAAAGTATGTTCAAGTTATTATTTACCCTTGCTGATAGGTAAGTATTACCCATTATGATGATTACCCTGTTGGCGTATGGAAGATGGTGAGGAGGGGGTAGTAGGAGAGGTGTTACTGCTTGGAAGGGGAGTCCCCTTCCATTATAACATCAGGCAGTGAAGACTTCTCTGGAGTGTATTCTCTGGCACGTTGTGCCTGCATACCACTAGGTCCTAGTTGTGGCTCACTGTTTGATTTTCTCACAAGGAAACATTCCATTGAAGATTGTTTTCCCTTCTTTGCAACACTTGTCTGTAGTGAGGCATCACATTGTCATTGAAAAGATTAATGCAACAACCTACTACAGCTTTCTCTGGGCGAGTCGTTTCAATAAAAGTTTGCATTTCTTCCCACATCTTACACCATTTCCTAATTGTTGGGTAGGGACATGCTCTACTGCCTCATCCTCCTCTGAAGAAATATCCTCAGCTGCCTTTTGTTGCTGCTCCTTTTCTTACCACTGGCTTTCTTGGGACCCATGGCAAGATATATAACAACTATTTTTATGGTCAAATAGCCAAAAATCTGAAAAGAAACTGTAAATCCTTGAAGAATTCAGGCGGGATAGTCACTGGGCGTGAGGCACTGGTAAACTGAGGCGCGATCGCCGTGCCACCACGCGCTAGGTCGGCCGTACACGTATCAACAAACACGTATCCCGAGGTAAAGTTCGTATCCCGATTCAAATTTTCTGAACAAATCGGGCTCATAACCCGAAAAGCTCATAAACAGGGGCATTCATAAACCGAGGTACCACTGTATTATGGTCTGTTAAAAAAAAAAATATGGGCATTAAAGTTACAGTACAGTATATGAAAAGTGGTTTCTAAGATCATTCAGTAGCTCCTCAAGATACACTAAACAGGATAACGAGGTTATCTTGAGATGTTTCTGGGGCTTAGCGTTCCCACGGCCCGGTCGCCGACCAGGCCTCCTATTTGCTGGACTGGTCAACCAGGCTGTTGGACGCGGCTGCTCGCAGCCTGACGTATGAATCACAACCTGGTTGGTCAGGTATCCTTTGGAGGTAGTTATCGAGTTCTCTCTTGAACACTGTGAGGGGAAGGGGGTCGGCCAGCTATGCCCCTTATGTGTAATGGAAGTGTGTTGAACAGTCTCGGGCCTCTGATGTTGATAGAGTTCTCTCTGAGTACCTGTTGCACCTCTGCTTTTCAATGGCGGTATTCTACACATCCTGCCATGCCTTCTGGTCTCATGTGATGTTATTTCTGTGTGCAGGTTTGGGACCAGTCCCTCTACTAATTTCCACGTGTAAATTATTATGAATCTCTCCTGCCTGCGCTTAAGAGAATACAGTTTTAGGATCTTTAGTCAGTCCCAGTAGTTTAGATGTTTTGCAGTGTGGATTCTAGCAGTATAGGATCTCTGCATGCTCTCCGGGTTAATTTTTCCAGCTTTGAAAGGGGCTGTCATTGTGCAACAATACTCCATTCTAGAGAGCACTAGAGTCTTGAGAAGTATCATCATCGGTATATCATCTCTAGTGTGAAAGGTTCTTGTTATCCAACCTGTCATTTTTCTTGCAGTTGTGATGGCTACTTTATTGTGTTCTTTAGAGGAAGGTCTTCCAACATGTTATGATTTGACTGAGTTTTGTATGTGGTTTTCGTTTTTATATTTTAACTTTTTCCGTAGCGCATGAGCTGAAACTTATCCTCGTTAAACACCATATTATTTTCTGTAGCCCATAGAAAGACCTGATTTACATCTGACTGGAGGTTTGCCATGTCCTCTATGTTGTCTACTTTCATGAAAATCCTAGTGTCATCTACAAAGGATGATAGAGTACTATAGATTGTGTCCTTGTCTATGTCCAATATGAGGATGAGAAAAAGTACTGGAGCAAGCACAGTACCCAGGGGGGACTGAGCTCTTCACAGTTGATGGACCGGATTTGATTTTGTTGACTATTAAACATTGGGTTCTGTTAGTCAGGAAATTGTAGATCTAGGTAGCACAGGGAACTTTTTAAACTGTTTTAAGGGCCATTAAGGTGCTATTGAGATACGGGGGAATAAATCATTTCAGGTTAAAAATAACAACAGCCGTTCATAGAATTCCAAGCCCTTACAATAATTACAAATGAAATAGCAGAAATTGCAACAGAACAGCAGATAATTATTTTAACTAAATAAACAGAAGGAATACAATTGTTTAAGTTTTTACACAGCAGATATTTCCAGTTTTACAAGTTTAGTCATTAATCATTAATATTAAATAATGACAAAACATAAGTTAACATTTAGGAGGTAAGATAGGTTATACAGAGTTGATTAGATAGCCCTTAGTTTCTCTCTTAAACGAGTTAAGAGAGAGTCTTTGACATGACTGGGAAGGTCATTCCACATTTTGGAACCTTAGATTTGCACAGGATTTCTATTTTGGTTAAGTTGCACTCTTGGAATATCAAATAGATACTGTATTCGTTTCAAGTGTCATGCCTACGGACTCTGTTACAACCCTCGTGTAAGGTCAGGATTAGCACTGCATTTCCCTGTTTTATATACATACAAAGTACACTTGAGAATATGTGCAGCGAGAGGACTTGTGAACGTGTTACATTGATTTTCATAGTATAATGGTACCAAGCCATGCACAGGCATTTTAACAAAGCTCCTTTTAAATTATTTAAACAGCATATATGGCTTGGCTGCTGTGCATTTGGTTAAGATTGGTTTTCAAAATCAGTCAAGGGTGCAAAGTGGCCTGCTGTATGCCTTATATGAATTTAAAAATTATGTCAAAGAAACCCTATGGAATAACAAATACACCTTTGATAAGCCGCCGGCCTCCTGTCACAACGTAAGCCAATAGAGATGGCCCAATGGAAACTTCAGGGAACCAAAATATTCCATTCACGAACGGTGTCCCAGGGGAAATATTGTTGTTTTACCTTACCAATCCTGTATATAACAGTGCTAGGAGTAACAATCCATTGTAATCACCTATTGTGTACTTTCTTCAGAGGGTAAAACACAGACTGGAGACAACGAAAACACACCAATTTGAACCCCGGTACCGACCCAGCGAGGCCAGCCACAACAATGAGCACTACCCACCTAAACTATTTCTCCATAACATATACTATTTTAACAGGTAACTTTTTAATATTTACTCATTATAATATTTGTATTTATATATAATGTATATTATAATTATATTTATATTATATTATATTATATTATATTATATTATATTATATTATATTATATTATATTATATTATATTATATTATATTATATTATATTATATTATATTATATATATATATATATATATATATATATATATATATATATATATATATATATGTCGTACCTAGTAGCCAGAACGCGCTTCTCAGCCTACTATGCAAGGCCCAATTTGCCTAATAAGCCAAGTTTTCACGAATTAATTGTTTTTCGACTACCTAACCTAACCTAACTTTTTCGGCTACCTAACCTAACCTATAAAGATAGGTTAGGTTAGGTTAGGTAGGGTTGGTTAGGTTCGGTCATATATCTACATTAATTTTGACTCAAATAATTTTTTTTTTACCTCATACATAATGAAATGGGTAGCTTTATCATTTCATAAGAAAAAAATTAGAGGAAATATATTAAATCAGGAAAACTTAGTTTATAGGCAAATCGGGCCTTGCATAGTAGGCCGATAAGTGTATTCTGGCTACTAGGTACGACATATATATATATATATATATATATATATATATATATATATATATATATATATATATATATATATATATATATATATATATATATATATATATATATATATATATATGACAATGTATATATATGACAATGTGTATATATATATACACACACACACAATGTCAGATCCTTCTGAAGATGTATTTAATATACGAAAGTACTTAAGGAAATTTCCTGTTTCATTTTTCCTCCGTGGTCTGACATTGTCACATTCTTAATCACGTGTTTATTTTCGTGATATACACACATATATATATATATATATATATATATATGAATATATATATGAGAAGCAGATGAATAAGCAGGGCAACCATAATCGAGTTTAGACAGGACTCGAGATAAATGTAAAGTGAGGAGAGTACGCCTATTCACTCCCAAAGAAGTATGGGACAAAACCTTAAGGAGGGTAAGGTCTAAATATCTGCAGTCGACCAACAAATTGGGTCACATCTGACCCGCGCCACATTTATACTTGGCGCCACCAACAGTTAAACACAGAGGGCCTCGGGCCTCGTAGCCTGGTGGATAGCGCGCAGGATTCGTAATTCTGTGGCGCGGGTTCGATTCCCGCACGAGGCAGAAACAAATGGGCAAAGTTTCTTTCACCCTGAATGCCCCTGTTACCTAGCAGTAAATAGGTACCTGGGAGTTAGTCGGCTGTCACGGGCTGCTTCCTGGGGTGTGTGTGTGTGTGGTGTGGGGAAAAAAAAAAAGTAGTTAGTAAACAGTTGAGAGGCGGGCCGAAAGAGCAAAGCTCAACCCCCGTAAAAACACAACTAGTAAACACCTCGTCGCAGCACCATGGATCAGCTGACCCCATAAACACAACATATCGCCCTACGGTGCGGCAAGTCTCCCTACAACACACTCCTCTGTTTTAATCACCGTTCCTCTATCTACAGCACAATGCAACAAGCACCTCGGTAACTCCGATCATCCTCAACATAAACGCGTCCACCAACATCTGCACTGGTGCAGTCATCGGGAGGACAAACCCTTCATGCAAACTGTACCTATCAAAAAGAAGAGAAGAAGGGCCTTAGAGCACTCAACTCGGAGGTAAGAGATATGGGCCGACCAAGACAAACGAGTGTCAAAGATTAACCCTAAACGCTTTTTTTTTTTTATTATTATTATTATTTTCTACCACAGACGTGGCCACACATTTACAATGCTAACCAGCATATATACATTTTCTTCTGTCCTCCATGGACAGGGTTAGAGAAGTGTTAAACATACAGTTCAAGGGTTTATTGAACACTCAACCACAGAAGGTGATTCGGTGCTTTTAAAATGCTAAGCTAACCTACATACGTAAATACATAGATACACAGATTTACGTATGCCCTACATGAAGTGTTAGATGTGTCTTTTACATAGTGTCATTAATGTACATTAACAAAGGTGAAATGTAATTCTGATCAGCTTCCATATATGCTTTATACCCATACATATACATACACACACACACATACACATACATATATACACACACATGCATCCACATACATTTGTCTCATTTACCCTGACAGGGTGAGGTAGCTGATAAAGAAACTAGTGTGCAATTAAGCACTTAATCACTGAAGGTGATGAAGGTGCTTTTACAAGCTCAGGTTATATAGTTACATCATATATATACATTGTATGATTGATATATTACATGGTCAATTTTGGATACAAGTCCAATATATCATCAAGTGTTCCAGTACTCATATAGTAACTACAGAACGCTTAGTGGAATCCTAGTACACAAGCAGTTGACCATAAAGCGACAAAGAGGGGACGAAGAACTACATGCTGCCGAGTAAGTCATAGCACAAGTCTTAGACGTAGAGAACCTGAAGCCATGATTGGTGGCCCAAGACAATACGGCATCAATCGCAATTTGAAGCTGCTGTTGAAGGAGAGGCGAATCATTACCCCGACAGCAAAGGGTAAGAGCGTCGACATAGAGAGCGGAGAAGACGCCACAAGGAAGAGAGGAAAGAAGACCATTTAGGGCAACCAGAAAAAAAAGAGTAGTTCTCAGAACACTACCTTGGGGCACACCCTCGTATTGTTATTTTATTGATATATATACAAGAAGGTACATTGGGATTGTGAGGATACATAGCATAGTAATTACATTCTTGTAAAGCCACTAGTACGCGCAGCGTTTCGGGCAGGTCCTTAATCTAAGAAAATTTTAAGTAGGTAAATACTTGCAAAATTTATTAAAATGATAAGTTACATAGCAAGAAAAAAATAAAAGACGAGATAAAATTATAGGTATATTAAAGCACATAGGTAGCTCAGATTGATTGCAATGACAGCTTGAATGGTAGTTTAACAAAAATTAGTAGGCACAATTGTTATGATCTCAGCCTGCAGGAGAAACGAGTCTCCCTCCTTGAGAGTTATTCATCAAGCCTGACCTAACCAGAAGGTCTAAGAAATATAGAGGTGATAACACATATGTAAAATAGCTGGTTGGATATGATAAACAATTTAAGATTATGGGCAGTGTAGAAGAAAACAGATAAATGACTGGTTAGGAGATATGGACATTTTGCTGGAGGCGTGAGGCTCGCTTCTGGAGGGCTGTGACCTCACTTGAGTGCCAGACATCGCAGGGGAAAGCCGCGCTCCGTTGAGCTCCCGTCAGAAGGGAACCCCTAGTGATATATCTCCAAGAGAAGAGAAGTGTGCAGACGTACCAGCTGTGGAATCGAGCTGGGAACGTTGTGGTCTCAAGTCCTGGTCGACGAAGTGTTTATTAAACCGCCCAGAGGCATTATTGTGGGCCGTGGCAGCGCCCTGACCAAGCTTCGTCAGAGGAAGGAGCGCCCTCGACTAGACCATCTGTGGTAAGCACAATATAAGCCAGTTCATAGTGATTGCTTGTAGTTGGTCGTGTGCCCAGCGACAGTAGCAATGTTTATTGATAAGTTAGACATGTTTTGATAAGGCAGATAGCCTAAAATAAGAGAGTGGAGAGGGAGGAACACGGAGCGACGTCCGTCCCCTCTGAGCGCTGGCAGGCAACTGAGGGAGCCAGCTCCTGACGGTGAAGGACCCTCCCGGAGTGAGGAGGCCCACCGGTCGAGGTGGAGTATGGACCCGCCCAAAACGGGGGAGTCCACTCTCACTGTGTTGGGACAAAATAAGATACCGCCAAGTGGTGTCAAGCCTTTTCCAGGTCAAAAGGACGGCAACATCGGAGGTCTTCGCAGCAAAAGCAGTACGAATATAGACCTCCAAGTTCACCAGGACATCTGTTGTGCTGCAGCACTTACGAAAACCAAATTGAATAGGGGAGAGGTGGTGATAGTGTTCTAAGAACCACATCAGACGAACGTTAACCATACGTTCAAAGAGTTTGCAGATAAAACTCGTGAGGGCAAAAGGGCGGGAGTCCTTAAGGGATGTCCCAAGTGGCCCTGGAATCTGAACAGGGAGGACAACGGCATCGAGCCAGTCCTCCGGGGTCTGACGACGACTCCCAGACCAGATTATATACTCTGTAAATACTGAGACGTGCTGAGTTTCAATAGGGTCATGTTCCATAAAATCTGGATCGGGCAGATCAGCGTGCGGATATTCAGGCGAGGGAGAAAGGACTAGAAAGCTCAATGGCTCTGAAGCTAGGATGATACCATACTCTTAACAGCTTGAATAAGACTTGGCTACAGGGATCTCCGGCAGTTTGGCTTTTATTGGAATCTAGATGAAATTAAGTGTAAAGTGTATGGACAGACAGGGGGACACACACTGAACACCATATCTTGGATTGTAGTAAAATTGAGCCATTTAGAGAAATTTAAACTCACGTTGCATGATAAGGCAACCTATCTTATTAACAAGGACAAAATACCAGAAATCCTTGCACTGTATCCATATTTCGCTCCCAGTAGATAATAGATAAATGACATACGAGATTAAGAAACAAAGTAGTGTATTATGAAGACTACCAGCAGCTCCCATATGACTAATATAATATCTCTATTGCTCAATTATGTATTAGCAATAAGAGCCACCATTAATGTATACCTTTAATATATAGCTCTTGAAATAGAACACTCTTTAACTAGCTGACATTGTAATTATAAGGTGTGAAGGATAGATTAATTGTTAATGTAATAATTACCGTTGAGGCTTGAGAAAGACCTTTTGTGCCATCTGTAATCCTCTTTGCGCTACCGCTCACAGGATGAGTATGGGACGCACAATAAACAAATCAATCTGGCACACATGGGCAAAGAGACCTGCATTTCCTTGGGGAAGGTTATACATCTGGTGGGAAGATAGACTTAAGTTTCCACGAGGGGCACTCCACCCATTTCTTCATGTCCACTGCTCTAATCATTTCGGCGCCCTTGCAAGAGAGCCCTCAATTGAGGTACTTCTATCTCCTGACCCTCCAGTCTACTGCTGGTTGTGAAATTACAGTCTCCTGGGCCCTCCATGTGTAATCCCATGCATAGTGTCTCACTACAGTACTTCCATTACCAATTACACTTGTCCTTGCCTATTCTACCATCCTCAGTCACAGCTGTTTTTTTGGTCCCTGTTTACCCCTTCCCTCCCCAGCTGAAAATGTTGCCAACATTGCAAACTACAATAGGGCTAACATTTTCAGTTGGAGACATGTGGAGACATTAACAAGTTACTGTCTACGTTAATAAATATTAATAAAGGTAATTTATAATTTAATAAATTGACAAAACATTAATTTTAGTTAATAAATGACAAAACTACTCATAAGTCTGAGCAAGTGAATAATACACGTGATTAGGTATTTAATATGACGAGCTGGAAAAAATAGCATAACTAATTAAATTTACTTAAAATATACTGTGATAATTTGGAGAGAAAAAAACTATGTGGGCAAATATTTTATTTAATCAAAAAGACCAAAGCCCATATCATCATCTGACTCTTCCTCAGGTTCTTCTTTCTTTTCTTCCTTCTTTTCTTGAGCAGCTGGGGCTCCACCACCGGCAGCAGGTGCAGCAGCAGCTACAGTGCCCTTACCACCGCCGCCGCCACCACCACCACAGGAAGGCATTGATGAAATTAATGCTGTTCCTGGAATAAAAGTTTTTTTTTTTTTACTTCACATCTTGAAAGATTCATTTTCCAAAATTGAAAAAGTTAGTTAAATGTTAAAAATTTTGAATCAACAAATAATATCTCAAACGTCTGCCTCTTTCACGTTTTCACCCTTTGCATATATCAGTACAGTAGGTGATTTTGAAGGAAAGGTAATATGGCAGCTAGAAATATTTAATAAAACTGACGATTCTTACTAAGATTTTATCAGCTAGAACATCTCTCATCCAAATCAAATGTTACACATGTGTCAACTATCCTAATTCTTATTGGCTGCCCACCCAGGAAAATACTGAAACATCATTTGATGAAATCTTTCTGACAGTACCAGTCATGTAGCTTTGACATGAATTTGTTTTTAACTGCTTAATATAAGTATCATACACAACTCTTGGGAATGAAATATTTTAATACATGTATAAAATTGTTATATAAAATTTGCCCATTCACCCGGGCTCCAGAAGACCCCATGTATGCGAGGTTGAAGCTCTATCGACCGAGCTATTCAGTATTCTCAACAAGGAAGTTTCCAGAAGCAACATCCTGCTGCTAAACTGGAAACAGCTCGGCTGATAAGAGTTTTGGCCTCACGTGCATAGGGTCCGCTGTTCAAGTAAGTCTCCTAGAGCCCAGGTGAATGGAATATATTTCCACAGCAGTGTGGATTACAATTTGTATGTCGGTGTGGATCACGGATGAATGTGGATCAATTCCTCGTGAATTTCAGAAGTATTCAGGGAAAGTAAAAAATTTCAGTTTGGCAGTAAGATGTCGCTTCTGGAAACTTTCCTTATTAACCCTTAGACCACACATTTACCGCTCATATTGGGGGCCTGGTACCGAAAAATATTCAAATTATGTAAAAACTTAAAAATATTAAACATATCTAAAATTATTGGCCTCAACGTCTTGAAATTTATCAAAATATTTTCAGAAATTGATTTTAAGAATTTAAAAAATAAGAACGTTTTGTTGATAAGGAGAACTGCTCCTAGTAACTGGAACTGAAGGATTATGCAATAATAAAGAGATGCAAGCACCTGTCCGACGCTCAAAGAAGAATAGTAGTAAGAAGTGTCCACAAAGTGGATATGCAGTTGGTGCCTTTATATCATTGCTGAATAATATATAATAACAAAATAATAATGAATATGTTAATATGTTAATTTCATCAGTCACAAATATTTTTTTGTTAGGGGAAGTTTTTTTAAGACTTAGTTTTTTCTTCTTTATTATCTGATTTTGTTGCAACCTTTACATCCTGGAGAATGCATATGTTTCCTTAACTATGTGAAGATGGAATGAAATTGGTCAATAAATAAATCAGGTACAACTCGCAAAACTTGGGACTTAATTTTTTTGGCAGATTTTTTCTCTGAGTTCAAACTATTTTCTTGTCTCTATGTTTTGATGATTAGGGACCATATTAGGGCTTTTTCACTTAAATAAAGTATACCCTAAATACTTATAATTATAATAATAATACCTATATTTTGCATTATATTTCAACACAGACCTACAACTTTCACATATTCGAGTACGAATGCCAAACAGTGTTTAAGACGTACAATTTCTTCCAGCCAGAGGTGGTACTCTATCAATTAAATTAATGAATTATAACTACCTATATTCATTGTTGATAACTTCAAGTATCTCTGAAACTAGAGTTTCAACTTTGAGTGGCTTCTAAAATTCCAGTTTTTGACCAATTCTCACTATTTTGACATTGTGTGCTCAGCTGTCTGTTCTACAATCCCATCAGAATGGATTTTTCATAAACTTCATACATTTGGAGTTATAATTTTTTTTGGTCTAAATTTGCTGCATATTTCAAATGTCCTATCGATTTTTTTTTTACAGTAAATTGTACTGAAAACTTATATTCTAATTTGATGAAAATAAAGATCATATGCTATTCTGAAAGAATAACAACATTAAATGAACAACTGGTAATAGTTCATATTTTTTTTATTCTGAATTGAAAATCTGAAGTTTTTAATAATCAGTTTTAAAATTAATTTTGATTTTCTTGTTTTTCAAGCTATGCTGTGAGCATTTAGACAAAGTTGGAGCATTTGCCTAGTTGATTATGCAAAAAAAAATTGGAAGGTGTTTGTGCCAGTTTTTAAAACTAAAGTTTTTTAAATTAAAGGTTATTAAATTAAGTTAAATTATTTTGTCAAATCATGTATGTATTGCACGGTCAATAGCTTGGTCGGTAGAGCTTCAGCCTCACATGCGTGGGGTCCATGGTTCAAGTCTCCTAAAGCTCAGGTGAATGGTACATACGATGTCCAAGTTCAACCCATCACTTGCGTTTGAACTTATTAATTTTTTTGGCAAGGATCTAATGAGGAAACAGGACGAGTTCAAAAATAATGTACTAGTAATATAAAATGTGCCATGATGTTGTAATACATTCAAACAAGACAAGTCTGGTGTAATAATCTGAATATGGAATCAGATGGAGCATATTTAACACTTTCGTGCTTTGGGCAAGCAAGTGCCAGACCACCCCAAGGTGGGCCATGTGAGCGCATGGTAATACTGAAGTGTATACTCATTTCAATTTTTGTCACCTCAATTCTTGTCCTAGGCTTTTAATTTTGGTATCAATGTGTTCGCAATAGAATTCCCTACAGGAGTATATACATATAATGTCCAAAATCGTGGCACGGCGTGCCCCACCCCCACCAGCAGCCAAGCAAAAAGAAGGCCAAATTTTTAAACTTTTGACACACCGATGCGTCACATTCGTCTAATTTATTTTTGACTCCATCCTGTGTCATCCCCAAGCAATATGAGGTGTTAGATGTGAACCTTGACAACACTCGTCTTTGGCCAGTATTACACACACAGTTTTAACTCCAATTATCTAGATCCACCTTTTATGATTATAAAAAACTGGTTCTACACCTCAATATCCATGGAACCTTTGGGGTCATCATTTGGGGGAAAAAAATATTTTAGTCAAATAAGCCTATCCAAGCTGCCTCACAGTAATTAAATTGAAAAAAAAAAAAGTTGATTAATGCAAGCATTCATAGATGGCAAAGACAATTTTATGTGACTGCAAGAGTGGCAGTGACGCAAATACAATAGTCGAGACTGAGAAGGTCATACAAGTAGGCCAAAGAAATAAATGAATACCTGAAAGGGCCTCATTCTGTTAAATTTAGCACCCCAATAAACATTTAAGTTAAATATCTGGACATCATCTTCATGAATGATATCCAAAATCCAGACACTGAGATTAACACGAGCACAAATATAACATGCCCATACACTCTGCCCTGGGTTTTGACTTGGACCTGCCTTTTAATAAAAAGATGAAAGATGATCTATGGAGAAAGATACCAGAAGTACACCACTTCAATTGGCCGATAATGTCTAGTCAAACAAATCTCACAGTAACAAACTTCAATTTGATCCTGTGAACTTTGCAAAGAAAATTGGTAGATACAGTATATAGGATTTTGAGTGAGGTCCCACTCAATGATTGCACATTGTATGAAAATTATGATAAGACATTTTGTCCCCCCCCCCCTCCCCCACATTTGGGCCCACATTGCAATATGTCTGCTGTGGCAGTGAGCTGAATAATCTAATACAGTACACTGTATTCAGTCTAATATCTCTTAACTCTGTCCATGGAGGAATGAAGGCAATGTATAAACTATATATACATACATACACACACACACAAAAAAAAGGAATTTAAATTAATGGACTATTTGAAGTGAAGGAATGAAAGAGTCTGTGCAAGAACTCTCAAGGATTACCATACACCTAGCTATGATTCAGGGAAAATATGACTAGGATTTTCTGGAATGCTGTGGTACAGTTGTGTACTTGCTTTTTGCGATGCTATGCGTGAAAAGTAGCATGAAATTATGAGTAAGTCTGAATGTATTTAATGCGAATAATGCTATAATACAAAAATAAACACTAAATACCTTCAGCAATAATTTGATTAAGATTCTTTCCTTCCAACTTCTTAATTAGAACTGCAAGCTGTTTATCATCAGCTTCAACACCAACACTGGCAAGGATGGATTTTATGTTTGTTGCTGTTGGCTGGTTATTGCCCAGCGAGGCCAAAAGGTAGGCAGCTACGTGACGCATTCTGTAAACAGGAATACAATATGAATTACTGTGTTATAATACATGCTATGCTGTCAACTCAATTTTTAATTTTAATAATTATCATTAATTAAAAAAATAGTAGAAGAAAAATAGATGCCCCCTCCTTTAAAGGGGCATCAGGTTGTCAGGTCAAAGTTGTTCAATGTCAACCAATATTATTTGACTAATTGTATATGAAAAGTGCTTTAATTGTCCCAAGTTTCAGTGCTGCAGCGTAAATACAAAGGGAGATTTTTTTTTTCAACATTTTTTACACATTTTCAAGTCCACACTTCAGAACACACGTTTCAGATATAATTATTCTGTGACACTTTTCTGACACATTAGCATATAATAAAGGACCTTGACATATAGAATTTCGAAAACATCTTTAGTTTTCCTAATACAAATGTTCAGTTACCAAATTTTTTTTTGCAAATATGGCATGTTTATTGCTATTATAAAATCAATAAATAAACTTAGAGAAAAATGAAAACTCTCCAATGTAGAGACATGCCCTCCACATATACTGTGTAAGTTTCATGTAAATTGAATAAAAAATGAATCAGTTTTGTAAACGTTTATGTCAATTGAAAAAAACCCAGAAATGAATAAAGTCTAAGGTTCTAAAATCTGTGGCTGAGGTTGACATCGACCAATTTTCTCCAAAATTGGCATCCTTACAGATAGGCTTACGTACAGTCAGGTGTGTAAGTTTGATGCAAATCGCCCCCCCCCAAAAAAAAAAAAAATTCTTAATTTTTTTTCCAATTAAACTAATTATAATATTTGTTTAATATATGCTATTGTGATAGCAAAGTCATAGCTATGATTTCAGTGGACACTTTTGATTGATAATCGATTTTGACCATTTTGGCATAATTTTCACAACTACTTCAATATTTTTTTTCTACCTTCCTATTTATGCTACGATGCTGAAACTTGGACCAGATGAAACACTTTTCATATAGAACTTGTCAAAAAAGTTTGATTGAAATCGAACGAGTTTTCATTTATTGCATTTTTGGGGCAAATTGTAACCCTAATGCCCCCTTAAGATAAAAACTAAGCACTACCTAATTAACTTCCTGTAACCTACCTTACCCCTATAATGTCAACCCATGCCTGCTATTTTTAAACAATGCTGTTTGTCGACCAAATGTATTTTTTGCTGTTTTTCTGCCATATTCCCCCTTATTATTTTTATATTTTCTCAACACATTTTATACTCTAATCTCAATTAGTATTAAGTTTAAGTCTTTAGTGTTTTTCCTGCCCGAAACGCTTTGCATAAAAGTGGCTTTAGGCATTGTATTTACTAGCTCTATAAATGCATCAATATTTGTATCACACCTTGTATGCATGTATTTTACCTGAATAAACATTTTAATTTGAATTTTGAATTTTTTGACTGACTTATGTAGAACTGCATGATCTAATTTTACTATTACCCATACCTAAAAATCTGCATGCCAATACCAGGCTTTCTTGAAAATGGCTCCATCCTACCAAATGCTTGTCCACAGATTACAAGACCTGACCTATCTGTTACCATCAAAATACCAAGTCAGCAGTTACCAACAGTTCATGACTTTCTCAGTACAGTGGAACCTCGGGTAGCGAACATCCCTCTTTACAAATTTTTCAGGGTTACGAACTCAATTTCTTTGGAAAATTTCAATCGGGTTACAACCTTTGCCTCGCCTTGCAACTCTGTTGATACATGTATGGATCTTGGTTATCTTTGAGTTATCTTGAGATGATTTCGGGGCTTTTTAGTGTCCCCGCGGCCCGGTCCTCGACCAGGCCTCCACCCCCAGGAAGCAGCCCGTGACAGCTGAATAACACCCAGGTACCTATTTTACTGCTAGGTAACAGGGGCATAGGGTGAAAGAAACTCTGCCCATTGTTTCTCACCGGCACCTGGGATCGATCCAAGGACCACAGGATCGGTGTAATAATAAACATGAAGCAAAATATCCAATCAAAATGGTTTCCGTTGTCAGGGACAGGAAGCCTTCAAGACTTATGAAGGTCCTACTAAATACAGATTTTCTCCCCCAGGATGCAACCCATTTAGTTGACCAAGATTCCAGGTACCGAGACATTGCATATGTATTAGGCTTGGCAGTGCAAGTCATTATGTAGAAACGAACAGGGATGGAAGCAGACTGCACTAACCACTACGCTTCACGAGTGTAATGATTACTCGTTAATACTCATTAACAATTTCTTACATGCTTAATAAAACAATTGCTTTAAAAGCTATAAAATTTAACTATTATTCATTGTTGGGAACAGGCAGCTTTTGTATATGTTAGGCTTATATCAAGGTCTCTCCCTAGGATGTAACCTCCACCAGCTGACTCCTAGATACCTATTTACTGCTAAATAAACAGACATTGGGCGATAGAAAATGTGCGCAATCATTTTTCCCGCCCAGGATTCGAATCCAGGATTTCCGATTGACAGTTGAAAACAAACCCGACTGTACTACTAATCTTAAAAGGGTCTCGGTAGTACAACTAACTGGGTTCGATCTCGACTCGAAATTGAGAATTCCATGTTTGAATCCTGGCCAAGACAGAAATAGTTGGGAGGGAATTATTACGGGAAAGTCTCAAGTCATTACGACTACATGTACATAGCACTTAGGAGGAGTCAGAGCACTTGGACGGTCAGAGATTGAACGCCAGGAATTGGAGTATTTCCTATCACCTAATGCCCCTGGCCACCTAGCAGCAAATAAATACCCAGGAGTTAGTCAGCATGTTGTGGGGTTGCATCCCTAGGGGGAGGGTCAGTACTGCATTGGTTATTGCATCCTTCAATATAAGCCTATGTATAAACTGACTGTCTGTCCCCCGACACAATGAATTATTATTATTTATTATTATTATTATTACAAGACCCTTAGCATAAGTCACCAATATTTAGATGAGTACAAGTCCATGGGGCACTGAACTCTTGTATAGATATGATAACATAAGGTAATGTAAGCCAACACATTAGGGTATGGTGCTGAGAGTAGACCAGCCACCACCACTAGCAGGGACATCACCTGGCCTGGGGCCCGTCCCTTACCTCGCCCACACCATACACCACCCCAGCCTCCAGACAACCTACACACTTCGCATACACGTATACAAGTATATTTCTAATTATAACACGCTTCAAAATAACTCGATATAAACACAAGAGTTTCGTGGCCTGCTCTGACGAGATAGTTTTAGTCAGTTTTTACCTCACCTTCACCAACCTCACTTAATATTTACCGGAGTACGCATTCTATGCCTTCTTATGAAGGTAACTCCACTACTACCAATATAAATAAGTGTGTAACTAAGCTCAAAACCTTACTTTATGTGTGTGTGTTGACTACACGTGTGGCCTGGCCGCCTGCGCTAGAGAGAAGACCTCCGCCTCCTTTAACTCTGCGTTGCTGGCCGCTCTGGCCAATCTTAACCTAGAGTTATCCGACTTGGGCGCTACTCGACGTTCTGATTGGTTACTGAGCTTCACTCACCACAGTAGATACATGGGTAAAATTTCAATCTAAAATTTATATTATTTTACTAAATCAGTTACAGTAATTCTAATATGTATAAATATTTCCTGATAATAAATAATTTCTTAATTTGAAGTAATACTACTACAACTAGTATAGTGTAAAACATTAGTGGATAATACACGGAGACTCTGCAACACTACTGGGGCTAGTTGTTATCGGTGAAGATATGGTGGTCGATCTCGAACCTATTGTTGCTGTGACGATGGGCATTGAATTTTGTATCTAGCTCATCAAGATTGTAACTTGCTTTGTGTTACGGACTCGTCACCCTTGTCAGGGTAGAGTGGTAGTTCCAGCGCCATCTACGAGTCCGCACCCGAACTGCCCGGGAATCGTACGTAATATGGACAATGCCATCTGAGGGTGGCTATCTAAAACCTATAAATGACTAAAGATTCCTGCCTTGGTCAGCCAGAGGGGTCGTTGTGAGTGACCTCTGGTGAGGTGACGCATCAAGACCAGCACCACCTAGTGCGTGATACAGAGCATAATGTCAACTCCCCAGTAGGTTAGTAGTATATTTCCTAGTTCTCCAGTATCGTCAAGTTTATGTCCACAGAGGTGACGTCTGGGGGCAGTGATACTGGAGAGAGCATTTCATCTTAAGCAGTCCAGAGTCTCCCTACATGGTCCGGGAAACGACCAAGTAAGCCGCCGCCGATGAAGCAGTGTGGTAGCTGCTAGTGCTTTAATGTTGACAAGATCGGCGTACTTTTGGGACTGGCTTAGGGAAGAGACTGACGACAGGGAGGTGCCTGTTAAAGTAGTGCTGCTAGGTGGTCGCTAGAGACTGCTGCCAGGGGATCGCTACCCCTGTATTGGTTTGTGACCCCGCTCAGCGTGTGGCTGAGGTACTCTGCCAGCGAGTAGCTGGAGAGCGGTCGTAGGGGTACGGGCACCTCATGACACTTTTTTTTTATTATTATTTTCTACCACAGACGTGGCCACACATTTACAATGCTAACCAGCATATATACATTTTCTTCTGTCCTCCATGGACAGGGTTAGAGAAGTGTTAAACATACAGTTCAAGGGTTTATTGAACACTCAACCACAAAAGGTGATTCGGTGCTTTTAAAATGCTAAGCTAACCTACATACATAAATACATAGATACACAGATTTACGTATGCCCTACATAAAGTGTTAGATGTGTCTTTTACATAGTGTCACTGTCAGTGGGCTGGCCCACGTACAGGTGAACTCGCTGGTGTTCTTCCCAGTAAGGTTGGATACGCTACTGGACAGTGAAGAAATACTGGGGATTGATGAACTCTGCACGTGAGCACGTTTGATATCCTGAGCGAAAGGATTGTACATAGGTGTAGAAATAGCCTATCTGTTCTTTATATATTATTTAGTGATGGTGTACATATATATTTTATACTTATCGGTGGTGGAAAGATATTTGATACGTTGACGAAAGGAACAGTGTGTTCATCCCCTCCTTTTTTTATGCACTACACAGCCACTTTCTTGAAAGAGTACTACTGACTTGGGGTCAGATACTATCATTCTGGTTCTACCATCAAATAACCCGGTTTCGACCCATAGTGGCCGTAACACTTTGCTAAATGAATTGTAGAGTTCAGTCGCTGAGCTCATTTATGTGCCTCTGTAACCCTTTCCACAACCGTCCACAAGATGGGTATGGGGTGCATAATAAATGAACTAAGATGTTCTCATGGAGACCCAACTCAAATTTAACTGAAGGCCACAGTATTTTTTCACCGTTTTCAATCTTGACTCTACACTCTCGAGAGTCGTGTTTCTTACCACAGTACCGACACCTGGAGTCAAACTGGCATTTCCAAGCCATATGTCCCCAACGAGAGCACTTCATGCATAATATGGGCTCCTCAATGTATTTTGCAACTTTCCTGTAGCCTAGCCCTTGCAAAAAAATTCTTTCCAGAGCCTCATCCTTTAGGCAACAAACTGGCTTTGTTTTTCACCACGAACACTGTTCCTCTTTGCCCAAACAACACTATCATTGTTGAGCAATAGATAATCAGGATCCAAATAAGCTGGATACTTAAATACTATGATCTTGGTGTGTATCATACCTTCGTCCGGTGTAACCATCACAATATTCTCAAACCCATCCTTCGTTAGGTGTTCCACAGCCTTTTCTGTCCCAACTGTTATGTAGGGCCGGCGAAGACCCTCCTTGAATAGTGGTTCATATTCAAAAAACTCCTTAGCCAAACGAACCGTCCACTCCAGCTTTTGATGAAAATTCAGTTGACACGCTGTAGGGAACAACGGCCTCTTCCTTCCATTAGTCTGCATCTCCCACGTCCTGCTGAGCATGGCTTCATTTTTTGGTCTCTGTTATTTCCTCCTCACTGTCTCCGTCTCCCTGTTTTTGAATATTTCGCCGTTTATATCTGTTCACTACTGCTTGATACGGCCTAATATCATCCTGTCTGCCATCCCCACTCTCACACTCTCCAGGCCCAGTGCAGGATCTCCCATCACCTAGGCAGACCGCCTCAGCCATTTCCTCGATACACAAAGGCACTGTATCACTGCAACAGTCGAGAACAAATTCACAACATCTAGCTGCAACAGCCACGTGCAAACACGAAGATGCGGAGCAACACGTCCTCCTCGCATCATGCAGCAGACCGCACTAAGGTTAGTAGTTCGACCTTGAGGGGGGGGTGGGAACCGCGATATAAGCCTAACGTGTTTGAATACACTCCGACACAATAAATTATTATTATTAAATTTTCCTAAATATTTAATGAATGAATAAACCATTTTAAATTAGTTTATCCCCAAAACAGTTTTCTAGTATCATCCAGAGAAAATGTAAATTATTTTTTAATGGCTAACTTCTTAAAAAATCACAATATATATAAATAAATATATATATATAAATAAGTAAATAAATAAATAAATAAATATATATATATATATATATATATATATGACCGAAAAAGTAAGATTAATAATTATGCAAGTCCTAGAACTAAGAGGCATGAGTTACGAAGAAAGGTTGAGTGACCTGCACCTCACGTTGCTGGAAGACAGAGGAGCTCGGGGAGACATGACCACCAGATACAAAATTCTCAGGGGGAATTGACAGGGTTGACAAAGATGGATTATTTAACACGGGTGGTACACGCACAAGGGGACACAGGTGGAAGCTGAGTACCCAAATGAACCACAGAGACGTTAGAAAGAATGTTTTCAGTGTCAGAGTAGTTAGTAAATGGAAAGCACTAGGAAGTGATGTGGTGGAGGCTTTATATACACAGTTTCAAATGTAGATATGATAGAGCTCGAGAAGCTCAGGAATCTATACGCCAGTAGATTGACGGTTGTGAGGCGGGACCAAAGAGTCAAAGCTCAACCCCCGCAAGCACAACTAGGTGAGTACTGAACACTATAGAAACAATTTATGTCCATTTTATAGTGTTGCGTCCGTACCGAACTGTATAATGTAGCTGGGGCTTAACAACGCTTCTAAAAATACATTCCGGTATATATACTCCTTCCATCATTTCCAACATTTATTAATGTTATTTGTTTGGCTTAATAAGATCCCCTACTAATCATGACTCCCTAGAACCTGGATATTTCTCATACTGAGATTGCAATTTCAATATTGTCCAGCAGGTATATGGGAACTCCATTGTTATTACGTAAGCTCAGAACCCTACACTTTCAACGTCATTTGCCAGTCGTTTGTCCATTTTGAAAGAGAGGGAGAGGGAGAGAGAGAGAGAGAGAGAGAGAGAGAGAGAGAGAGAGAGAGAGAGAGAGAGAGAGAGAGAGAGAGAGAGAGGGGAGAGAGAGAGGGGGAGAGAGAGAGGGGGAGAGAGAGAGGGGGAGAGAGAGAGGGGGAGAGAGAGAGAGAGAGAGAGAGAGAGAGAGAGGGAGAGAGAGAGAGAGGGAGAGAGGGAGAGAGAGAGAGAGAGAGACTGAGACTGAGGGGGTGATGGAGAATTAAAAAACAGAACAAAAAGAAAACAAAGAAGACATTTGTGAGATGTAGTGAGAAAAAGGGCTGTCGACCTTCAGGAAGAGGAGCGAAGCGTGAGAAACAGAATGATGTCCACATTTGCCGCGTCCCTCACTCCCTGGCAGCTTAACCCCCTCCCTCCCTCCCTGGGTCCCATCCAATCCTTGACCTGCTCCCTCCCTGCACTGCACCACCGAGGACTGGAGCACCTCCCGGCCACAACAAGTGTGTTCCCTCCACCTTCATCCAGCTAAAATGTTTATATACGAGCGGAAAGGTCGCAACTCTTTACGACGCTCGTGGGACTCGTTCAGGGCTGGATGCTCGCGTCTACACTCCCTCATGGCCGGGCTCATGTGTCCGTACCCTCATGTGTCCAGGCTGATGTAGTCCGTACTCTCATGTGTCCAGGATGATATGTGTACTCTCATGTGTCCAGGATGATATGTGTACTCTCATGTGTCCAGGATGATATGTGTACTCTCATGTGTCCAGGGTGATGCGTCCGTACCCTCATGAGTCAAGGGTGATGTGTCCGTACCCTCATGTGTCCAGGATGATATGCGTACTCTCATGTGTCCAGGGTGATGTGTCCGTACTCTCATGTGTCCAGGCTGATGTGTCCGTACCCTCATGTGTCCAGGGTGTTATGCGTACTCTCATGTGTCCAGGCTGATGTGTCCGTACCCTCATGTGTTCACGGTGATGTCAGTACCCTTATGTGTCCAGGGTGTTGTAGTGACGGACCTTGGCGCCATCTATGATCCAGATTCTAAACTAAACAGTTGGCTCTCCCATTAATATCAGTTTCCCATCCTCTAGTCTGTTGTTCTGGGAGGTGATGAGCTAGTGATTGGCGACAGACTTCAGTGAAGCAGAGTGAAGTACACTGGTCGACCTTGAGACGTGCTAGTCAGGGGCTAGTTGAGCACTGTTGAGGTGTGCTAGCCAGTGGGCTAGGGATCTCTGACATTGATGTGCATACCCTCACATGTCCTGGGTGATGTGCGTGCCATCATGTGTCCAGGGTGATGTGTGTGCCATCATGTGTCCAGGGTGATGTGTGTGCCATCATGTGTCCAGGGTGATGTGTGTGCCATCATGTGTCCAGGGTGATGTGTGTGCCATCATGTGTCCAGGGTGATGTGTGTGCCATCATGTGTCCAGGGTGATGTGTGTGCCATCATGTGTCCAGGGTGATGTGTGTGCCATCATGTGTCCAGGGGGATGTGCGTGCCATCATGTGTCCAGGGGGATGTGCCTGCCATCATGTGTCCAGGGGGATGTGCGTGCCATCATGTGTCCAGGGTGATGTGTGCGTACCATCATGTGTCCAGGGTGATGTGTGCGTACCATCATGTGTCCAGGGTGATGTGTGCGTACCATCATGTGTCCAGGGGGATGTGTGCGTGTCATGTTCAAGCTCCAAATAGTTTGGACACAAGTGTATTGAGTTACTGACAAGTGTTGCCAATGACAGTTGTGTATTTATCACCTGGACAATATTGCTAATAGTTTACATATCTATATAAATGGAAATGTTCGTTTGTTCAAAATCGCTAATCTCCGAAAGTTCTTCACCGATTGGTTTGAAATTTTCACACAACGTTTCATCCGCATCCGAGCAGGTTTTTATATAAATACTATATAGACGTCACATCTGTGACTGTAAAAAAATATGCTTTGTCTGGAAAACTGTGTTTTTCATGTGAGGGAAATCTTCGAAACCTCTTTACCGATTGCTTTGAAATTTTTTGACACAACGTTGCATTCGAATAGGCGCGCCTTTATATATATCTACTATATCCATGCCTCACCTGTGACAGGAAAAAAAACATGCTTTTTTTGAAAAACAGCGCCATCTGTTGGACGTAAGAGAAACATACGCTGTAATCTCCGAAAGTTCTTCACCGTTTGCTTTGAAAATTTGACACAACGTTGCATTCGAATACGCGCGTCTTTTTATATACCTACTATATAAATGCCTCCCTTGTGACAGGTAAAAACATGCGTTTTTGAAAAACAGCGCCAACTGTTGCACATAATAGCAACATGCACGCTATACTAAATATGTCACGAATTCCATTTCAATGTTTCCGATTGCATTGATAAACTTTATTTTCATAAATTTCGATTTATTTGATTTTTTATTGAATTATTTTGTGTGACATTGTGTTGGAATTGAGCTGTGTTGTTTACCATACCGTTCATTTCGTGAGTATAGTTTATATAGTTTCGTGAGTATAGTTTATATAGCTTCGCGAGTATAGTTTATATAGCTTCGTGAGTATAGTTTATATAGTTTCGTGAGTACAGTTTTATTTTTTCATATTTTCCGTTCATTTTTTAACTTTTTCTTATATATCTGTGATGGGAACATCAGATCACTTGATGTTCCCAATTTTCCGATGGAAACATCAGATCAATTGGGTAAGGCATCGGACGAGGGAGCGGGGAATGGTGGGGATGACGAGGGGACAAGGGAGGGGGTAATGGTGGGGAAGGACAAGGGGACGGGGGAATTTGGGATGGTGGGGACGAGGGAATGGAGAATGGTGGGGAGGACAAAGGGACAGAGAAGTGGGGCATGGTGGGAAGGAAGAGAGGATGGTGGATGAGGAATGGTGGGGAGGCCGAGGAGACGGGTGAGGGGGGGGGGTATGGTGGGGAGGACTGGGGGACAGGGAAGGTCGCTGTGGCTCAGCGATGCACATGCGTTACTGAGCCACAGCAACGCGTGGCCGGGTACAGCTAGTTGTTAATACACTCTCCTGGTGACCTTGTTCGCCCATGCTAGATGTTAACTCTTTTAACTCAACAAATAATACTTTGTACTGTTATGTTAATAAGTTAATAAATTCACTTATATGTAAATCTCCCTCCGCCCTCACTTGGATTCCCTCGTGGTTTCTAGAGTGTTCTGCCATTTGAAGAACTCTGTTAGAGATGCTCGAGAAATTTCACTCACTCTCTTAAACTACCCGTGAAAACATTTAGGAAAAACTCAACTCTCAGTTGAATTCAAAATTCATCTCAGTCGAAACAAGATTAAATATGTGTGATTTTTTTTACACCTGATATCTCTGTTCACCTTGCAGCAAATAGAAACCTGAGAGTTAGACAGCTGTTGTGGGTTGCAACCTGCATGGAATAGGCAATAGTGGGTCTGACCTTGAGCGACCTCGATAAGCCTAACATGGTTTCTGTGTACTTACAATAATTAACATGTTTATCAGCCGATCATTATGAGTGTGTACGAGGCTACTGAAGGCTGGCCGCCAGGCTCTAGCATCTCGTACTTGATCACGGGCACACTTCTTCACCCACATCATTTGTACAATCCAAACCTTGATCCCAAATGACTTCCCAGGAAGCAAATATGTATCTGTTTGTTACGAACCCGACTCTACCGTCGGAGCACTGAGCAGCGACATCAACGCCATCTGTGAGTCTGCTCCCGAAACCCCCCACTAATTGGACGACGCCATCTAGTAGTGACAAGACTATACCAGCCAGAAATGCTAGATTCTTGTCCTAGTAGCTCGAGAGGTAGCTGGGGCTGACCTCTGGTGAGGCGGCGCCTAGAAAATCAGCGCCATCTATTGAGCGAAAAGGTGTACGTTTACATCAGGGTCCGTAAGTGTTGTTTCCTAGTGTCCCAGTGTAC